CGGCATACTGTTGTAATGATCTCTGAAACCTACCGAACGTGGGTTTATGTATGGCTTTTATTTGGAGCCTTTTCGCGCGTGTTGCCACGCGGGACAATTTCGTGGATAATTGAAATCGTGTTATTTTGATAACGGAACGCGCGTTGCGTTATATGTTACATTAGTGCTAGTACGTTCTTACTTTTTCGATCTCTTGCTCGCAAGGCTTCTGAGAAAAACACATTATTGTATGTTTTACTCTAACGCTGGCGTGATCAATGAAAATCGGTAAAAATTTTGCCGGAAATAGTTCGTGAATAATTGACGGCATTAAAAAAACGTCCGCAAATTGTTCTCACCCAATCATACGTGTTTTTGGTGTTAGTCGGAAGCCATCTGTCTATGAGTTAGCAACATTTCAGTTCATTTAAAGTGCCAAATAAGTATGTATGTTAAGACACGTTGATGAAACAGTTTTCCACGGTCTTTTCAAAAATTTCCAATAGATTTATATGAAATCGATGTTTTTGTCTTATATTTCTTCATTATGAAGTGATTTCAGTTGTCATTAAAAGTCTATAAAAATATGCCGCGCTATCATTAGCAAAGGGCGATTACTGATTAAACGCATTTCATCCTACTGTTTCTAATACCCCCCACGCTAATCCCTTGCTTTATATTATTAATGATTTCTATTCACTACTTATTGAACGTGTTGGTAAAAGTTTGGAGTTTAAATCTACGCGACTGTAGAACATAGAAGAATATATAGCATGACACAGTGAAATTATACATACAACTCTAAAATATAAACTTTCTTTTACTGTAAATAAAAAAACAAAGCCTCGTTAAATACAAAGCGGCCATTATATCAACAGTACGGAGTCTCTTGGCTTGGCTCCCACAGTCTATTGAGCTAGTGCATGTACGATGAATAATGGTATATAGATACGTGCTAGATGATAAGGAAATTTACCCTTGATATTAGTTGATGTTTTGTTCACTAAAGAGGGATGACCAGCGCAAATGCTAAGAACTTCGAGGCGATCCTCAATTTTGTGGGATGCACACGCATGCGTAGAAAAGACCTAGAAAAAATGTTGATCGTAATTGGTTGAAATTGCACATGGAGTAATGTTCCATATGAAATTTCTGTCTTCAATACATTCAAAAATCATTTGATGATGCTTAATAGCCTGAACGTATCATAAACATAATATTATTCGTTTCTTACACACCGTTTTCATGAAATTTGCATTTTGTTTTGCAGTTTACAAAATGTTTACTGAACTCGTTAAAAAAATGGGTAGTTAATCTTGTTTATTACATGGGCTCATTTCTAAATTAGAATAATAAAAATATATTCACGGTTGTAGCGAAATGAAAGAATTTAATATTTGGTCGTCAGATAATGGCTTTCGGGAACCAAGAAATTTATGAAAGTTTTAAAGCGAGGAACCTGACTGTTATGATTCGGCCTGGATCAACGCTTATCGTCATGAAACGTCTTTAGGATTAATTATATGTCTTTCTCCATCAGTTTGCGTGGTTCAAACTTGGTTAGCAACAGTTAACGTGGATTTGGACCGATCTGTTTTACCACCTCTCTATATTTTGTTATCTGTTTACTATCAACGCTTGGAAACCTACTCATTTAGAAGACACATTTCATAGGCCAATATTCATTTTCAATTTATTTATATTCTTCTTGTTTATCGATTAGTACATATATGTTTCCATTGCGAATTTTTCACTAGTTCTATTTATACAGACTAGTTATAGACTTATAGTATTCAACGAAGTTCACTGATCCTGCAGTGTCACACATTGTCACATATGACGAAATTATTTTAAACAATTTTACTCATAATTTGGACAATCTTCATGAAGTTAAGCAATATTGTTTCATATACAAAAATGTATCCTTAAATATAACATATAATAATTTTAATAAACTTGCCACGTCTAGCCTGCTTGCTTTGTCAACAAAACGAAATTTCTCACGGCTAAATCCCCTAAGCTTGTGCTTCATGGCTAAGCTTTGACGACAGAATAATTACATTAATCTGCTTCTCGCATAACTTAGATAATTATTCATTATCTTCGTACTTACACATCATTTTATTTCAATAAGAAAAATTAACTACTCTTATGTACAGAAAACTTACTTTCCTTTCGTGCTTTTGGTATGTTTTACATGCAACGTTTTCGTAATTGACTTTTAAAGCAATTAATTCCTCCAAAACTCGGGGTGATTATTTTGAAAGTAAACGAATGTTATATTTACTCCAACCAATCTAAAACAAACACTATTTTGGTGAACTGGGCCATGTGCTTTTGCGCTATCGTAGAATATCCCAGCATCCGCTAATAACGGTTACGAACACGATGACTGTCAAGTCGTTAAGTACATCTTTTGGAAGTGTATCTCGTCTTGTTTCACGCCATGTTTGAAAATGTCCGGCGTATAATCTGTCTCCAATTTTGGCTAACGTCTGCCCAATTTCCTTGATAATTTTTTCGTTATTTTGATTATTTGTTGAAAGCCTTTTATCATCTAAAAGACGTTCATTTTTCGTCAAACGCTTGGTGTTTGATGTGTCATTTCCCAGGAGTTTCATCCTCGGGTTTGGTCGTCCAGTCATAGTACAGCTGCTTTGTTTAATTCCACTACGTTGTAAGAAGTTCTCGAACGATGATGGGAGAGGCGTTTTTCTTAGCGACATGTTGTGGACTTCTGTTTGGTCTTGTTTGTATATTTTCAAATCTTTTCAGCAAAACGATTATTGTATTTGATAAACTGTTGTTGCTCCCCTTTCGTCTTGCGATATTTCAATTATGTTTTACGTTTTTTTTTTCAATTTTTTTTTATAAAAGACGAATATCCTAGTTTATGTTTCCAAAGTTTGATCTTTCAATCGTATCTACACATCCACGCGTCCTTCTAAAATGTGAGTTCTACGTTGGTGTGCTGCGTTTTATTTAAGACGAGCGGCGAAAGAACTATCGTTGCGTGAGCGTTTGTGGGCACCAGGGAGACGAGTCTTCCCAATATAGAAGACTGTATTCTATGCATCGCTCATCTATTGTGCAGAGCCGACGTGTTGCGTCAAGCATCAGATTTTGGTTTCGTAAACATGGTTTGATATTGGTTAAGAAGTGGTTTTTTCTCACGTTTAGCTTTCTATTTTTTCATAACTGAAAGGAGAATTGCCAGCAGAAAACCTATAAAGTTGAAAATGTCTCTTGATTTACAATATTGTGACTAATTCAAAGAAATTTTTATTGCTGTAATACTTTTAACTGTTATTGAACTTCATAGAATGACGTTTCAGAACAGTGTTAGTAAGGGGTTCCCCACGAAAAATGTCCCCATGTAAAAAATATTTTCGTCTCTTATGCTATTATTGTACCATATATGGAAATTAAATGGGAATTTACATGAGCAAAAACTGGCAGGAAACAATTAGTCATTAAAATAATTGACTGCGACAATCGAAGCAGAACATTTTATTTTTAACAACTTGTATTTGCCAGCATTGAAGGAGAGTTTTTTTTGAACATCATTTACATATAAACTCGACTAAAAAGGCAATGTGCTTATTAGTAACCTAAATATTACATAGTGCAGAAAACCGATTCATTGTGCGCTTGAACTATTTTTATTTTACTTTTGTAATTGGTAGTTAACAAATGATTTGGTTTTACATCACACATGCATAATTGCAAATCTTTTGTTCTACATGAAGTTGTTAGATATGGATACGAAATAATTTTATTGCGTGTTTCACGTTCAACGAGAGCAACATTCCTTGCGCAAAGTTTCTCGACGGAATGTTTATAAACTATTTGTTTTATGATACTCCAAAATATTGTCTCTTCCCGTGAATCTATTCAATTAAAGTTTCCGCGCGGAATTGTCGCATCTTGATCAGTCGTTGACCAATCAAAAGCCATGTTTTGTTGTTTTTACGTAATTCTTATTTTGAATCAGCATTTTTACTGTCTTGTTACTAAATATTGACCATTGTAAGAAAGCATGGTCATAATGGCATATCGACGATTCCATTACACAAACGGCGAAGAATGCACTAGATGTCTGAAAGCTGGAATTCTTCCTCTAAATAAGGCAAGTTTTAGTGTCGGCGCCTGTGCTACGCTCGCTGAACCATTTTGTCTACTCACGCGATCTGTTAAAAATTCTTCGTTCTCTTAAAATAGAATAATGATTTATGACTCATTGCAACAGGATCGGTGATGAAATACGTCAACGAACCCGTTGTCTCCATTTCAGTCACCATTTATTCAATCAAACTTAATATCTTTTCTTCTTCACACAATTCTCTAAGACTATTAAAGACTATTTTAGTATTTAAGACTATTAATGACTATTTAAGACTATTATAGTATGGTGGGTTATTTAAATATGAAACAGATGGGCGTATTTTTAGTAATTTAGTACTAAAATTTAAACGATAAATCCTTGCCCAATTATACAACTACCCTGCCGTAAAGATGGCCAACAAAAATCAGGCTACGATAGGATTGGGGAAAGGTTAGGGCTCGGGTCAGTCCTGCAGGTGTAATTATGTGACAGGGATTCTTTAAGTATAATTTCTACCAAATTCTTCACTTGTGAAATATTATTCATCTTGATGTCCTACATAAATGCTTACATTCTATTCAGACTTTTTTACTGGGTTGTAATCTCACAAAGTTCATGTTTGTATATAGTTGTTGTTGACATTGATGAATAACAGTTTGGACTATGTATCCATTATTACCCCAAGCTGTCCACGAAGACCCACGTTGTTTAAATGTTTGGTAAAAATATGGCATAATGTACCGAATGCGCCATGTAAGAATGACGTAGATTATAAAACAAGAGAATTAGTCATGTTAATACATAGTAGATGAGGGTGAAAGCGAATGCACTATAGGTAGAAACCAAAGTCCAGCAATTAATTCCTTTTTCCACAATTCATTGAGAGATCAGAAAAAAAGGTTTATAAAGACTTTCATTTTCACTTCGCAAAATATATATATTTCAGTTAATTTAATACCTACACAATACTTACAAGACAATTATATTTACAGGATGTAAAAGACATTTTTTTCTACAGCATACCGTAGCCTACAAATGAAACATGTACCTTCTGTTGGAAGTCTGACATTGTTAGATAGAATTGCTATTCTATCATATCAATCATTAGAAATCCATTTCGTCTTATCCACACAACTACTGTATTTATAAAATCTTTGCATTTGACTTGTAGCTGAATGCCAATAATTATGGAATGTTGTACTAAGACAAACTATTCATTTTGCTAGAATCACTAACCAACATAGAACAAATGTCTTTAACAGAAATAACATATCCACATGTTTTCTCATTCGTGTTCATTTCCTTGTTTTCCTACTTTGATGTCGCCATTGTGCATTCTCCTATCTTGTTACAACTATCATTTGATCGTTTACTCAAATGTGAAGTGTCATTTAACTGTAAACATTCTATGTGAATGCTATTGAACAAATCCTCAGTTCTTTCAATTGTAACTTTGAAAACAGAAACTCCAGTATAAGAGGAATCCCAGTTTGAACGGAGACCTGATCTTCGAGGCAATTGACAGCCAAGCTCACAACTGAAGTAGCGTAGCATTTCTCTTATCAATCCTTTGTGACTCACAACAAGCACATGATCTTCACCAAGGCCATTCTGTATAGTTTCTGTTATATCCACATCACAACTATTTCTACTAGTACTTTCACAATGTTCATCATCTTTATCAAGGCTCTGAGCATGCTCACTACGATGCAACATTGCATCGCAAATCTCTAAGAAGAAGTCCTCAGCTCTATGACGTATATCCTCTAAAGTCTCAAGTTTATTAAGCAAGGAGCTGTTAATGCTTTCTTCACTGCAGCATAATGATCTCTAAAAAAGAAAGTTTCTCTATTATGAGTGAAAATTGTGAATAAAGGACTAAGGAATTACATAGCAAATATAACACTTAAGAAAGGGAATTGCCTTTTCTTGTACCATAAGGTTATGGTACATGGAAATTTTGCGAAGACCACATGCCAGGTACACTTTACACATGGTCAATCTGCAAACAGGTTGAGAACACACAAATATTTTTTTCAAGACATGTCACCAACAAAACCCACCCAACTAAGTTTCAAAATTAAACTCACCAACTCCTCAAGACGTGGATCTTCATGTATAGGTAAAGATGCGCATGTCGTATTTTGCTTTGCAATAACCATTGCTGTCTACAAAAGATAAAAAATTTCTATTAAGTCTTGCAAACAACACATAAAGATCGAATCTTTTATTAGTCTAAGTAATGTTGCTCCACTTTAATCTTTATAAATATTCATAAAATATTCACCTCTTTAGCTTTTGTGATGTCACTGCAATAGATGTGAGTAAATTTTTCAGATTTCAGCTTCTGGGCAAGTAAGTTTGCTTGGTAGTAACCTTTTCTTGATAAACTATTGTCTTGATTTCCTAGTAGGATGATGGAAATAGCAAATTACTACGAGTGATATTAACAAAAGAACTGGCTAAGTCAAAAGTACAAGTTGAGGTGTAAGTTTCACGAGATATTTTATAGGCTCCAATGAATTTTTTTTATCTAATTTTAGTTACGAAGCATTTCAACATAACAAAGTTCACGTTTACATGATTTTGTGATCGCGTGCGATCGCGTGAAGTGGTGAAGGCAAAGTTTGTCTTTTACCCGATGTGTGTGTGTGTGTGTCATACACGTGAACACATCGTGCATGCTGAGTTTGCACTTTGTCACATATCAATATTGCCCGTGAAACACTTCTGAGTTTCTTCAAAAAGTGAAGAATTCTCTAAACGATGCAACGACAAATTGAAAGCCGTTTGTGTGAGGAGTTTGGCAACGGATTCCCAACTGTATTTTGTATAGATTTCCCCAACAGTCGTTTAATATACAAGTAAGGACAAATATGCTGACTTGTACAAGAACCTTTATAACTTGAATTTAAACTTACCTAATGTCTTGGGAATCCTTCGCTTTGCATTTGGAGTTCCACTAAAAAAATTCAAAGAATTGTCGGTCATCATTTAAGACATGAAAAATAAACCAATGTTGAACGCGTTGAGCCTCGAGAGCCGAGACAAAATTCAAAGTTTGTTTTCGTAAAAATGATACATAATGAATCGATAAAGTCTTATATACTTACTGTCGCACTAATGTCATATGAAAGCTTGTCATATTTTTGTAAAACTAAAAGAAGCAGGATAAAATCGCCGTTCGTATCTCTGCACTGCGTTGATGATTGTTTATGTAACTGCGTTCTTTCCTGTGTTTGTCTTAGTAATTGTCCCGTAGTTTCACATTACGCATGCGTTTTACGGTTTTGTATGACGTCATTGTGCTACGCTGTTCCTATTGGCTCCATTGACCGACCTGTATTAAAAATATTTTAGGTTAATTGACCAATGGAATCTTCTCGTTTTATTTTATGAATACTGTACTGAATACTGACGTAAGGATTATTATTATGAATAATTTCTCCAAACACATTTTCTTAAATCTATAAATTTTGAAAATTTTCGCCAATTTTCATTGAATTCGAGATGCTTTTAATTCCATCGTGAAGCGAGAGAATTTTAGTTTTAAATTTTATTTGATGTGGGAATAAAGACAACTGCTACTCGCGTCGACTTGTCCTATTAACCGATCTTGTTCTGACATGTCTCCGAACATGTATACTTCATAGGGATTTTTTGTGTGGATTGAATCGTTTCTTAATTTCTTTGTCAGAAGTTTAACTTTACCTGTTTGTGAAGTACAGTGACGTTTTCTTTATAATCACACAACATAAAGTAGTCGTTAAGTAACTAGTGTACGCTGATCGTTAGATATCGGGCGAGCCAAGTTTAAAATTTTCATGTGTGTGAAGTTCTTCTGTTCTGATCGTTCTAATACATATCTCCGAAGCACGAGTTGTAGTAAACAATTACATCTAAGTTAGTGAAAGAAATGTAAAGTAAGTAGATATTTTGGTACATGGTAGTTGCTTCATCTTTAGAAAATCACGATGAAATTTATTTGAACTTAAATAAATGGTTGCGAACCACTGCCGTGCTGGCAACAACTTCCCCGGGGATGGGGGCTAACCACTGAAATAAAAAAATATAGCACTTCAAGAACGAGGTCCAAAGATCTGTACTAGGCACTGAAGGTGCAAGTCGTGTTTGGGGCATGCTCCTCGGGAATTTTAAACTTAAGGAGCCCAAAAATGCCATTTCCTGGACTCTGAAGAGGGAAACCATATTAACCGTATAGTTTCAAATGTATTTCTCCAACACAATGCCCCTTAAAAATCAACAGCTTGGGGGCCCCTGGCTCCCCCTGCTAGCACGCCACTGTTGTAAACAACCAAATACTGTAATACACTTCATTACTGAACAGTGAATACTTCCTTGGATTCCATAGGACAGGAAATAATAAATAATTTAAATAAATATGTTTCTTCCAAATGCAAGTTTAGTTTACCATAATCACAGGTGGCCAAAGCAAATTTTTTATGAGATAAGGGGGTAATGGCAAGGAAACAAATGGGTTGATGTGAAAGAACTCCATACTTAACATTAGAAAAGTAAAAAATTATGTCGTTTCTCTTTATGACACAGTAATAAGTTATTAAACTTTAAAGCAATTTGTACAATCAATGAAATTATTGGGATGGCAGGCTTAACCTTAATTATTTGGAGGGCCAGCATCCCTATGGCCTTTTTAAGGTTTGCCACAACAGTTAATAGAAATTTGCAAATAGCTTTTTCTTGTTGGTGCGGTAAGACATTTCTAGAAAGTGTTCTAATGGCATTCTTATGTATATGCCTAATTTAATTATTTGCTTCTTATCTTGAAAATTTCTAGTTATGTTGATCAATGAAAATGTGTCTTTTGAGGTGTATTAATTTTTACTTTGAACTTAAAAGTCAGAGCAATCTGATCAACTTAACACATAAGTTGTGGTTTTCTAGTCAATCTTAAGATCATGGCATTATCTCTTTTAACCAAAGTGCTTAATTAATTTGTGAACATGAGAAAACAAAGTGCAAAGTGTGCCTGTATCAGCATTTACTTCATAAAGTTTAAATTGCTTATGTTTTAGTATTTAATCCTATGTTTGTATTCTTTGTTTTCAGGTATTTCTTCACAAGTGTTATCTACAGGGAAAATATGAATGTGTTGTTTTATTTCTGATATGACAGCATTTAGTAAGCAATGTACAATATGCTGTTGTACTTGTATGGATTGCTGTGTATTGTTGTGCTGTACATTATCTTATCAATAACAGTCAAGGACAGATTGTTTGGTAGAGCAGAGCCAAAAAGGAAAAAATCAAAGTAATTAGCAATTTTACTATTGGATATTGTGTCAAACCTATTTCCTTATCTACTCAAGGGCATTATTAATTACTGTTTTCTGAATAATTCATAGCAACCAGTTTGTAGTATTTTCCTTAATTATTAATCTTTCTGCACCCACATGCCATAGTTGACTTGTGTATTTACTAAACTACAAGATATAGACTATTTTCCACCAAAGTGTCCCATTTTGTGGGAAAAAAACATAAAGTGATAAGCATTCACTTGCATTTCACAACCTTTTGGCTGTTGTGTACCAGGCATGGTTTAGTACTGTTGCGTTTCAATGAAATCAATCATGCTCTTTCAGTGAACTTTTAATGAACATTGACCTCCACGTGCTTGACGCCCACGTGACTGCGTTCTTGTAACTAGTGAAACACACTTCATTGCCAAACTTGCACGTGATCTTTCTGGCAGTGTAAAATATATGTTGACTTGTTCTCAAAATAAATATTTGAGCCCAACAAATAATTTTGAACATAGTCATAAAACCAAATTGTTTATGACTATATTCAAAATTATTTGTTGGACTCTAATATTTATTTTGAGAATCCGTTTCCCGCCTGGCACTTCATTGGCAACAATATGTTGACTTGTGAACAGAATTCTTAACAGTTAGGCAACCAAATTTTTCTTTGTTCCAAATTATATAGAAAATGTTGTTGATACGTAATTTTTAATTGAATTGCTACAATATATTTTTCTTAACACTAAATACGCTTCTGAATCGTCTTTATCAAAAACGTTTTGCACCTTTGCAACGTCGGGCGTCATTGCATGGCACAACTAAATTTCTCGCTAATTTCTGTGGTACTGTTAGAAATTAATTTGATTTTTTCCTTACCAGAAAAGTGGCCTTCAGATGTGAAAACAATGAAGAGACAGATCAGAATATAGAGGATCAAAAACACCCTTACCCAAATGGAAAGTTGAAAGTGAGCCATTTATGAAAGATAAATGTTAACCTTGTGCTTGTTTTTATGTAAAAGTTGAACGTTCTCTCAGTTGCCGGAAGAGCTTGACGAACTGGAGGAGACCTGGGAAGATGGAGTAAAATTGATGAAAGTATCAACAGTTTATCTCTTGGTTCTGGCTCTGTTCACAAGAGAAAAAGTTTCAGTCGAAATGGTTAGTACCTTTTTTGGTTTCATTTGCTAATTGCATCTACACATCGAGATAATAACTTTTCTTCCTTTTGACTTCTCCTCTCTGCCCTTTGGTCGGAGGGGGAGAGGAGGGGTTTGTGCTAGCTAATCTTATTTTCTTCATCGAGGCTCATGGTTCAAGAAAGATCTCAAGTGCAATGCTTTTGCGAAATCAATGAATTGCGAAGGTCTCATCTGGCCAGCAAGATTTACTTTAAATGGTACAAACGGCGATAACGTAGTTGCTGAGAATGGGATTGGAGACGAGTCTAAAACTTCCTACAATCTTGATGGTAAATGAGTGTTGCTAAATTATATAATTTCAATCGCCATATATCACTACATCTCGAATGCCATTAACCACAGTAGTTTTATTTACAAGTTATATTTACGTAAAATTGAATTTTCCAGACTTTTCCGATGGCGAGAGCAGTGATTTTCGGGCAGCGATTCATAAGGTTAAGGTGAGTGTATAAGCTGCTGTCGTGGTAGCGATTCTCACTTATTGAATTTTTCTATTTTACATGATACCTATTCCAGATTTCTATTTTACATTTGCACGATCGACATTTACATGATCACCATTTTAGGTCTATATTATATTTAAATGATCAACATTTTAGGTCTATATTATATTTACATGATCAACATTTTAGGTCTATATTATATTTACATGATCAACATTTTAGGTCTATATTATATTTACATGATCGATATTCCAGGTCTCTGTGTCATATTTGCAGGTCGACGCTCCTGACCCGATTGCACGAAGCCTGGATAGCGTTATCTATTGGATAACGATTTTTTAAACTTTTACGAAACCTTTTGAAAAACAATAAATATGAGATTCGTACTGAGCAATCACTGAAATATAATATCGTTTTGAAGATTTTACCAAATTTCTTTGTCGTAAGAAAAATATAAACACCTTTTTTACAAGTTTGAAAATTTTTGCTATCCAATGGAAGCCTATCCAGGCTTCGTGCAACCGGCCCCAGGTCTCTGTCATATTTACATAGTCGACATTCCAGGTTTCTCTTTAACACTTTCCTTTTTACTATTCACCTTCTAGAACGGTATCGTGGATAATGGAAACGGGGAATTGCAATTAATTGATTCGAGGAATTTCGGCAACACTAAAAACTTAATGCTAATTTTAAGTTTCGCTCTGAATCTTGTACTTTTGTATCTTTTGTGGAGGTTTACCTATAGTTGTGGTATCATTTTGTGAAATCGTTTGATGACACGAGATTCAAATGCATTGACTGAAACGAGAAAAAAATTATTTATTCCCTTATTGAAGGCAGGAAGGCAGGTTACAATTATATGTAGTTAGTGGCTGAATAGTGGGAAGTTACTTTTTACTGGATTATTTCTGGGAGATCACCTATAAATAATTGAATGGATTAAGTTATTTGTTGTCTTATTGAGGGCATATTGTTTAGTTAATGTCTGAATTAGGGGGATCACCTTTTGACTGGATCAATTTAAGGGACTTCACCTAATGTCACCTAATGACTGGATTGAAAGCTAGTTATTTGTTGTCTTATTGTAGGCATGTTGCTTAGTTAATGTCTGAATTATTGGGACCACCTTTTGACTTGATCAATTTAAGGGAGTTCACCTAATGACTGGATTGAAAGCTAGCTATTTGTTGTCTTATTGTAGGCATGTTGCTTAGTTAATGTCTGAATTAGGGGACCACCTTTTGACTTGATCAATTTAAGGGAGATCACCTAATGACTGGGTTAAATGCAAGTTATTTGTTGGCTTATTGAGGAAAGTTTCCTTAAATTTGTTGACTGAATGAAGGGAGGCTAGTTCTTGCAGTTTCTCTTAAAAACAATTTTGATTTAAGTGCCTGGTGACGCAAAAAAATTTGTAAAACTTTTATGAACAGTCTTCTTAATATTGGTGATCGCATTCTTACTTTATTATTGAAGTATTGACACTTTGGTAACGTATGTAGTATAGAGAACTTGTGGCTTTTTTACGTGTCTTCAAAATAAAGCTCTTGTTCATTAATTTAACTCTTAATTATCTCAAATTGTTTTTAAGTAAATCGAAGATATCTTTCACCCACAAGCTTTGTTCTGTCACCGCCAAGGGAGGCGGAAGCTTGATAATTGATGGGATGGGGGTTTTATTCATATTTAGATTTCAACAGAAACTAATAAAGCAGGACATGCAATTATGAAAATTGCTTCCCCCAATTATCGACCTTCCCGCCACCCATGTCACGTGGACAGGGCCGTTAACGGGGGGTGTGAGTGGTGGCGTTTATTCTTCAGTTTTTAAGATGTATCCGACTGATTTCTTGAATGTACGAATAAACACTCTCCCACCCCCCTCTACAAAAGAATCGTGTACAGGCCGGTGTATCAATAAAGAAGACCTTCAGAAATTGACCTATCGTGATAATTTTCATGCCTGTCACTATGCTAAGCCCAAGGGTGCGTAAAGTATTCTCAGCTACGTGCATGTATTTCAAAAGCTCTTCTGCTCGTGAGACTTCGACGTATCTTCTAACGTCAAAACATACACAGCAATGCACCCGTGCAATGAACATAGTCTCATGAGGCATTAAATATCACAATAGGTTAGTTTGTTAAGGTCTTCTTTTTGATACACCCTCATTGTACCATATTCATTTATGCATGTTAAAATCCGTGTAAAACAATGGATTTAAAAGTGTCGATATAAATATTGACACACCCATTGTCGATCTTTCTGCGCCTCTGTTCTGTCACATTTAGATTACGAGCAAACTTTGGCATGTAAAAGATTTGCGAGGAATTGGTTTTAAAGCCTCAATGCACAGGTTAAATTTTCCTGTACGTGAAGAATATTTGAACAATGCCAGACTTTAAAGTTCGAGTAAACTGGAGTGTCGTTCTTACCAATCGATTTCACGTACCTCAAATGTAAGTTGTTTGAATGTTTCTTTATAACATTTGATTGTCAAAAACGCCAGTCCATGTTTAATTTAAAGTTCATTATTATTTTTCTCATATGCGAGCCGTACTCATGCAGTTCGTCTTTATTCTAAAAGCTCACTCACACTCAATGACTGTACCTCAGAAATCGCGCTCTCGTTAATCAATTTGCGAACGCAAAATTTTTGTCAGAATATTTTAAATCGAACTATCAGTGGAGTGACTCCCGACTCGGCGAATGTGAATATGAGTGAGATCTTCAAATACAGGCCTTAGTTTTGAGCTTTGATGTTATTGGTTAGAGTCTTAATTCTAGGACTAGAGTGAATAGCAAAGCTTACGAAAATTTAATTGTGATTGTAAGTGGGTTTTTTTTGTGACTTGTGTAGTGTTTACGATTTGGCCATATGTCCTGACATGTCCAAAATCTTAGCTACAGCTGACAAATATATTATGGTAAGTTGTTAATGGTTTTCATTTGCTGTAATGGAAGTCTGTTTAAGTGTTCTGTCTATGGAGCTTAAAAATTGGCTTTTTCCGAGTAGGTTTACGATCCTCGAACTGGTATGTCTATTGACTATCTGAAAGGGCACAAATCCACAGTTTTCTGTCTTCAATATGCTTGGGATGGTAAGTATCGAGTCTTTGTTCAATCCTTATGAAACTTTGCGATATATTTACCGTCGGGAACATTCGTCTGTATTCGTATTGTTGTCGGATAAGAGCATTGTAAAATGAGGTCGATTGCTTCGTGGGTCGATAAGGTACAGCATAAAGAGAGGCAAGATCATTGGTAAACTATTATTTTTCACGGTCTTATAACTTTTTTTGCGATGTTTGAGTTTTGTTGCTATGTGTTGCTGAATTTTCCAGCATTCACGACATCTCATTTCGACCGGACGGCAGCCAAATTATTGTCGCGTCTGGATTACTTGTTTTGGTAAGAATGCTTCCAAGTAAAGGTCAGAAAAAGTTTTATAGCGAAAAATGTCAAAACGGTTTTTCTCAAATATCCTAGGTGTACAACACCAGTGACGGAACCTAATACAGCCTCTAAAAGGCCATAAGGATACTGTTTATTGTGTTGACTTCGCGAAAGACGGTGGGTCGGTGTGCTAGTAAAATATTTTTTAATGTGCGTGAATGAATTCTTAAAATGAATGTTTTAGCTTTTGCAATGGTCTTTGTAAAGTATCATAAGTTTTTTATATGTTATAGTTCGTTTTTTTTCGCAAAGAAATTGCTTTGTTAAAATTGTTTATCGTAACTTAGGTAACAGATTCCAATTCCAAGATGGCGGCAAATTTCAAAATTTTTATATTTTTTTCTCGATTTCAAATTTATATCAGTGCAGAAAACGGAGTAGCGAATCTTGATAAATCAAAATATCTTACAAAGCTGAATCTTTTACTGAGCCACTATTTAATGACAAGCGTTGTGTTACATAGAAATGATCTTGTTTCTGCTTTCTGCATATGCTGTTGTTACGTAGCTGAGGACAATAGGCAGATGTTCAAGCTTAATGCTCTATTCAAATTCAAATCATAATCATTAATTTTTCAGGAAAAAGATTTGCATCAGGCAGTGCTGATAAATGTGTAATCATTTGGACAAATAAACTGGAAGGAATCTTAAAGTATACGTATGTACACTTTATGTATTATGTTAAAATTGGTTTGAGGAAGATGCACAAGGCATATCTTCCATGTAAATAACTGCTGTAAATTTCATTAATGAAGTCTAGTACTTATCCTTCTTTGTAGTACTATGATAAATTCTTGCATATGACAATAATACATTACCACAGTTAGTACAATAACAGTAAGATATGAATGGGTTTCTGATTGGGTCAATCCGGTGATGGCTATAAGCATTAACAGCAATTCCCTTGTTAGATTCATTAATTCTATGTATTGTGTATTGTATTTCAATGTACTTAAAACCAATAATATGATAACCTTTGATGAGGTTAGCATCAAGTTCAATATTTTATTTTTCATTTTCATTTAGACACAATGATGCCATTCAATGTTTATCATATAATCCTGTTTCACATCAACTTGCAAGTTGCACAGCCAATGATTTTGGTAGGTAAACTTATTTCTGTAGTCTTACATGGCATGGCAGTGAGGAATTTTAATTTTTAAATTTTAAATATGGGCAAAACTTCAAGAGATGACAAATAGTGTTTACTTAACAATTGGCGTATCCTCATACTTTTTTTTAGCATCAGTATTTTTATTTGATTTTAATTCTTCAAACATTACCTTCATATACATTATACATTTTGGTCATTAACCTTTCTCTTAACACTATTACCACATGATAACCTATAACTAGAAAAACTCTGCAAAACATCTGAATATTAGCCATAGTTTTGGCACAAAAATCAGTGGTTAATACCTATAAATCATTAATCCTAGGATGTATATTTGTCCTGGGTTGCTTTTTTTCAGCAAGATGTATATATGGTACCATAATGATATTGCTTTTTAGGTCTTTGGTCAGCTGAACAGAAATCTGTTGCCAAGCACAAAGTTTCATCTCGAATAACTTGCTGCAGGTCAATTTGCATTATAAACAGTTGTGGCGTTTATGACATTGTTTTAAATGATATTTGAAGTTAAATTATCATAGCTCTGCATGCTTCAATTAAGAAATAAAAGATGTTTACTGTTTTTGCACAGGCTTATGCAAACTGAGGAGACCTTTGAGAGAACTCAAGAGCAGATCAGTGCAAGCCCAAGACCGAATGTTGAGAGTTGCACATGCTCAAGAGTTTCTTCAAATGTCTCTGAGGTCCAAAATGTATTAAATGATTGATTTTCAAATTCTCTTTGACTTAATGACTGTTTTGATTTATTTGATTGGTTGAGCTCAGTTGTGTTTTGCACATGTTAATGCAAACACTGCTCTAGACCAATCACTGCACCCGTTTTATTGTTTGTTTTTTTAAATGGCTATTATTTACAAAACATGCATCTTTTATTAAATACTTTGATAATTGCCACTATGATTATGTACTATTACTATAGTCAATGCTATTACCCCAATTATTACTATAATTAGTATGGTATTATAGTCCCTTCTACTACTATAATTATTGCCAGAATTGACTGTGATAATTGGCTGCTACGACCAGTTACTTTTAATTACTACTGCAAGATACTTGACTGTCCCTATTAAAGCATAATATCTGGCATTGGTGGTGGGGGGAATTATTCTATTATCACCTTGTCTCATTGCAATTTTATGTGCAATTGAATAAGCTCAGACTTTTTACCATTTTTATAGTTGGACCAATGATGGGCAATATCTTGCACTTGGTCTGTTCAATGGAGTTGTGAGCATTCGTAGTAAGGTTTGTGCATCACCATTTACTTGATGTTTCTGTTAAAGTAAACTGTGACCTTATGTGACCTTATAATTATGAAATGTAGGCTGGAGAGGAAAAAGTTAGAATTGACAGACCATCCAATCAACCTGTGTGGACAATCTCATGGAACCCATCAAAGTATGAACCATTTTAATAACTTTGATCAAGCTTTTCTAAACCAAGTCAATTTAGTGTACGAACCATGTGACTGCTGTAGGGCTGTTATTTGATTTGCCTGCTTTTTTGTAATTTCTATAAAAACAGTGGGGTGACGCTGAATATATAATTTCTAAACTTTTAGGGACGAACCTTACGATGTATTGGCAGTGGGTGACTGGAACCAAAAGTTATCATTCTATCAACTGAGTGGCAAGCAGGTGCTGTTTAATGAATTATTAAACCCTAAATAACCGAGCGCGAGGTCATTACGGAGAAACATCGGAACGATGTTTTTTGTACAGACCGATCCCGTAGGAGGAGGTTTGTACAAAAAGACAGAGGTCCGGTATTTCTCTGTAAAGACCGAGAAAGCGAGGTTATTAAAAAGTTTGTTATATGGCATAATTTGACCTGAAATGAAGCTTGCTTTCTTTCTCGTCCTTGCTGTTTTTTACCTGTCAGTAAAAAAGAAATCGTTTCAAATTGTATCGTCTGGGTAGTTTAACTGTTTTCTGAGTGTTTTTCCTTTGACTGACATTCGTAAATGGTTTTTTGTTTCGTCTTTTTTTGCGTTTTGCTGTTTGCATTACGAAATTTGTTTATATTTGACTGTAAAATTTCACGTTTTGGACCGTGGTCTATTACGGAAAATAATGGATCGGCAAAAATTTTTCTGAGCCAATCAAAGCGCGCCATTTAGCTGGAAGTGACGCTTGCCATATAAGACAATCATAATGTTGAGTTTTTTCACTGCCACCGATAGATTGGTAAAGATCGACACCTTGGCTTTGATCCATGTAGCCTAAATTTCTTTTCCCACGGGGAGTATTTAGTGATTGGAGGGTCGAACAAAGAGGTAAGTAGAATGATCGTCCATCATCATCGTTTGCTAAATCTTTCATCAAAATATGTTATGTGCGCATGACCGCTTTCGGTCGTAGCTGTTTTTTTCACATTGTTCACTATAATGAACTTAAATTTTGCTTTAACAGTGTATTTGCCATGGTAAATGACACTTGAGTAGTTCTTAAATGAACTTTTGTAGACCAAAATAAAGATAACTATAAATCCAACGACAGGTTGCATTTCAGCAGACTTCTCGTTTTGACGATAGAGCGAGGGATTATTTGAAAAATTATACGGATTCCAAAACGCGTAACTGGGATAGTCTTTTAGTTTTCATTCACCATTACAAATATGTTGTTCAAAGAAATATTTAATATAATTTCTACAACCAAGCCTTAGTTTATATATGCTTACTCCGTATTTTGTAACGAATTTTGGGATTCGTGAGCGAATCCATTCTAGGAAATTGATCGTTATGAAAGGTGCTTGGTTTGGGTATGCATATTTTTTCATCGTATATAGATGCATGTGCTGTAAGTACGTGTACTTACTCTGTTTGCAATGTTCAACTACCATCCCTAACAACCATCTTACGTGTACTTACTCTGTTTGCAATGTTCAACTACCATCCCTAACAACCATCTTACGTGTACATACTCTTTGCAATGTTCAACTACCATCCCTAACAACTATCTTACGTGTACTTACTTTGTCTAAATGTTCAGTTACGATCCCTAACAACCATCTTACGTGTACATACTCTGTTTGCAATGTTCAAATAAGATCCCCGAGAACCATTTTCTGTCTACTATGATTTTGTTATAGTGTTTGCTATATACCAAAGAAGGTGTGAAGTTGGGAGCAATTGGAGAACACGATAGTTGGCTGTGGTCATGCAAACCCACACCGGGACAAAATTATGTAGTAAGTGCAATAATTCATCACCAGGCTCTTTGATGTACAATGTAGACCTGTGTGCCCTTTGTCATGTTGTTATGAAATTGTTTTAAGGTAACTGGCTGTCAAGACGGGACTGTCTCATATCATCAACTCGTGTTTAGTACTGTTCATAGCCTCTACCAGGATAGGTAATAATTTGCTAACTTGTTCACTTTAAGCTTCTCTGCTATCCTACGGCTATTAGGTTATCAAGATTCGTTGGACTATACTTTTTTTACATGTATAGTTGCTTAATTGCGTATAATGATCGTTAGCTCTCCATATAGTCGTTACATTGGATCGTTATTGTCTATCTGCCACGAATTAAACCAAGATAAAACGTAGCAGCCACATTCAATCATAATCGTCAATTCCTCCCATCAGATTAGTCTGTATAATAACTGTATGAGACGCATTATCTTAACTACCCTGACTCTTCAATGATTTTTTCATAGTCCATAAACATGGTAGCTGATAAACGTGTTATACATTTGAATGTGTATTGTAATTATGTTGTTTAGGTACGCCTATCGTGACAGCATGACGGATGTGATCGTTCAACATTTGACCACTGAAAGCAAAGGTAAATGTTTAAATTCATAGAAATTGTCCATTAACTCCACGCAACCTTAGTGTAGCTATATGGAATCAAATTCGCTGTCTGTTTTAAAAATTACCAAGTCTGTTGTTTTGTTTTTTAGTAAGGATTAAATGTCGTGATCTTGTAAAGAAAATTGCAGTTTATCGTGGACGTTTAGCTGTAAGTAATCCTTTCTCATTTTGATAGATTTTCTCCGGGCATTGCATATTTGCTAGGCCTTATATATCCTAATGGATGTTTTTTAGTCGCATTGCTATTCCTGTTCTTACAATTTTCCTTTAGATGCAACTCCCTGAAAGAATAATTGTATACGAACTGTCTGGTGATGATCCAACGGACATGCGTTATCGCGTCAAGGTATTTAATGGGATCATATGTTGGTCGGTACTAGCACAGTTGCATTAGACATTCCTGTTTTTCCCTTGATCGAAGCTACATCAGGGGCCGGTTGCACGAATCCTAGATAGCATTATCCATTGGTTAGCTAATTTTTTTAAACTTTATAAAACCTTTCAAAAAGCAAAAAGTATAAGATTCGAACTGAGTAATCACTGAAAAAATATTGTTTCGAAGTTTACGAAATTTCTTTGTCGTATGAAAAATATAAGCACCTTTTTTATAAGTTTGAAAATTTTTGCTCTCCAATGATAACGCTATCCAGGGCAACCGTTCCCAGTGATTAACGAAAAGGTTTCAAACAAGACTTGCATGGAGACTGTGGTAGTATGCATTGGATGAAGAAAGTAATTTCCCGCTTGATTTGACGCTCACAATCTCGTTTCATTCAGCGTAATAATACGTGGTTGCAAGGCAATTAAATTGTTTGGTAAAATAGGCATATGTTTTTTTGCATAATGAAACAGTAATTACTGCTTCGTTTGCGCAAAGAAATCTCCATGTGGAAAATTGTTTTTGTTATTACGTAATAACCTTATGTCAGTTTCAGTTTGATACTACTCTATATGATGAGCTTAAATGAATAATGTTCTTTATGTGTAGGAGAAAATCGAAAAGAAATATGATTGTAGTTTGCTCGTGGTTTGTGCAAATAACGTGGTATTATGTCAGGTATTATGTTTATGGAAAATATTCAATGAACTTAATAGAATTAGGGCTCTTTTGCTTTTTTTTACTTTCACACTCCCGTATTGTTAATGTTATTATTGTTATTTATATACTTTAATTTGGTTATGCTTAACCCAAAACCAGTCCTGTACTAAAGCATATTGTTGTTTCTAAATTTGAATGTGGTAATCCTTATCCCAAAACCAGTCCTGTTCTTAAATTTCGCCATTCGTGGGAGGACCAGCTTCAAGTCGTTGACGAAATATGACTAAAAAGAGGATTTAAAGCTTTTATTTGTTTTCGTTTGAAACAGGGAAAGTTTGAAGAATTATGTTTTCATTTAGGGTAAAAAACTTCAATGTCTTAGTTTTCGTGGAGAGAAAGAAAGGTAAGTCACAACGCAAATGTCTTTCCAAATAAACGAAGGTCTAAAAATAATGATAATGTATGATGTTAACATAGTCTTCAGCTTGCAATATTACGGACAACTTTAACGCTCTGTAATGTCGTTCAATGCTTTATTTTTGTAATTCAATTGCAATTATTCTGTCTTATCATAAACGCATGCAAAAAAATTGTGGAATGGTTTACCTCCATGATACATTTTCAATGACTAGCTATGAAGAAGCAATCAATCGGCAGTATGTATGATTCCATGTTGAATGGATCATCTTCTATCTCGAATGGTACAATTTGTATGTTAAGATGCAACATCTATCTAAAATGCTCCAACTTCTATCTCAAATAATGCAGCATCTATCTCAAACTGTGCAATATCCATTTTAAGCGGTGCAATTGCCATTATTGTGCGTCATTTCATTACTTTTCCAGTGATTTATTTGCATGATAAAAGATATCACTGCACCAATGAAAGAAACCAACGATAAATTCAATTGCACGGCATACCCATTCGATACCAGGCCCAACGTGCGACCTTCCAAGAATCGTCGAAAATTCTGGAATTCTTCTCCGCGTTTCATAAACGTGTACTCATAATAATTAACGACTTTATGAGTAGAACTGGTGGCACAATCATTGTTATTTTGCAAACAGCTCTTGTTGTTTTCCTGACCCAATAGTGGTTGAAACTCGTTGCAAGTCTCTGTTCCAGGATCATTCGTCACATATGATTCATCTTGTTTGTGGACCTCAAGTAACCATGGCGATATATTGTTTATTCTTTCCGAAAATTTACATTCGCGGCTCTTGAATAGCTGTCCAATAAAAATTGGTGTGAACCAAATTGTCATGGTAAACACCAGGTAACAGATGAACTCAGGAAGGTGTTTCGAATGATAAGCACGTCCAGTGATAGCTTGAGCCAAACTATAGCCGTACAGCGGTAAAACCAGCAAGACAATGTTATGGACGAGGAACCATAGCGAGATTCGTTTCCAGGAACTTTGTACGGGATGTGCATACACACGAATGAACAGCGAAACTGCGGCAACCGTTGAGTCATTCCACTTCAAAAAGACATTTTCCAGTATTTTTAAGCGTGCTGCATAAGAACAATATAAAAGTCCTAACGTCCATGATAAAGCCAAGCCAATGCCGAGATCATAGAAAACTGAAAATGGAACTAAAGCATACACGATACGGTCCATAACGCCGTGTATGTGAGGTATCTGCGAAGAAAATCTTTCATCGCCTTTGTACCAAAGAAGTTGTGTTGTAAAGAATAACGTCAACAGCATTATTGTAAAAAATGTTATCGACAACACAACGACGATGTTAAGTCTTTTGATCATGCGATATAAGGGTTTCTTTACTCCAACCAACAAGACGTTTTTTGTCTTTAATACGTTTGTTTCAAGGTCTCGTGTGGAAAAGTAGCGGTTGCCTAGGATGTGACCAAGCCATACGGCCACCTCATGACCGACAAACAGTGTCTCCATGTTAATCCATGATGTTTTTTCTGTTGACCGAAGAGCATTGCGTATCGGTCCAGTCACGAGAAGAAGCAGATTGACAAGCATTGGATAGATATAGCATTCCACGAAGCTTGCTGATGCTGGTCGCCATAATGATAAAAGGCGCAGGAAAAAGCGAATAGTCTGAAATTCTCTTGAATTGAATAATAGATTTTCTGTCCCCTCGTTTTGCATTTCAACCAACTCAACTGACATCCTTTTGTTTTCCTTTAATTTCAAGACATAAAAACATCGTAAAGCGGTAAAGGGCGATTATTTTATGCTTGTCGTTTGCTTTAAACCTTGAGTGATTATAAAATACCGTTCGTGTATTATTGAGATACTTTATTTACTATATTGAGGTTTTAGTATAAAATTATAAGATGCGCATCATTAGTACAAAGATTGAGCTGTCTATCCTTTCAAAAAATAAGGTGATAAAAGCTTTCTTGGCAGTATTGATGTAGTGTTTCAAAATTATGCTAACTTTGGTATCCTCGTCACGATTAAATAGTTTCGTTGTACATCATTGAGTTGTAGACACGCGTATCTTCAGTGTGTTCGCTTTTATCATTTTCACATAAGTTTAAGCGTTCGTGTTTATCATAGCCATGTAATCGACGTATTAAGGCGTTCGTGTTTATCATACCCAAATAATCATTTCATGTATTTATTCGTATCATACATATGTAAAGAATTTCTAGCGGTATTGTACATGGTGTTTAAGAAGGTCCGTGGATATTTTATACGTCAGCACATAAACGATGGCAACCGTGTCACGGCGAATTTGATACTGTTAGAAAGAATTACTGTAATGAAAGAATTACTGTAATGATAAAAATTTGGTCTATTTTGTATCCAAGAGTCTTCTTGGAAGAATTGCACGAATATTCACGATCAAGTGTTTGAGCTATAATTTGTTTTTGTTATTATTTATGTGCCGTTAAAATGTAAACCACCACATACCTGTATTCTTACAATAATGAATAAATATTAATTCCCATTAAATAATACATACACAATATATTTATTGCCTTTAGTGGAAACTCATACACCATCCACTATAGATTTTACTGTAATATTTAACAAAAAGAACATGAAAGAAATACATATTTACTAACAAACAAACAAAACCTTTACCGTCAAACTTTGCATAGTTTGTCTTCCGTCAGCTTTATGAAAGTAAAGTTGTCGGCTATAATAAATTCAGTTATAATTCCGTGTTTCTGATCGATTAACGCTGTGTAAATATGTCTGTTATGATGACAACGTGTATAAAATTGAAACTTTGCATTTAAATAATTTAGAAAACATATTAAATGACTTTTGAAATGGCTGACTGCATACAGTAATAACTCAACAAACTGAACCTACTCTTTATTCATTATTCTTTTGCTATGACGTTCTCAACCAGAGACTTTGGAAGCATTCGAAAGTTGTGGGTGCTCCATGTTCGCGATTTGAGAATGCAAGAAACTTAAAATAGTAATGAAACTACTTCATATTAGATATTTTTTAAGAAATAAAAGATGTTTACTGTGTTTGCACGGGCTTTTGCAAACCGAAGAGACCTTTGGGAGAACTTGAGAGCAGGTCAGTACAAGCCCGAGACCGAAGTTCGAGGGTTGCACATGCTCGAGAGTTCTCACAAACGTCTCCGAGGTTTGCATAAGCCAGTGCAAACACGAAAAATATATTAGTTTTTTATAAAATAAAATAATGCGAAAAGAAAAACATTTTAATTTTTCTTCTAAAATGTATTCATGATCGATTTGCAAATTCTCTTTGACTGATTGATTGTTTTGATTGATTTGATTGGTTGAGCTCAGATGTGTTTGCACAGGCTAATGCAAACACAACTCTAGACCAATCAGCGCACGCGTTTCGTTGTGTTTATTTTATAATGATAGTTTATAGCATATATTACAAAAATTGTCCAAAATGCATTACATACAAATGATTTGCATATATTGGCAATGCTCAACCCATTTGAAATTTCCTACTTGCTAGTGCTCGTTCCTTAATTTGAAAATTCAGTGTGCTTGCAAAAACTCAGCGTGCAATATGTCATATATTTTCAAGCAAGAAGCTGAATTTGTGGGTGTCCTTATATGGAACGCCCACGCTCTAAAAGTTGTGGATGCACTGGCACCCAGACCCCCATGGCTTCCCAAGCCCTGTCACAGAATAAGAATGTACAGAAGAGTCACTCGTGTCGGAACCTTTGACATTTTTGTCCTCGCGCATGTCGTGCCGCGCATGATGGCCGCCATTATTTCAGACAGATGATTAGGGTTTTTGACTTTTTCCAAACTATCAAAATGATCCGAAGTCATTTCTTGAGTCAAAATATACTTGAATTCATTATTAAGTATTGACGTCATGTAATTTTAATGCTTTGAAACAAGTGAGAAATCCAAATCATCTGGCTGGAATAATGGCCGACATGAGGACGCGTTGTACACCTGAGTGACCATTCTGTATAATCTTTATTCCGTGCCCCTGTACTCAACAAACAACAAATTTAAAGCCTGTATGCAGTCTAGTCTATTTATAAATTTATGAAGATAACTGTAAATACTTGTTATAGCAAAATGATTAAAGCACAGTACATTCCCATGTAAAGTAAACGAAACATCCAGGCAGAAAAGTCGATGTCATAAAATAAGGCCTATTCACCGTACAATCTATATGTAAATTTATGAAAATATCTGTGAATACTTGTTATCCTAATGTGATCAAAGTACTGTACATCAACAGTGAACGAAACATGCCAGAACAATCGTTATATTTGAAAAAAAGTCCGACATTCCAACACGAGGTTTATGCTGTTGCTTTGAGAATATTTTTAAAAGCAGTTATATTTCGCTTTAGTCAATGATCTTGGATTATTGAAAATATTGAGAAGGACTTGCTCTAATTTTTGGATGATCCTTACCGAAGATTTCGTTGTTGCTGTACCAAATTGGTGCGAAATCTACATATGACATCTATGTCAAATAGTGCTATTGCAAGTATGGTGCTTCATTTCACTATTCCCCCAGTGATTTATTTGCATGAGAAAAGATATCACTGCACCAATGAAAGAAACCAACGATAAATTCAATTGCACGGCATAGCCATTCGATACCAGGCCCAACGTGCGACCTTTCAAGAATCGTCGAAAATTCTGGAATTCTTCTCCGCGTTTCATAAACGTGTACTCATCATAATTAACAACTTTATGAGTAGAACTGGTGGCACAATCATTGTTATTTTGCCAATAGCTCGCTCTTTTTTCCTGACCTAATGCAGATTGAAAGTCGTTGCAAGTCTTTGTGCCACAATTGTCCGTCACAAGTGATTCATCTTGTTCGTGAACCTCAAGTAACCATGGTGATATGTTGTTTATTCTTTCCGAAAATTTACATTCGCGGCTCTTGAATAGCTGTCCAATAAAAATTGGTGTGAACCAAATTGTCATGGTAAACACGAGGTAACAGATGAACTTAGGAAGATGTTTAGATTGATAAGCACGTCCTGTAATAGCTTGAGCCAAACTACAGCCGTACAGCGGTAAAACCAGCAAGACAATGTTATGGACGAGGAACCATAGCGAGATTCGTTTCCAGGAACGTTGTACTGGATGGGCATATACATGAATAAACAGCGAAACTGCGTTATCCGTTGAGTCCTTCCACTTCAAAAAGACATTTTCCAGTATTTTTAAGCGTGCTGCATAAGAACAATATAAAAGTCCTAACGTCCATGATAAAGCCAAGCCAATACCGAGATCGTAGAAAACCAAAAATGGAATTAAGGCATACAAGATACGGTCCATAACGCCGTGTATGTGAGGTGTCTGCGAAGAAAATCTTTCATCGCCTTTGTACCAAAGAAGCTGTGTTGTAAAAAATAACGTCAACAGCATTATAGTAAAAAATGTTATCGACAACACAACGACGATGTTAAGTCTTTTGATCATGCGATATAAGGGTTTCTTTACTCCAACCAACAAGACGTTTTTTGTCTTAAATACATTTGTTTCAAGGTCTCGTGTGGAAAAGTAGCGGTTGCCTAGGATGTGACCAAGCCATATGGCCACCTCATGACCGACAAACACTGTCTCCGTGTTAAGCCATGATGGTTTTTCTGTTGACCGAAGAGCATTGCGTATCGGTCCAGTCACGAGAAGAAGCAAATTGACAAGCATTGGATAGATATAGCATTCCACGAAGCTTGCTGATGCTGGTCGCCATAATGATAAAAGGCGCAGGAAAAAGCGAATAATTCGAAATTCTCTTGAATTGAATGATAGATTTTCTATCCCCTCGTTTTGCATTTCAACCAACTCAACTGACATCCTTTTGTTTTCCTTTAATTTCAAGATATAGAAATATCGTAATGGGCAACTATTTTGTGATGGTCGTTTGCTTGAAAACTTGAGTGATAATAAAATACCGTTTATAACTTGTTGAGATACCTTGTTGAGATACTCGTAAAATCATTGTATATAGGCGTTCGGGTTAATCACACTCGTATAATCATTGAGTATGTTTGTTCGTATCATGCGCGTAACCTATGCATGTAAAGAATTTCTAGAGATATTGTACGAAGTGTTTAGGAAGATGCGTGTACACATTTTGCATTTCAGCACTTAGACGATATTTACGATGTCATGGCAGTTTAGCTCCTGTTAGAAAGGATTACTGTTATGAAACAAATATCTCAATGAAAGAAATGTTGTCTATTTTGTATTCAACAGTCTTAGTTGAAGAACTGCAAATTTGCTAGCTATTATTTGTTGACGTCTCTATGCTGTTGAATTATTCCTATAAACTGCGAATAGAAATGTTGCTGTGAAGTTGTACGGTAGACGGATGTAAATGTAGTAAACAAGCAAAATTAACGTAAAAGAAATAGTTATTTACTTACAGAAATACCTTGACTGTCAAACCCTACGAAGTTTTGTCTTCTGTCTGCTTAAGGAAAGTGAAGTTTTCAATAAGCATGTTATCATTTTCAAGTTCGTGTTTCCGATCATTTATTACGATTATGAGATCTGTCACAACAATGACAAGAAATATAGGAGTCTAAGTGTGCATTTAGATAAATTATAAAACCTAAAATTTTAGTGCTGTTCTAAAATATATTACATGGTATTTGAAATGGCCAACCACATCCAGTAACAATGCTCAGCGAAGTGCACCTACTCTTTATTGCTTTGTTTTAATACGATATTACTCAACAAACAATGTAAGGCCTGCATACAGTCCAATATATGTAAATTTATGCAGAAAATGTGAATATAATAGTTACACCAAACCTGCGAGTATTTTTCTATCAAATAAATGGTTTTAAATTATCGGAAAGTTGAAGCACAAGCTCGAGTTTTTATATTAATGCTACAACGAATAGGGCGTGTTAATGCAAGGCTTATGTTGAATGGTGCAGCTTTAAATATTGCCATATTTATATCAAATGGTGCAGTTTCATCAAATGGTACGAATATCATTAAAATGGTTTAACTTCTATGTTAAACAGTACGACATATAATTGTGTTGAATTGGTGCAACATCCATGTTAAAATGGTGCAAGATTTATCTAGAATGGTGCAACATCTATGTCAAAAGGTATAACATCTACCTCTAATGGTAACATCTGTGTTAAAATGGTGCAAGATTTATCTCAAATGGTGCAACATCTATGTCAAAAGGTGTAACATCTACCTCTAATGGTGTAACATCTGTGTTAAAATGGTGCAAAATTTATCTCAAATGGTGCAACATCTATGTCAAAGGGTGCATAATCTATCTCTAATGGTGCAACATCAATCTTATATGGTGTAACATCTATGTCCAAACTGTGTAACATCTTTCTCAAATTGTGCAATATCCATGTTAAGCGGTGCAATTGCCAATATTGCGCGTCATTTCACCACTTTTCCAGTGATTTATTTGCAAGATGAAAGATATCACTGCACCAATGAAAGAAACCAACGATAAATTCAATTGCACGGCATAGCCATATGATACCAGGCCCAACGTGCGACCTTTCAAGAAGCGTCGAAAATTCTGGAATTCTTTTCCGCGTTTTACAAAAGTGTACTCGTCATAATTAGCGACGTTATCAGTTGAGGTGGTGGCACAATCATTGTTATTCTGCAAATTTCCCTTGGTGTTTTCATGACTTGATGAAGATTGAAAGTCGTTGCAAATCTTTGTTCCACAATTGGCCGTCACACGTGGTACATCGTGTTCATGGACTTCAAGTAACCATGGTGATATATTGTTTATTCTTTCCGAAAATTTACATTCGCGGCTCTTGAAAAGCTGTCCAATAAAGATTGGTGTGAGCCAAATTGTCATGGTAAATACAAAGTAACAGATGAATTCAGGAAGATGTTTCGAATGATAAGCACGTCCTGTAATAGCTTGAGCCAAACTATAGCCGTACAACGGTAAAACTAGCACGACAATGTTATGGACGAGGAACCATAGCGAGATTCGTTTCCAGGAACGTTGTACTGGATGGGCATATACATGAATAAACAGCGAAACTGCGTTATCTGCTGAGTCCTTCCACTTCAAAAAGACATTTTCCAGTATTTTTAAGCGTGCTGCATAAGAACAATATAAAAGTCCTAACGTCCATGATAAAGCCAAGCCAATGCCAAGATCGTAGAAAATTAAAAATGGAACTAAGGCATACAAGATACGGTCCATAACGCCGTGTATGTGAGGTGTCTGCGAAGAAAATCTTTCATCGCCTTTTACAGAAAGAGTTCGTGTTGTATAGAACAGTGTCCACAGCATTATTGTGAAAAATGTTGTGGAAAACACAACGGCGATGTTAAGTCTCTTGATCATGCGATATAAAGGTTTCTGCACTTCAACCAACAAGACGTTTTTTGGCTTTAATACATTTGTTTCAAGGTCTCGTGTGGAAAAATAGCGGTTGCCCAGGATGTGACCAAGCCATACTGCTATCTCATGACCCATAAACACTATCTCCACGTTTGGCCATGATGGTTCTTTTAATGTCCGAAGTAAATTGCGTATCGGTCCAGTCGTTATAAGGAGCAGATTAACAAGCATCGGATACACATAGCATTCCACAAAACTAGCTGATGCTGGTCGCCACAATGAAAGAAGGCGCAGAAAAAAGCGAATGATCTGAAATTGCCTTGAATTGAACGAGAGATTTTCTGTCCCTACGTTTTCCATTTCAACAAAGTCCACCGCCATCCTTTTCTTATCCTTCAATTTCAAGAGATGAAAATATCGTAAAGGCAGAGATATTTTGCTAGTGTTGTATTGAAACGTGTTCTACTAATACTATATTGTTGTTGATCTGTTGCATTTAATAATGCAGTTGAAAATGGCATTGCAGAATTAATGTACCTTTTAGGATTCATATTATTATGATGTTTTACTGATAATGGCTTGGGAGTATATTCATGTATGTAGTCGTTGTTTGTTCGTAAGTAGGTTCGATATAATTTATGAAAAATTTTCCGAAGCTAAAGAATCGATAAAAGACTTAATTTATCTTATTAATGTGATTGTTTAATGCTTGTATTGTGTTCACTGTATCACTATAGCAAAGGGACTGTTGTCTAACATGTCGCATGATAGAAGTTCAATATCTATTTCACGTATAGCAGTATTTGTAGGCGAAATGTGATGACTTTCTCAAGCAAATTTTGTTGATGTCGTTATAATCTCTACTTCATTTCAAAAAGCTGTCATATGAGGATCAAAAATCAGATCATAAATTCTGAATATGAATGAGAATACAAATTCTGGGAATTAAGCCAGAGTTCATATTCTGGCCTTGACTTACACATCTCTTCACAAAATGCGATTTCAATAGCCATTGTAATGTTCCGATGAACAGGGAATTGTAGTTTCAATTTTGTGAATGCTATAAACAAAAAGAATGGAAAAGGAATAGATATGTATACTTACTTACAACAAAAATGCCTTGATTCTGAAACTTTACGAAGTTAGTCTACCAGAACGTGTCTACCCGTTTCCCATTTCTCAGCTAGCTCGCACGTTTTTATTTTTCCATTTCGGCGACGAAGAGTATGAAATCAGTATCATTATTGACATTCTTACGTTGCTAAATATTACATATAGCCGTGTCTGCCCTTGAAGTGGTGATCTTCACACTCGATGCTCATTAATAAACGTATTGTAGTCTGACAAACACTTGATACGCAGCTGCATACTCATTAAAGCCTGTTTTCCACTAGCCACGTATCGTAACGTATCGTAGCAAAACGTAACATGGCGCATGCGTGCTTGTGAATTTGACGGTCAATTGGCACAGTCACGCATGCGCCATGTTACGTTTTGCTACGATACGTTACGATACGTGGCTAGTGGAAAACAGGCTTAAGCCTGGTCTGGCAGTCGTACGAGCTAAAATTTCATGTTCATAAATTGTGGAAATATCTCCGATACTAAGAAATGTGAAAAAAGATCGTGGTTTCTGTTAGAGTTGTATTGACTCATATGGTGTTGTATGTTTTGTTCGTTTATCTAGAGAATGGAACATGGAATCGTTAATCAGATATATTAGAGTAATAGGAGGCCCTCCTGGTCGAGAGGGTTTACTCGTTGGATTGAAGAATGGACAGGTATTATTAGATTATCCAGTGGCTAGTATTCATATATACATTTTATAATTTATAAGAATAATAATTGATTTCAAAGAAACTTGATGGTTACTTTTTCAATATCGATAGTTAAGGCTGAACTAACATCCAACCATTACTCCCAAATGTCCTCCTAGTTTATAGAAAATTAAATTTAGATAGTAGTTCATTTTTTTGTACCTTGTACTTTTTTATCATACATATATATCAAGTATTTTTTATCGATATTCACAACGCAATTTACGGGTATAACTTATAGCCAAAAATTTCTCCCCTGTAACGGCAAAAATATCATTTCAATTCGTGTATGTTGATGTACAGATCTTGAAAATTTTCATGGACAACCCTTTTCCTGTGATGTTATTGAAACACGAAACCGGCATTCGCTGTTTAGATTTAAGTTGCAGGTAACAATGATTAAATTGTGATAGAGAGAAAGTTTATGTCATAATGTGAAGTAAGTCTTTCAATTTTTATTGAAAGAAGCTGTCAACCTTTCTCGTCTTGTTAGTCGTACTAAGATAGCTGTCGTTGGCGAAAATAACACTTGCCTCGTGTTTAATCTGAAGAATAAAGAGTTGCTCTTCCAGGAGCCTGGTGCCAATAGTGTTGTTTGGAACACCCAAAACGAGGTGTGTCGCCGACGATGTAAAATCCCATTCTATAGTGTAATGTTGTATTTGGGACATGTTGAATATATTAACGCATGCTTATTTGGTATTTCAGTACGGATTTTCAATCACGTTTTGTCTTTGAACTTTGAGAAATTCAAGTTTTCAAGTCCGAGCTTAAAATAGGCCAAATAAATTCTCTTAGCGTCACATTTCTGCCATGTCAGCATTTCCAGTTCTTCATTTCCAATCTTCATATAAATCACTGCAAAGCAACTCCCTATACGAATTACTCAAGTAATGATATCAATATAATTAATCTTTAACTTGGATAATCTTTAACTTGGATAATCTTTAACTTGGATAATCTTCTTTTGTTGCATTCAATTTTGCCGTGTGTTTCACAGGATATGCTGTGTTTTTCTGGAAATGGATTCTTAAACATAAAGTCCAGCAACTTTCCTGTACATCGACAAAAATTACGGGTACGATATCGCAGATGCATCTCAACATTGTAAAATCGAACGCATTTATGGAGACAAACTGAATATTCCATTTTTTACGTCATAGGGTTTTGTAGTTGGTTTTACTGGATCCAAAATCTTTTGCCTTAATATGTATGAAATGAAGACGGTCGATGTTCCTCAGGTAAATATAACAATAAAATGTTTTTTCTTCTACAAGGTATTAAAGCTGAGTAGTTCCACCACTTAGCTTTTTCTTATAGTTTTTTTTTATGAATGGAAAGGTTGTATTTATGGTATTCTCATGCATGAAGTTTCTATTTTCACTAAGTGTGTATCTTTGCTTGTTTCTATGTTCACATTCTTTTCGAGAATATTTTCGCAAGATTTTAATCTTTATTTTGTCAATTTACTTGTCATGCAACACAATGAAAACTCGCCCAAATCGTGCACACATATCTCTCATCGCTCAACAGTTATGTTCATTCGAGTCCATCATGATGAGAATATTTGTGATTGATATAACGTTGAACGAGCTCCAACCATTGAACTAAAATACATGGAACGCTACCTGAAGCAAATAATTGAAGCCAAATCTTACACTCAGACTCGCGAGACTTTACCCCCAGACGCGCGTGTGTAGTGTTTCGAGATTCTCTCGCAGAGTAATAATTGTTTGACTACACACGCGTGTCTGGGGTAAAATCACGGCTTCAAAAAATTATTAGGGTTTTGTATTACAGGTAGCGTTCCATGTATTTGAGTACAATAGTTCATCCATAGTTTCTCATTTACAACAGGAGGGAATTGACATTAAACAAAATAAATATTTTATTTTTTCCACGTCTTCAGTCAGCTTCTATGTATCAATACTTGGAAACGAAGATGTTCAAAGAGGCATACAAGGTTGCGTGTCTTGGAGTTACTGATGGGGATTGGAGATCACTTGCAATGAGTGCTATGGAGGTAGCATCAAGCTTTGTATCATTTTAGGATCAAATATAGGAAATAGAACGATTGTTTTAATGGTGTGACTAAAGGCTGATTCCCATGTAGTTTATCATCGTTGAAGTGTTTCTGATTGATTAAAATAGTGGTTAGATTAAATTGGTTAGATTTACTCTAAACAATTGTCGTCAGTGGTATAAAAATAGATAACTTAATTTTCAGACTGCCAATGTACCTTTTCATCTTGGGTTACTGCTAATGTATGTTATCATCTTGGGTTACTGCTAATGTACCTTATCATCTTGGGTTACTGCTAATGTACCTTTTCTTGTTGGAGTACAACTAATGAACCTTTAATTGTTCAATCAATCTTAATTTTACTTAAAATTATTTACATTGCTTTTCTAGGGATTAAATTTTGACATAGCCAAGAAGGTAATATTTCATAAATTATTTGTGTTTACATGCATACACTTTTCTCTCAATCTAAAACATTTTGGTATTTGTTGACCGAACCATGAAAAACTTATACGTTGAACAGGCGTTTATAAGAGTTCGTGATTTAAGATACTTGGAGTTGCTTCAAAACATCGAGGTTTGTACTCCTGGTCATTTTGCTTTGCATGTGCACGTACTATTGATTGTTGTTTGCATGCAATTTGAGCAACTCAGGTGCTGTAATTTTGATGATTTTCTATTTTTCATAAACTGGGCCATTTGCTTATTTAGGAAAGAAAGAGGCGCGGCGAATCGGATGGCCTAGCTTTCTTAGCAGATATATATGCTTATCAAGGAAAATTTCAAGAAGCTGCCAAGCTATATAAGAAGACAGGAAAGGAGGAAAAGGTTCTGTTTTGTTGTGCCATCTGATGTTCTGTTTTTCAAATCAGAAGTTTTGTATTTTAAATTATTTCAGGCTTTGTCAATGTTCTCCGATCTTCGTCAGTTTGAATATGCTAAAGTATGTAGACACGTTAGAATTGAAGACTTGCATTAGTTTGTAGTGAAATTTTAATACCATTATCCTTTGTTGGAGGTACTGTTTTACACTTGAATGTTCAGCTCTGTGTGTAACTAAATATGTGTACCTTCAGGAATTTATTGGTTCTGGTGATGCTAAAAACGTGAAACAATTAATCAAACAACAGGCAGAATGGGCTAAATCTAGTAACGATCCCAGAGCGGCTGCGTAAGTAATGTCCAATTTTTTATCTTATTTAAAAATCATGTGACCGATGATGAAATTTCTTTTCGTCATTTTCAGTGATATGTATTTGACTGCTGGTGAACATATGAAAGCTATTGATTTGATAGGAGAAAACGGTTGGGCTGACAAGTAAGTCGTTTTCATTATTTTTGTATTGTTCGAATGAGGTAATTGACAAATACTTGCAAATTTGTCAAGGTTGTTTACTACTAGAAAAAGTAAACAGGGGAGTTCTGAACTGTTGGAATGGAAAGATCCATTTTCCTTCCCAAGTATACTTGTCATTTTTGGGGTCTTTACCATCGACTGGAATGTGTTTTTAATGACTTTAAGGTTGCTGGAAGTGGGAAGAAATCTTAATAAGGCCGAAGTTGAAGCTTTAAAGAAATGCGCTCAATATTTCGTCAAACTGGATCAGGTAGCAATCTCTTTTTTCCTATTACTTTTTTCATATAACCAATGCTTTATTGAGAGTAGTTTGCCAAGGGTGCCGGCGGCAAGCCTGCTTTTTAAGGTTCTGGCGACAAGTGTGTAAAAAGCTTGAATTGTTTCCTTGTTTAGCACGATTATGCAAGTGAAATGTTTATAAAAATTGGTGATGTAAAATCTTTAATGAAGTTACACGTGGACACTCGGCATTGGGATGAGGTAAATAACAACGTCAAACTCTAGCCATAGTTTTTTATCTCGATCTCATCAACACTTGTTGGTCTCGATGTCATCATTAACTTATTTGATTTTTCGTCATAAATACTTCTTTGATCTCTACATAATCATCAGTTTTCGATCTAGACATCTTCATCACTTGTTTTATCTAGGCGTCAATATCAAATTTTTTAAGTAAGCAACTCGTTTTGTTTACAATCATTTAGGCTTTTCATCTTTTGAAAAAGGAACCTGACTTGAAGGTACGAAATAGAAACCTCTAGTTTGGTGTAGGTTGTAAATATTTTCTGAGCTTAAGATGTAGCTTCAATATAATGCTCACTAGTTATTCTTCTCTTAAATATACGTTACTCATTAAGAACATAATAACGTTGAATATGCTTAAATCGTCGAGACACACGACGACATTTTCTCACTCAAGGATACTATCCCAAGTGTATTTTTCGCATGCTATACTCACGAACAACATCCTAAGTTTATTATTACTCCCATATTGTCACTCTTTAGACTGTCTTGGAAATATCTTTGTTGCAAACAATAAAATATTTGTAACAATGAATTGCGACCATAACGTTAGAATAATTACGTGACTCTAAATATTACGACAGGCCACACATATATGGCATGATAGTCGCCATTTACCAATGAAATTTTTAATTACTCACCACTACTTCGTTCTGATTTTTCAACCACAGAAAGTGCTTATTTGATTAAAAAATTTTCTCAGGACGATGTCTACATACCGTACGCTAACTGGCTTGCCGAAAACGATAGGTTCGACGAAGCCCAAGAAGGTGAGAACGTAGTGTAAGCCTGGCAAAAAGTACTGGAAACACGGCGTTATTTCGCATGGCTCATCCCTAAGGTTCTTATTTTTTTGTACTTTTTTTGTAGCATTTCATAATTCAGGTCAACAACATAAAGCCATTAAGGTTTTGGAAGAGCTGACACATAACGCTGTCAGCGAGAAGAGGTTTGATCATCAGATCGACATCATGATAGAAAAGATCATTAAGTTCCCATGTGTTTTCATCCCTCAAGGTTCAACGACGCTGGTTATTATTACTGGAAATTATCAATGCAATGCTTACATGTTGCTGTCGATAAAGGTTTGAATATCATTTTCCTTAAGGTTGTTCATTTAATATCACTTCCTCAGTAAAATGTTTATTAGTTTATGTTATAAAATAGACACAGTAAAACTCGTGCGCTGATTGGTCTAGAGCTGAGTTAGCATTAGCCTGAGCAAACCGATCTGAACTAAATCAATTAAATCAATCAAAGAAAATTTTAAAATCAATAAACATCTTTTTTCTTAAACAATGGATTTAGGTAATAGGTGCTTGATAGAAGTAAACATCTGAAAATTATGTTGAGTCCATTTATATATTTTAAAATATGAAAGATGCACAGCATTTGCTAATGGTTTTGGACGGTCCACATGATTTATCCAGTATTTGAATCTCGATGATTATGTTTCTTATTTTAAATCTTCAAAGTGATTTTAATTGCCTTAAAATGGCGACTACAAGCGAGATCATACTTACATTTTATCTGTTTCCATGTCCTGTTTACAAAGTCAAGACTTGATTTTTATAGGGTATGTGTATTGCTTATATGGTATGATATGTTACATTCACTTCCGGTTAACGTTGCAAATTTTTTTTCTATAAGATTATTATTAAATTGCTAATTTGCTATACTGTAGTAAATACGTTAAAAATTTCGTTCCAGACGGTGAAACGAGTCCTGCAATGTTGACGAAATTTTACGAATATCAAACGAAAGCGGAAATTTATCATCTCTACCATTCCATACAAAGATACACGGTATAAGAGAAATTTAGAATGTTTATGTCCTTTTAAAGGATGTCAAAATTCTTCCTAAACACGTTAAAAAATTTTATTCTAAAGTTTACTCATTGCTATATAGGAACTGCTTGTAACAATTAACTTATGAACTAACTTTCTATGTCTGTTGTTCTATGACGTTCATCTTTTTATTTAGTGTTGCCTTTTGGTTTTAATCCGCTCAATGCTTGTAGCAATTAACTTATGACTAACTTTCTATGTCTGTTGTTCTATGACGTTCATCTTTTTATTTAGTGTTGCCTTTTGGTTTTAATCCGGTCATATTTACCAACGGATTTAACGAGCTGCCGTTTGTTCAAAGTGATTATTATTAAAAGGGCTTATGTTGATTTTTCATTTTGTTTGTGGTTCGAGTTGCCGAATTCGACGATTTTAGCTGTTTTGACCACCGACGTCTTTCAGAAGTACATTTCCAAGCAGTATAGTATGTCTGTCATTTGCTTAAAAATGTTCAACAATTATTTCAGGACGAACCATTCACGGACCATTTACCAGAAGCGTTATTCAACATTGCTCGTTATCTGCTTCATCTAATTTTAAAAGAAACTCCATCAGGGATCTCTAGAGTGTATCCTTTAATTTGGTTGTAGAGTGGCTTCAATGTGTGTGTCTCGGACAGACAGACAGTCAGTCAGTCTCGTTCATTGTCACAAAATGATCACTTAGCTAACTGCAGCAGGTGTCTGAGACTATTGCTCACTGTCGACGGACATTGGTTGTTTCTTCAACTGTGTGTATTTGTATAAATGCTTACAAGAAAGTGTTTTACATTTGCAAAGAGAGCTTTGTGAATCAATTATTTGATTTTGTGTTTTCATAAAGTTTTTTTGTTTTTGAAAGAGGATTTTGGGAAACAGTTTGTGTTTGCACTGATATGTGACCTTTTGCCATGTTGGTGTGTCTGCATAGTGCATGGAAAACGATTCAAACAAAGCAATCGTCAGTTTTTTCCTTAAATCTTTCCAGTGCAACCCTGTTTACTCTTGCTAAGCAGGGAAGACATCTCGGTGCTTACAAAATGGCTCGTTATGCTTACGATAAATTACAGGTTGGTCGGAGTTCTTGCAAATATATATTTATTTTCATCGCATATAATACAGTGAATGCAAAGAAGCTTAGTTAAAACTTGCGATTGGCAAATCAAAAATCAACATCTCACATTTATCAAAGCTCATCAACCTTGGAATTTGATCTGTCTCATCTTCACTTTTTCTTTTTTTAGTCTTTGAGGATTCCGGCCAAGTTTCAAGAATATATAGATATTGGATGTATCACTATCCGAGCCAAGCCTTTCCTCGATAATGAAGTTAGTATGTTTACATCAGTGGCGGATCTAGGGTTACTCAAAATAAATTACTGCTGCACATTTTGCAATATATTTTCATTTCTAAAACCTTCAGAGAAAAGTCCATTGGTGAAATTATATTCTTTAAAAATTCAAAACCAATAGTGCTTTTCTGAAAGTACTTTGAATTTAAAATTAAGCAGCTTTAATTTTATTTTGCTCGCCGCTCCTCGCTGTGACTACCCCAAGACCGCTACTGATTTACATACATCGATTGTACTTTAGAAAGAAAAACATATAAAAATTGTTTTGTACGAAATCATTTTTATTTAGGAAATTCTTCCAATGTGTTATCGTTGTTCCACTACAAATCCATTACTGAACAATAAAGGCAATCATTGCATCAACTGTCGACAGCCCTTTGTCTATTCTTTTTCCTCGTTTGGTAAGAAATTTCCAACAAGTCTGGGTTACATTACAAGTCTGGAATGTAAAATTATATAATGACATATTTATTGAAACTGAAAATGACACTTTCATCCGTTTTTTCAGATGTTTTACCGTTGGTGGAATTTGTTCTTGAGGATGGTATAAGGTTGGCACTTAACCTTTTCTTATACTCATAATCTTATTGCGTTGGGTATTCATATGAACTTTTTTCACAGTGACGAAGAGGCTGCAAAATTAATCGATGCTGACGTTGGCATGAAACGCAAGAAAAAATGGGACGAGACTAGCACGGGCAGTATCCTTGATCTATGTCAATGGGCTCCACAGTTAGCCATTGATTCTCAATTTTTTTTGTATGATTTTGCAGTGTTCTTTGACATTTTCTCATCAGATATTCAGTCCCTTCAGCTTTTAGATGAGTCAAGTAACATGGATGATGACGATCCCTTTACGGAGAAATTGATGAGTTTTGAAGTGAGGGCAATCGTGCTGCACGAGTGAAAAAGTTTAAGTAGTTTACTATACGTTTGTGTGGACTTTCCATCAATAAAACTTTCCAAAAATAATTTTTTGACTTCTTCCTATTAGCAAGGGGGCACCGAATTTATCCCCGTCACAGTTGGCCGTGCAGTCCTTCAATCTATGAATCGTCTTGAAGTATTTGTTAAGAAATGGCCTAAACCATTGAAATGCAATTACTATAAATCGATCATGCCAGAAGTTGCCATAACATTATGCGATTCTTGCAATAGAGTGAGTATAATCTTAAGATTTGCACAGAGTGCCCTGCAGTGATCAGTTAAAATACGATCTGCCACGTTATACATAGGTTTTCTTTTAAGTGACTAGTTTTCTCTTGTTAATTGTTTTCATTTAATTGCTTTCTTTTATACTGTTTTGGTATTTCCTTCTAACGTGCTTGTAAATCTTGCTTGTGTTCTCAACTTTAAATATCCATGAGAAGTTTTGATATTTGAAAATTCTTTTTTAGGTTTTTAAAATAGATTTACGTCGAATTTATTTCTCTTCAATGTTTCTTTAGATGTTTCACTCGGAAGATTATGATCTTTTGGTTTTGCAGAAAGGACACTGTCCATTTTGTAGAAAAAGGGCTGATAATATTTAAGTGTCTTCGGAAGAGAGGAAGCTGAATATGTCCTACAAAACTCATGTAAATAATGTACAATGCCACTTAGGAAATATAGCTGCACCTAGAAGTTTGTCTCTTTTTTGATGAGTATGTTTAATTCCGTTTGCAAGTTTGGAACATGGTGCTAGGTTTAGTGTTTGTGTTTATCGAACTGCATTATCATTGAACGATAAACATAGTAAAGCAGATTTAGCAACGCCAAATTTTATCTATTGTATTTCTGTTTGTTTGTCCAGCAAAAATCTTTAAAGACGCAACTATTTACATGCTATTTATTAGTTATTGTTACTGAAACATGCTTGAGTTCAACTCAAATTATCAACCATTTTATCTTTCTTTATATTTATATATACATCACACAGTGTTTTGAACATCAGCACATACCGTCTGCACTGTGCACTTTATGAACGATCGGCTAATTAAAAAATCTTGTCAAATATGTGATCTCAAATTGATCACCAACGAGTGAAAGAACCCGTCCAATATCTTTACATCTTTTTTTATTTTCATCTGACGTCGTTGAAGCCTCGACGATTGCACTTTCCTCGTTAGTCGACATTGCGTTTTTGTCGAACTGTGTTTGATTTTCTTTGGCGTCCATTTCTGTTTTCGTTTTTCTTGGCCAAGTATTTGAAGACAAGATGGCAAGAAATAACACGAGAACTGCAGATCAGAAAACAAGCATTCAGTTGAAAAATCTCGCTAAATACTTGGCTTTATATCAAGTCATTGTAACAATCAACCTCTTTCATGTCCGTGCTTTTGAACATGGCTATACTTGCCTGCAATGATTACATTGCGTTTTTATCCTCTAATCTTATTTTTAAGTATTTTTCAAAGGAAACTGAAAAATTTTAAAGTAGAAACTTACCTCGTATCTAAAAAGAAGACTATGATCGCTTTGTTTTATGAAAACTAACGGCCAACTCGGCAGCAACAGAACTGTATGTTTATCTTACGTTTACTATTGTTAACTGAAGTCAATGGTAGGTTTTTACGTTCATTTCTGTTTGTTGCGCGCGAAAAAATGTAGTTCGCACTTCCGGAAAATGGCTTCCAATTGTTTTAACATTTACACCTCACCAATCAAATTCAATCTTACGTCTTGACGTAAAAGCTCAATGTTCAATAAAACGCCATGTTTATATATATTTATAGGACGAAAAACTTCTTTACTAAGAAACTTTCTATTGAATAAAAACAATTCATAGTTAAATGGCGTTGAATGAGTTACTATCGTATAATATATTAATATATTATATGTATTCTCTGATGATGGCTTTGGAATAGAGTTACTATCGCGTTAATTAATATTTACTTAAACCGGAAATGTCGGCTTTCTTTCATTTGATATAAGCTTTCACTTTCATTCATTTTGAAATTTGTTTTAAGTTACATTTATGATATTCGTAATACAAAAATGTATGAAATTAACACCTCAATCATAATTTTTAAATTCCCCAGTCTCTAGAGATGTTTATAGTCTCTTTTATTGAGTTTTAGTTTTAAAGTACAAATAAATTTTGAATACGCTTGTCGCGACACGCAAGAAGTCTGAGAAGCCAGATGTTTTTTGAACCAATCACAATTGATTTAGTTAATGATACGAAACTCGTGATTGGCTGGTGCTAAGAAAAAAATGCCAATTGTTAAGAAGTTGTTATTGCCACCAGCATCGTCCTTCGCGTTACGATTCCTTCTTCTAGTACACTATCACATTATTTTTGTGATTGCTAAAGCTTGATATCTTGTTCTATCATTTTTTTACAGCTCAAACTGATCTAAGTACTTTTCCCGCTTACAAGACAAACTAGTAAGTGAAAGCGGTCGATCAAACAACATACGTTTGTTCTATATTATATTTTAGGAGTTTACGTTATTGAATATGAATACGTTTATTCATTTGTTTGTGTGAATCTAATGACTGAATTTGCCTTAAAATTTATGTCGTATGTAATACTTTCTTTATTTTAAACGAACTTAGACATTGCTTTGTTTTAGGGAACGTTCGGGGAGGAAACCGTGGTAACCAAACGACCTACAACGACGTTATTTTGTTGAAGTTGTTGTTCAAGTAGACGCCATTAAATTTGTCAAACACGGAATTTAGAAAATGTCGCTCGATTCTTGTGATAGTGATTTTTCTTCGTCAGATGGTCCCGCCAGCCCTACAGAGGAAATTCCCAATATTTTTGAACCGTTTGTAAAGGAAACCGAAGATTTGTTGGTCGATTACTTTGGTTTTCGTTTAAGATCGAAACTAAGGCAGTCGTCTTTGCGTGGACTTCCTCGAGAGTATTTAATTCCGCCTGTGAATCCAAGCAACAAGGCTATTAAACTCAGAAATTTAGCTCTCAATTTGGAAAATCAGCACGAGCATCTTTTTAAGCAAATCTGTTTGAAGGTGGATTTGTCGGAGTTCCAAGCGAAGAGAAGCTTTGATCTTATCGCTGAAGAAATCTTTTCAAATGAAATTCATTGGGGAAGAATCGTATCGCTTATAACATTCACTGGTGTAGTTGCCCATTATTTAATCGAGCAAGAGCGCCCAGAAATGGTGGAGGAATTGATGAACTGGCTTTTAAGTTTTGTGCGTGCTAATCTTATGACTTGGATCATTGCAAACGGTGGCTGGGTAGGTTTAGTTTTTTCTACATCTAGAATGAAGCCCTTAACACTAACCCAAAGAAAATATTTAGCAGGCTAAAAAAATATTTGTTCAATTATTCACAAGGTTTTTTCTGTCGCGAAGGGGTAAACACCTTTTGAAAGGACATGTGTTTTCAAAACGTCCCTTTGGCAGAATGCGCATGAATATTGATGAATATTTAAAGTGTCATGCTGCAAAATATTTTCCAGGCTTGACAAGAATGACCATGTCAAGTCATTGGACCTTGGTACCCAAGGAACTTGTGGTATTCTGATGAATCATGTGATGAAGGTCATATATATGGCTGACTTTTTGGAAGTCAGCCATTATCCTGGCTGTGCTCTCATTCAAAAATTGTGTTGCTTGCAGTTTTCTAAGGATATTATTGTTCGAATGATTTGCCTTGGCAACATGAATTGACCAATGTTTAGTTGTCAACGAGTTTTTCATTCATTCTTCAGTGACACCCATCAAGTAGATTCCTTTTATAATGTGTGATCTTTTAACTTACTAGATGCATTTAAAAATCTGTTTTATAGAATGGATTTCTTGTTCATTTTAATGGCCAAGAACAACAGAAGTCATTCTGGACCGGGGTATTTGCAATGGGTGCAATAGGTGCAGCTGGTATAACTCTATTGGCAATGTCAAAATAATAAATGTTGCAACAGCTGCAAACCATTGATGTGTTTGTACAAAATGAGTAATTTGTAAAGAAATTAATCCACTAACTTATGCTGTTACCTAACCCCTGTTAACATTCACCATGTGAATATTTTACTAACTTGGTTTCTCTAAACTGCTGCTATTTTCCTTTGTGAATTAAATTCTCTGATATATTTAAGGTAAGTTGCATCATGTATAAGTCTTTCTAACACTGTGTGTTTTTGGTTTACAAATCGGTTTTCTCAAGCCCTTATCTTATAACAATTAACCCAATGCGTATTTGTCTAATTATTCAAAAGTACAACATATTGCTTGTATGAAATATTCACTCATATTTCATATGCTTAATTTGACGCAATTACTAATTTAGTGAGTTACAACAAACAGATAATTTTCATGTTGCTCAATTAGAGCCTGACAGGGTGCAGCAGCTTGTATGAAATACTTGCGTAGTTTGTGCTATTGCATTTTGAAATAAAGTTTTGAGTTTATTCAAAATCAATGTGACTGCGTCTCTTCTTTCCTACCAAGAGAAAAGAGTTTATATTGGCTGTTTAATACGATGTGATCTTCAGAGTGTACGTATCGGATGTTTCACGTCACACGTCATATGCCTTTACTGCTGTCTTCATTGTCTGTATCTTGATAATTAAGTAGTGCTGCTTACTACGAGCTTCCACATATTAACCTTATCTTACCAAAAAACATTACTCCACGACTAGCAAAGTTCGACAGCTTTCTGCAATTGGTCGAAATTTTTATGTTAAATAATATCTCTGTTGTAAATATTTCTTAACCTCGAGGCATGATTTGTACTTAAACCTATATAAAGATGAGTGTGCCTTTGTTTCCCAAATCCGTCAACAACGCTCAGTCATGTATATGTCGTCGAGTGTGTTCATAAATTGGGGGAGGGGTGGATGTTAAAAAAAGATGGCCAAGAAATTTTTATTTGCCAAGAGAATATTATTAAGAATAATCAAGCAGACAACTCATAATATGTTGGGGAGTTTGTGTTATGCCATTCAACAAGTTATTGTACTCTTCGCTTGAAAAGACAAGTGTTATACGAATTGATTGGTGTTGAAAATGAGCATTGCAGGCAAATTTTTTCTTCTCTTGTCCTATGGAAATAGAAAGTATTAACTCTTCACCGCGCATGATTCATATCACGTAACTATAACCAAAGTGAAAGCATTCAAATATTTCTTAAAATCGTAAATTTTGAGAATGGAGAGTGATTTCTATGATTATATTAGTGACGCTTCCTAAGTAAAAACATGTATAAATTCACTTTTTGGTAGTGTAGAAATTATGTTTGGGTGTTCGCCAATATTATAATATCTTTAAGAATTTGCGTTTAGAATTAACCTTGGAATAAGCAACACGAAAGAATTTTGATAACCTGATGAGTTCACTGGAGTTTGTCTACAAAGTTGTACGGTCTGGGGGGGCAGCCCCCTTAAAACATGGCAGGTGAGATGGTCATTAGGATGAGCCAGTACAATATGCGAAAGTTTGAGATATCTCATTGTTTAACCGTGAATTTTCTTTCAAGGAAAAGTGTACAACTCTGAATGAATTCTATGAAGAGACAAAGTCGGTCGGGAACGAACGCCTTAACTTTCAGTGGATGGAAATATGTGGGTTTGGAAATATCGTCAGTGATACTAAATTTGAAAAGTTAAAGTTTGTCATCTAAGTGACATACGAAGCGATGCAAGTAAATGGTATAGCACGAAGCGAATCTGATGTTATTCAGACGTCGTTTGAAAAGTTTAATTCTAGTAAAAGAGTGCGAGTTGGTTTTTTATGGGCGCTTATAAATTTTATGTTAGCTGCTTTCGCCATCACAGAAATGTATGTAAAATGTATATCAATGTACACCAAAAACATTTATTTTCATAATTAACATGTTAACGTTCGTATAGTTTGTCTAAGCATTGCTATGTTTATTATACACCCAAGTCATTCTGACATACGTAGGAAAGTAGTACGAAATTAATCCAAAGGTATATTTAAAGATTTTTTGGATCAGTCTTGGAAGTTGGCGTGATTTACCAAGAACCTCTGTGGTATATTGGTAAGTTAATAGGAATGTTCTTTACACACCATTATGCAGTTTGGTGAGACTCAATGGCAAAACAACCTTTTAAAGACTGACTACTAAAGACTGTAAACTACTTGCTTACACTGTAATATGAAACAAACTAAGAAGATTATTCCTACTAGTGCCTCCTCTTTTCCATTAATTACTATCTCTTCATTAATGTTGCCATCCAATCATATTTTTATTGTAGAGGTATGCGTTGCCATATGGTGCACAATACGATTCATTTCAGAGACTTTCTTGATTCTAACTTGGCTTTTGGAAAATCCTGTAATACTGACAGCCAAACAGTATCAACTTCTGGCAGTGAATTCAAAAGGTATCTTGTGGATAATTATTTTAAGTTAATGTGAAGTGAAACCTTGTTTATATTATTTTGTAGATTCTCGTTTTTCACCAATGAAGCCAATATCACCTAATGAATTCTTCACTGATGACAGCCCATCTATCTATTCTCAAAAAAGAACTCCAGTGTTCCCTATTTCAGATGCTCAAATCAACTTATCTCCTTTACAGTCTGGCATCAATTCCTTTGGTGTGATGTCATATGGTGGTGTGGATTGCACTTCTAGTTTGCTTTATGATAATGAAAGATCTATGTATCAAACATCTCCCGGAAGCATGTCATTTCGAAAGAGGGTAAGAAGCATGAAGATCTTACGTCCTTTTAGCTAATTAGTTTATGTTTTTTAAACTAATCACAATGAAGTGGCCAGATAGTCACAATGTAGTGGCCAGATAGTCACAATGTAGTGTTCAGGTAGTCACAATGTAGTGGCCAGATAGTCACAATTTAGTGTTCAGGTAGTGACAATGTAGTGGCCATGTAGTTACAATGTAGTGGCCAGGTAGTTACAATGTAGTGACCAGGTAGTTACAATGTAGTGGCCAGGTAGTTACAATGTAGTGGCCAGTTAGTTACAATGTAGTGGCCAGGTAGTTACAATGTAGTGGCCAGGTAGTTACAATGTAGTGGCCAAATAGTCACAATCTAGTGGCCAGATAGTCACGATGTAGTGGCCAGATAGTCACAATGTAGTGGCCAGATAGTCACGATGTAGTGGCCAGGTAGTCATACATTACCAGGTAGTCACAAAATGTAATTGCTATTTAGTTAAAAAAAATATGATGCAATTTTTATAGAAAAAAATTAAACCCTGTTTGAAAATTAAACAAAAAGTTTGAATTTATTCTAACTTTCATGTGTTTGTTGATTATATCAGTTTGTTGGAAGTGGTAGCCCATCATTTACTACAAGGACGTCCCCTGTTCTCTATAATGATTTCTCTATGAATCAAGAAAAGAACAGGTATATTGTGTTATTAATTCTGTGAGAGTTAATGCTGTTTTCACTTTATCTTTATTCTCAATTTCTTTTCTTATTTTAGTTCCATTCTGAGTTCCACGCCACCAAGAGCCATCTCTAGTGTGTTACATATGTTCTTTGTTTTAACAACACATTTACCTTCTTTTGTTTATTGCTTCATGAAGGTTTTGATTTGACAAGTTTCAGTTTCAGATGATCGTCTTCGAAATGCTGATGCATTGAATAGTTTTTTACAGTTTGAAGAAGATAGAAGGGAGGTTTACCAAGGTGAATACTGTTGTGAAAAGCCTATTTTTCTCCATTCCTTTATTGATTTCACTAGTGGATGAGAGGAAATTGTCAAGTGTCAGAATGTCTGATATTTTGGGAATAAAGGTTGTCGAGATAACATGGATAATTCAACATTGCTTCACAAGTTGTTTCTTTTAAAGGAAATAGAGGAATTATTGTATTTATAGGAATTATATTGCTGAGATGTTATGATTTCACTCGTCCTTGCAAATATCTCTTCACTAGATGTTTTTTTTAAACTCAGGTGGATTGAAAACCTCACCACATGGTCTTTATCAGTGGTCTTCATTTGGATCTCATGTTGAATACAACACTCCACTCTCTGTTTACAAAATTGGAACTCGGTGAGGCAACCATCAAATGTTTACAGGCACTGTGGTTCCTGTTCATTTTTTGTGCACATGGGGGACAGCATAGAATGAGAACATACTTAATAGATGGGATGCTAAATTGTACTCAATAGATTCCTTGCTCATGGAGAAAGTGCTAGCCCATGTCTTCCCAGTGGGGATTATGCTTCCTTCTACCCCCTCCCACCTGCTCTGCAATCACTGGTGTATTGTTAACACAATGCTTATTAGGCATTCACTAAGGCTACTCAAGAACAGTGTTTGATTATATTTGCGTATTATAATGGTTTCAATCTTACATGTGACAATATTTTATGTCAGTAAGTCATGTTTCATAATACGCGTCGTTTCCAACACTCACGCGTTTAACGTTCCAAGGAAGATTTTGATTGGTTCAGGGACACCTCAACTACATGGATCTTACAAATAATGACAATTTTTCAGAAGCCCATTAAGTGCGACAGCCAAAGATGAGGATGAATATGGTCATATGAGCCCACAAGCTGAAGAGGTGTGTTTGCAGTTTATGTTGATGTAAATCTTGATGTAAATATCACATTGACCCAATGCTAATTTTCATCATTTGCATTTTTTTTTATTGCAGCTTTGGTCAAAGTTTGGTATCTCTAGACAGGATCTTGATATTTGGACTGAAAATCTTAGAAAAGTATGAATTCTAGTTGTCTAAAACAATTGCTTTCAAACCAAGACGTGTAAAAACATTCTCAATCGTGGGATAGGGGCGAAACGACAAGAATTTGCTCCTCTAGATCCTTTAGTTATTTTTACCTAATCTTTCATATGAGACGACATTTCAAAAAGTGTTATTTTATCGTGCATAAGCAGCATTTATAAAAAGTTGTAATTTTCCTAAACGGCCGTCTTTTCAACGTTCTATGTCTACCTTTGTGTTTACCATTATGTCTACCTTCGTGTCTACCTTTGTGTCTACCTTTATGTCTACCTTTATGCCTACCTTTGTGTCTACCTTTATGCTTACCTTTATTTTTACCTTTATATCTACCTTGATGTCTACCTTTATGTTTATCTTTATGTCTACATTTATGTCTACCTTTATGTCTACTACCTTTATATCTACCTTTATGTCTACTACCTTTTGTCTACCTTTATGTCAAACTTTATGTCTACCTTAGCACTACGTAAAGCACCTAATTTGGCATATTTTTGAATTCTTTCCAAGTCAATGTAGTATGGTTTAGATTTTAATAGAATTTAGTGTCTTGGTCAACGCTTGTTATTGAACGATGATATTCCGGGATCATCAAAGATTTCTGTTGTTTTAGTATCTTTCGTTTGTGTATTTTATTTCAGTGGATTAGTCAAACTGTTGTCTGTGAGCTTGTCAGGGAAATTGACGACATTAATCTGAGCTTACAGAAAATGGGTTCATCTGAACTTCAAATTGGATGTAAGTATGTCTCTGGCTTAAATTAGAATACTGCATTTGTTTTTCTCGCCAGTTAAAGGATCGAAGGGAGTGCTTAGGGGTAATGTTTTTGTCCGTAGACAATTCTATGGTAAATATAACGGTGCTGTTTCTTCCTATTTCTAGCAATTAATTTAGGAAGTTTAAGACTTGTTTCGACCAACAAAGCTGAACATCTACCGACATTGGCAGCTGTTTTACCTTACTTAGAACTTAGTTATAATCAGGAATATCTTGTGGAAAGAATCAAAGGTTTCCTTGAAGCAGTCGTTCTGTACTATGACAGCCTAGTCCAATAATTGTAGCTAATTGCGTTACTTTCATCCTGTAGAGTTGGGCGAAGACAGTTGTATGGGCGTATACCGCTGGAAATCTGGTAGTCATTACCGTGGACGCAACTGGGATCAGGATCTACCAACTGACGCACAAATTGTTATGCATATGTTTTGTACGTACATGGATTCCAGGCTCCCTACTGATGCTCGTTATCAAGATGGCAGATCTTTCACTGGACTTTATTTCTTGAAAGATCTCGATAAATTAGGTGAGTATTAAACACTGAGGATTTGACCCGAGAGAAGACTACAACGTTGGCATTTAACTGTTCCTTAGCATTAAGGTATTGATTTCTTGTCATTTTTGTTTCTGATGATGACGTTTGTCTTCCAGATTCCAAAAAACGAGATCTAGCAATCCACAGATTTCAACAGAACCCACCACATTTCAAGGTACATAGGTTGCCAGTTCTTTTGCGAACGCCAAATGAAATTTTTTACTCTTTTATAGTGGTCTTTATTCTTCATAATCAATGGATTTCATCTTTTCACTGTTGTCTTTAGTTCATAATCACTGGATTTCATCTTTTCACTGTCGTCTTTAGTTCATAATCACTGGATGTCATCTTTTCACTGTCGTCTTTAGTTCATAATCACTGGATTTCATCTTTTCACTGTCGTCTTTAGTTCATAATCAATGGATTTCATCTTTTCACTGTCGTCTTTAGTTCATAATTAATGGACTTCATCTTCTTGCTTAAGGTTTTTTTTTTATCATTGTTTGAATTTTATTTATTTGAGCAGTATCTTTATATGTTTCATTTAATTTATCCAAAGGTTATCTCTGGTGATGAAGTATATGATGTGGGAAAGGTATATTATAGTAAATATTGTGCGAGACACATTACCGTCTATTTCACCTTGCTTTTGAAAAAAGTTTCGAACATTCATTTGGACATTGAAATAGTCGTACAAATTTTCAAATGTTTGGTAGTTTGCATCTTCAAAGTTACAGAAAATGATCTGATTGATAAATAAAAAGATGGACCAATCAAATTGTCTTCCGTAAGTTTTAGCTACATTTAAATGTTTTCAGGAATATCTCAAAGCTCCAAACTTTTTTTTCAAAAGGAAGCTGAAATCGACATTATCGTTTGTGCGGATTTTAAATAACTGTGAATTTTTAAATAGTCGCAATTCTGTTCTTCGCTCTTTTTAGGGACGGAATAACTTGTTCCACACGATTATTTTATTCTTAATTCTCGTCAAACGACGACAACACGGCATGCTTGGGTAGGTGTTCTAACAAATGATTCTTACTTGAGTTAGTTATTGCTTCGATATGTTATGTCTTTCCCCTTGAATTTCTATATTCTTTCTTTGTCTTTTATAAGTCCGGCTTTGAATACTTCACATGCTTGGCCAATGTAAATACAACACACCTTCAATCACTTACTTTGTTGAAAGGGGGGTGGGTTACGTTTTATTGAAATAAATATCTTATTAAATCCCACATCGAGATATCATAATTTTATAAAAGCTGAGAGACTTTCTTTGTTTAATCGTTCATCTCATGGTTTTGTCTCAACATTTTCCACGACTTGTGTGTTTTTTCCTACGAAGGGGTCTATAAATAGCGATTGTGTTGTTAATGATTTTTTTATGATCTTTCTAGACGTGTTAATCTTGGTCCGTCCGGCGTGAACATACTAGGGATTTTCAACAAACGATAATGATAATATTGAGGTAGCTACTGCATTTTGACGATTAATGACTTTTTGCGCGCTACAACCGTTATTAAATTGATCATTTATAAAGAACTAAAGTATCTCATCGTAAAATGATTAATAATATGAAAAAGATGCTTATCGACTCGTGCGGTTTGCGTTGGAAAAATGCCTGGAAATATTTTTGTTTGAAAATGCTGATAATTGACCTGAAGTAAAATGTTTGTATGGCATGGCGGAGAATCGCTGCGTGTGTTCAAAGTTTCTCTTATCGGCTATTTTTTTTGTTTACATAGCTGCAGATTAGTTAATTGATTGGATTATGATGTCATTTGAGTCAACAAAGACATATATTTTCCGCATTTTTTTGTCTTCGAGAGGATTTGCGTTTTCACCGTAGCTACGATGTAATTTGTAGAACAACTTTGCAACAGTTGTTTTAACGTGATTGTTGTGGAAAATTTTCAAGGATGTTGTGAAACATAAATTTTTGTAGTTTTTGAACAAAATATTTTTAAGGTTTTGAGCAAAAAAAAAATACACTAAATGATGCTACTATATATTCGTTATATCGTTCGATTGATTGCTCTATTGTCCATCATTTTTTTCTTCTTGAGTCGACCTGCGCTAAGTATGAACATCAAATAATGCGATACTCGTTCTCAGTTTGTGTTTATCTACTTCGCGGTGATTCTTTAGTTGAAGGCGTTTCAATAACTCATTATCCTTAGAACTCTTAGGTAAGTAAACACGTAAACACGTGCACGCAGCGTATGGAATAAAAACAAGGGACTTGCGTAGAGCTAGAAATGATTTTCGGAAGTCTTCGCAAGAATTAAGTTAAAATAAGAGTTTACACTTTTAGCAATTGGAATTATAATTGCGGTGTGTTATTTTCGTTTTGTGGCCTGAAAAGTATGCAAGTAATCATTTATATTTCATGTCGAGAATGCACGGACGAAATAATTTAATGTTTTGTAACTGGCTACGATCTTTTTTAATCTTGGCGTAGCTATGTTATCTTACGCTTGATAACATTTTATTAGCTTATCGTGCCAGGGTTTTCATTCAAGTCGTTATCGCTATCTATTTGAGTGTATACGTTATGCTTGAATTTTTTTTCCTAGTTCTATAAAGTTGCGTTGTTGATCAGTTAGTTTCATAAGTGGTTTCTTATTAGATGCGGTCGAAATCAAAAGAATTGAAAATAAAGACAGCTTGCTCTTTCATTGAGTTTTACAAAAAGCTTGGTAGAATATTTGTAGAATATTTACATTTAGGTAAAATTATACTTTTATTAATTCACTCATATGCCGTCTAACGAGACGTATGGCTGTTTCGCTTTTGCACTTTGTAGCCACCGCTTTTCGATCTTTTCGTCTGAGCCGCGTTACATTTCAAGACCCCCTTGGTAAACAGCGGCGTCAACTTTTTAAGAGAGCCGCAAAAGGCAGTTCACGAACCGCGCGTCGTGCGAGTTAGTTTGCCTACATTCAGCTGGTGAAGTGAGGTATTAACAAAAAAGTGTTTTCAAATTGCTTTTAAACGCACGCAAATGTTATGTTTTCAAGAGCAACATAGCTAACTACTCAAGTTTTTGCTGAAGTGAAAAAGTATAAGTCGTAATTGTCGTAAAGAAGGTATAACCTTTATAATTATTTCACCATTTTAAATCTGACTAATCGTGTATATTATGTATAATATGAAACAAATTCCGAAGTAGCAAGACATCTTGAGATTGCAAAATATGAATCAAAACAAGACGAGAAGTAAACTGTAAATTTACGACTTTATTTCAAAGTCATCCTCAGACAGAATAAAAGTCAAAGTCATTCTGTCTGAGGATGACTTTGAATAAAGTCGAAAATTTACAGTTTACTTCTCGTCTTGTTTTGATTCATATTTTGCAATCTCAAGATGTCTTGCTTCTTCGGAATTTGTTTTATATTATACTTCTTTAAATTGTCGGCTGGTCATGGTTTTTGGTGTATATTATGAATGTATTTAAACAACCTGACGTTATAATTTTATAATTACTTTGCTATATACTTGCATTGAAACATTTTTCCTAAGTGTTCAGCCAGTTTCTTCATATTGTAGCCACACATTGTCGCATCAATAACTATTTCTCGAAATATTGTCGTCCAAACAATTATTACAATACATATGTTATGTATAGAACAAGTGTAAGTGTGTGTGTATGTGTGTTACGTATTATCAATGTTGTGCTGCGGAGGTGTTAACTAGCTATATCTTAAAAGCAGTGCAAAAAAATTGACCCGGGCTCTTTGTTCTTCCTTTAAGAACTGTGTGCATATACCGTATAAAAGAGAAGCGCACATTTTTGTCGTGAAATAAATTTTAGTAGCTACACTATATTACTACACGAGTTATCAACAAAAGCGAGTATTTTAGAAACTGATAGCTATTCGAATTCACAAAGAGATGAATTTTATATTTTTTTGGGCTAGCTGTAAGCCTTTCCTTTTTTTGTAAAAATTAGTCGTGTGCGCATTTCAAGGGCTTGTATTTTCTGACAAGTTGTCGCGAGCTGATTATCGGGCAAGTTAAATCATGTTATCAATGTGCTTCGGTTATTACTCAAAGCAATTATTCTTATCGGGCAATAAACAATTACATTTAGGTACTTGTTAAAAAACATCTATATGAGGGCTTAAATAAAACATCAGTTGGTGCTTTCTAACTATACGTTCATTATTTTTAAATTACTACTCTATAGCGTGTCTTAAAACGGAGCAGTTCAGTCGGCTTTCTGACTTGTGTATAATTGTTTTTCAAAGAAAAAAATTAAAGTTTGCTTGTCAAAGTACCTTGTACACAGACTACATGCGCGTAATAGAATCTGACAAGCGCTACTTGTGCTTGTGTCATCTCATAATAGTGTGCTTGAAATATACACCAATTTCATTAGGTCTATAATTTAGACCTAATGAAATACCGGTTCTACACTTTATATAAACTACAGACTTTATTAATAGATGGGGAAGTCGGGAAAACGAAAAAAACCCAAGTAAACATATTTCCGGTGGCCGTTGCTTGTCTAATTATGTCGCGGTATCGACATTAAGGAGAAAGACAATTAATTCGTCTTTTAATACTCGTAATTCTAACCTCATGCATTTTGTTTTTTTTATATTCTGTGTGGTGTTATATATGATGCGAGCATCTGACGGTCTCTGTGCAATATAGTTCTAAAAATATTTTTCCCACTATGATTTTTGAACACAACTTCTATGTTTTTCAAACAACTTACTGTACTGTGTCATATGTTTCTCAGAATATTTTCATTCTTGTAAGTATTAAACAAACTTTCGTATTTTCGATTTGTAGAACGCTTGTTTGGAAGTATTTTTCCTGACTTTATCTACGTGATTGTTTTTAATTAAAAGAAAACTTTTAATTTCAAGAAGACATTACGGGAAATGTCGAGCGCGAGAAGATTAAATGGTGCTATGCACGCAAGTACCAATGGGAACGAGAACAACGACCAGGAATCTTTTGCTGAAATAGTGTCTCAATTAAGACAGGCTGGTGATGAGCTCAACATAAGATACGCCAACGATCGTCATCATGTTCCTGCTGTACAAGTTGATGAATTGGAACGGATTGCAATTGATGTAGTTGTGTTCGTTTTTCGTTTAGTACGTTTTTTGGCGCATTACTGATTTCGTGTTTTTTGTTTTTAATTGATTTTGTAGAAAATTGAAATTGTATACGTACCAAATAACCTTGTAAATTAGTAATTTTAGTTTAATTGTTATAACGGTGAACAGCCCAAGCGCGGGTGTCTCCATTAATTTCCGTGTATGAGACCATTTTTGATCTACAAAATGTGTTTACCATTGATGGAAGTGATGTGTTGAAGTAGCGCGACCTGCTGAGATAATTTATCATAATATATACAGCTAAGTTACTTCTGAAATAGACATGGCTGCTTCATCAATGATTACGTCATATACAATGTTCAACATTAATTTTTAATTATTAAACGTCCAACTGTTCACGAGACAATTTGTTTGAACTAATAAAGATACTTGGTAAAATGTGCCTCAGAGAGCAAAGAGAAACTTAAAATAGCTACGTTTAAAAACCTAATATAATAAAAGTTTCACTGTCACTCAAACCTTGGCTGGTTTGATTAAAAATTTTCTCACGAAACTGGCAACGGCATTTTTAACTGTTCGTTTTGTTGGTTGCAACAACTTGACTCCTTTAGACGGCTTTTTGTCTTTTGAGTAGTGAAGTTTGTCACCAAGGCTTGCCAATTTTTTACTCAACTCTCTCAACTCTTCTGCGATGCTCTTTCTACTATTTCGCTTGCTCTGTATGGGTGCCTTAAGTGTACCTTTGGCTATGGCGTGTCTTTCAACTAAACTATCGCCAATCTTTACCAGAAGTTGAGCAAGGCGTCTCAAATCTTTTTTTGAATTCATCAATTGAAGATTTCAATTTAGGTATTTAGAGAGTCTTCTTCAATATGTATGGAAATTTTTCTTTCAAACTATTGACTGTGGCTAAATACAAATTTGTGCCAACTGTTGATGTTTTTGCGGCTTTGCTTCTTGTGTTTCACTTCTGAACAAAATGATATTAGCGTCCTTCTGTATCGATGAACTCTTCGAAGGTTGTGGCTGTTTTTTCTGTCTTGTTTTCTGTCTTCAATATCCAATACCTTTTGAAACTACGCAAGTTGGCGTTTTTAAAGCTGTGTGGCTGGTGGTAAAACTTGCTAATTTATGACGTCTATTCCACGTTCATAACTTCCTTCGTCTAGAGTCGTCTTTTTTACGTCCATTCTGCTGGTAGCTACCTTAATTGATTCTTGCTCATCTATTTTGTGGTTTTATGGATACGATTTTTTGCAATGTGTATTATATATCGACTCTGTTCTTCTAGCGTTATGTTTTCTATCGACGTTGGAGAATTCCATGTCATTAGAGAAATGGGAAAAATTTGCTGCGCGCGCAATAATCATCTCTGGTCTATTTGTGTTTCGTCATGGTAACGAACTAGATAACGCACAAGGAATCTCTGGTGGCATTTTACGTCATTTAAATTTTAAAATGCTCAATTATTTACTGTTTTAATCATCAATGTTACGTGTTATTGTTACCATGACAATTAGAAAACAGTCAAGGTACCAATTAAACATGTAAAAATCAGAGACGTAGTCAAGCGGAAACGTTTGCGATATTGGGGAGGGGGGATTATGTTTACCCTCGTGTCGTGTTTACCTTTGTGTCTACCATTTTTTCGTCATTTCATAACCATAGGCGGCATTTGAAAAAGTCGTCTTTTTCCTGCTTGGCCTCGTTGCCCCGCCCCCAAGTTTGTACGTTTCAGGTATAAAATTATCTAATCGAGATAAAATGTGGCTTTGGTTCGGTGTATTTCGAACCTTTTCCCAAGTTCCAAATTTCTCTCGATGTTATTAAGAACTAGAACCACTTGGCTGCACCATTTGGTGTTTACATTGCTAAGAAACTCTTGTTGACTGACTGAAATTTTCTCTTTCACATACATTTCTGTAGCAACTTTCTGGTTGGAGACTAAGGTATGACAACACATGGAAAGCGATTGCAGACGACACGTTTTGGCAAAAATTTAATTTTCAGTTTTAAAACTTTCGTTTTACACAATTACATAAATTCTTTAACTTAGTGTTCATTCCATTAAAACACATTATTCATCTTTTATTGTATTTCATTGTATGAGTTTACAAGATTAAAAATATAAAATCACATAACTTAACCCATAGACAGATCAGATCTCACCATAGATTACATATCAAAAATTGTAACTTAGGAAATAGATTTGGGGCTATCATCTTCATTATCAGGATGGGTAGTCTTGAAAGCTTCAACATCTTTTAAATTCTCCCATATTTTACAAATGGTTGGGAACTGAGTAAGATCACACTCATATCCTTTTGCTTGATAGACCTGTGGTACAAGACACACATCAGCAATGGTGACCATGTCATCTATGGCAAACTTCCCAGCAGTTGTTAGCAAAATTTTCTCAACTGCACTAAATCCTCTTTCTATGACAACTCTGCACTGCTTTTTGTACTCATTTAAGTCATCTTTGTACTGACGGTAGAAATGATTGCATACTGGCTGAATACCTAAAACAATTGACAAATATTTAAAGAACATGTCTTTCAGGCAAACAAAACATTGTGTGTGGCCTGTAAACATTAAGTAAAACACAACCTTGTAAACTACCTGAATTGATAAGTTCAGCAATTTCTCTAGCTTTGGCTCGTTTGATCAAATCCTCAGGTAGTAAGCTTGGCTTTGGATATCTCTCATTCAAGAAATCAATAATCGCCAAAGATTGAGTAATGACTTGCTCATTGACTAGCATGGTAGGTACTTGTACAAGTGGATTGACTTTGTTGTAATCCTTTTGGACTGGTTTATCAAATGAATAGAATATTCTTTCATATTTTATTCCCTTTATTGCCAGGGCTATTCGAACTCGCCAACTGGGGGAGCTATCATAGTTGGTATACAATGCAATTTTGTCTACAGAAGATGCCATGACTGGTATATGTATAATTTGGTATTTGGTAGATTGCTATTGGTAGCTTCCGAGTTTAAAAATACGTTTTTCCTGTCTTGTTGCGTAATTGCCCAAATCACGCGTGACGGGCAAGAAATGCTCGAACCAATCATAACATAATGCCTCTCTCTTCAGCACTGCAGAGACTTCGAGTTTCACGACCACAAAACACAAGCTTTATTATTGCCACAAATTGAATTGCGTTGCCGTGAATGTCGTTATGCAATTTGGCAAGTATTATGACACGCAAATGTAGCAAAACCCTGCTTTTGAGAAGCCTGAGCTGACAGGCGTCTCGTTGTACAACTACAAATGAGTCAACCATTTCATTCATGACTTCACGCCTGTTTTTTGATTACAATTAGAAATTATAGAAAACAAAGCATTGTAACCACAGTGATTGTAACAAAGTTTACTCCAGTTAACGACTAGAGATCAGTATTAAAATGGAGTTTTTGTAAATAATATATATATATATAAATTAAACCGAGATGTTTATAGTATAAAGATTTTGTATTTTTATTATCTGAACTTTAAAAAATTATAGCAAGATCGTTGAGAAATAAGATTGGTTGTTATTGTTATACTTTTAACAGCTTGTTATGTGAATTCTTATATAGAGAGGTATAACAATTTAACATGAGTTTTGGCGATTTACAAGATTCTCATACACCTGGGCACTCAGCCCAGATTCTGAGCTCTATCAACTTGCTAAGAAAGCGAGGTTTGTTTTGTGATGCCGTCTTAAATGTGGACAATCGAGACTTTCCCATCCATCGAGTCATCCTTGCTGCCTGCAGTGACTACTTCGCTGCAATGTTTACCAATGGATTGAGCGAGAGTTATGATGTGGAAAAGAAAATAAAAATTAAAGGCTTGTCAGCTGAAACTATGGAGATTTTGCTTGACTTTATTTACACAGAAAACCTGAAAGTTAGCGTTACTAATGTGCAGGCATTATTGCCAGCCGCTTGCCTTCTTCAGTTAAACGGTAAGTCAAACCCGGGAGTTGTAATAGCTTGACCATATTGATTTACAGAGGTTAATCGTTCATTTGCAAAAAAGCACCTTTACTTTCAAGTTTCAAAAGAATAAACCTGGGAAAATTTCTGTAGGGGCAAAGAATGTTTGCTCTGAGTTCATGAAAAGCCAACTAGAACCTGCCAATTGCCTTGGTGTGAAGAATTTTGCTGAGATTCATCATTGTGAACCGTTGAGAAAAGCTGCCAATCAATTCATTCACAAGCACTTTGTCAATGTCATACAATGTGAAGAGTTTCTTCAACTTGAAAGTCACGATCTTGAAGAACTTATTCAAAATGACAACATCATGGTGAGAATTTTTTCAAGATTCGATGTCTCGGTGAATGTTGTGTGTAACATGATGTTTTTCAACTGCAGATTCCTTCAGAGGAAATTGTATTTGAAGCTGTAATGAAATGGGTTAAGAATAATGTTGATGATCGTAAAGAGTATTTACCAAGTTTACTTGAGCATGTCAGACTGTCATTGCTGACTCCACGTTATCTCACAGACATTGTTGACAACGAAGTAGCTATCTTTGCCTTTTTTGCTGTGTATATTTAGTCATGTTCATGCTTTTTTTGGCATGACTGTTAGCATGACTTTTAACACAAGCTTGGCTTCTTTTAATAGGTTTTGATCCATCGAAGTTTTGCCTGCCGAGATCTTGTTGATGAAGCAAAAAAGTTCCATCTCAGACCTGAATGTCGTTGTGAATTGCAAAATGAGAGGTCTAAAGCACGATTAGGTACTGGTCAAGTCATGTATATTTTGGGAGGATTTGGTAGCATTCAAAGGCCTGTTGATATTGTGGAAAAATATGATTCTCGAACAGATCAAACCATCATTGTTCAGGTAAGCAAAAAAAACAAGATTTCTGTAAAGGTTTTTGTGTAGGGAATATCACCACGATTTACTGAACAATGCCTTTCTTTTTTTGTATTTCTTTGTTGATGTCAATCAAATGTTTTAGTTGCCATTAGGTAGCATATGTGTTTATTGATAGAAATTATAAGATAGTTGAATGAAACAAATAGCTTCTGATGAATGTATAAAGTTAATTATGTCTTAGTTTTCTTCTGCAATAACCTCTTTAACAATTAATAATAAGAAGAAAAGATCGGATATGCAATTCTTAGGATCCTTCTTAGCCTTAGGTGATTGAACAACAAAAGCTAAAACAGCATGAACTTATTCCAAGAGTAGCAATTTACCAATGAACTTATTCCAACTGTAGCCCAGTAGCTATACATCATGAACTTATTCCAACAGTAGCTATACACCATGAACTTATTCCAACAGTAGCTATACCCCATGAACTTATTCCAACAGTAGCTATACACCATGAACTTATTCCAACAGTAGCTATACACCATGAATTTATTCCAACAGTAGCTATACATCATGAACTTATTCCAACAGTAGCTATACACCATGAACTTATTCCAACAGTAGCTATACCCCATGAACTTATTCCAACAGTAGCTATACATCATGAACTTATTCCAACAGTAGCTATACCCCATGAACTTATTCCAACAGTAGCTATACACCATGAACTTATTCCAACAGTAGCTATACATCATGAACTTATTCCAACAGTAGCTATACACCATGAACTTATTCCAACAGTAGCTATACACCATGAACTTATTCCAACAGTAGCTATACCCCATGAACTTATTCCAACAGTAGCTATACACCATGAACTTATTCCAACAGTAGCTATACACCATGAACTTATTCCAACAGTAGCTATACACCATGAACTTATTCCAACAGTAGCTATACACCATGAACTTATTCCAACAGTAGCTATACACCATGAACTTATTCCAACAGTAGCTATTCCAATTTCTTCTGTACCAATATCTTACTTAAGTATCTTTCTTACTTCAGTTTTCATACATTCAATTAATCTTTCTTAAAGCCCATGCAAAAGAAGGCGATATTTATGCTCAGTAGCTCTTGGCACAAAGGTTTATGCAATTGGTGGTTATGATGGTTCCCAAAGACTTAATTCTGTGGAATGTTTTGACACTGTCACTCAAAGTTGGACAAATGCTGTACCTATGAGGCATCGTCGAGGACTTGCTGGTGCTGCTATTTTAAATGGTAACTAAAATAATTGTGTTACATTTTTGAATTGTTGGAACCTTTATCTCATTTCAGATTCTCAATTCTTCTATTCTGGGTTTTATGCTGAATTGGGTTTCTTGAAACTTGTTAGTTTCTTTTAGGTAAAATTTATGTGGCAGGAGGGTTTGATGGTACAGTACGACACACAGCTGTTGAATGTTATGACCCCACCATTGATCGTTGGACAACTGTTGGTGAGACGAACACAGGAAGAGAGGGAGCAGGACTTGTGAATGTTGATAATACATTATACTACCTTGGGGGATATGATGGAAATACTATATTGAACAGTGTTGAGCGGTTTGATCCAAGGACTGGTGACTGGTTATCAGTTGCTCCTATGCTGACTCCACGTTCCGGTAGATGATTATATTTTGTTTGAGATAAGTGACAGAACAATCTGAAGCTTTTATGGTTTTAGGTGCGGGTGTTGCAGGTTTGGATAGCCAGCTTTATACTATCGGTGGCTATGATGGTACGCATCATTTGAAATCTACTGAGTGTTATAGCGCATGTGCGGATCGTTGGATGTCTTTGAAAGATATGAATTGCAAGCGATGTTATGTAGGTAAGACTACTGTCAATATTATTGTCGAACATAAATGAAGAGCCATTTTCTTGATGGTAATTCATCACAAGGAATTTGAAAAACTCGTTACTAAACGATGTACTTTTTGGCTTGAGAGACGATGACGAAAAAGAGTTGCTTGTTCAATGATAGCCAAAAACATTATGAATAGTTCATTAAAATACATGTCTGTTTCTTAGGTACGGCAGTATTTTGTGGCCAACTACACGCAGTTGGTGGATATGATGGTACAAACTTACTAGATACAATGGAGAAGTTAAACAATGTTCTAGGGGAATGGGAAGTAGTTTCGAAATTTGAACTTAGCCGTTGTGATATGGGTGTCTCGGTTGTGCAGGAAACTTAATCGGATTGACGGATAAGCTGACCAACCCCTGGGGCCTGGACCCAGGGTGTTTGATTCAATCTTTAATTTCACTGCACTGGATTAATTGGTGATCTATTCTGTGGATTAATAATGGACGAAAATGTCCCAGTTCTTTCGTATGAAGCGCAGTTGGCGAAATGTTTGGTATTTAAGATATTTTTTCAGTATTTTACTTGTTAAGATTATTGTACGACTATGCATTGAGCTCTGACCTTTTATAGCAGCGCACAGTTTTTCTACCTGCAGCTCTACTGAGCTTTGTGGAGTACGACTGTTTGCGAGCAGACTAGTGAATCCTGCGGAGGCTAAGATTTGTCAATATACCGCTATGTATATTGTTTTTCGTCTCGTTTTCACGCCGTTTCATTGAGCGTGTCGTTTCTATCGCCATTTAAATCGCCATTTCAACATTTTATTTTAATATAATGCATGAAACATTTAATTTAGTCTGTGGTTTTGTTTTAGTTTCACCGCTGCAATACATTTTCTGTGCTGTTAAAACAAGTTGGCGGGAATATTTTCCAGCTTTTTCGTACGCATCTCTCTGAATAAGGGTTTCCCATCTTGTCAGAAAGAATATCATGTTTTTTCAAACTAAAGCTTTTCACAATTGTCATGCCAAAGTTTTTCTAGTTAACGCGCGTTCAAACTAAAATTTTCATTGAAAATTGAAGCTCTTCTTCTCAAACGTACCTTCTTTTTTCATTGTCGTCGTATGGTGAAATTTTTGTTGCTACGTCTTTCGCGTTAGAAGAGACCAAAATCTTCCACGACGACATCCATGGTGACATTTTTCAAACTGTCTAAATTTAAAGAGTACAAGTAACGTTTTTTTTTCAGTTATATCTTTCAGACTAGAACAGTCAAAAACACTTCGCTTGTCAGCAGTGTTTGTTTCAGCGGAAAAAAATCGTAACAAAAACCAGGAAAAAGAAGCGTGTCCCTATCCAACCCCATACCTTTTTACTGCTTACATTATAACTTCACTTGAATTTGAGCGGAACGAAATTCTTTGTTCTACGTCCATGTAAACTGCTTTCTTCTCTATAATGGTGGGAAACATACTTTGGCCTTTGGCCCAGAATTGTTTTAGCGACATTCACACTCTCCAGGGACCAAACCATTTCCTAATATGGGCAAGCATAGAGGAGCCGTACCGGATTTCTTTGTTTCTCTAAACAGTAAACATGAGTATATTTTAACTTTCATAGAGAAACATCTCAATTCAATCAGTTGAAAAGTAATGAGTATATTTAAAATTTGTGTGTGTATTAAAATTTGTGTGCAATAGTTGTAATAGAAAGTAAAGTTGATATGATTCATGCATAGGACTTGTTGTTGCTTCATCTTTAAATTCTAGACACTTCGTCTGTTCTTCAACCTAAAAAATTATTATATGATTTGCACGATTAAAGTGATGTCATCCTTTAGTCAGCAGTTCCTATTGGTAATCTAATTCCTCTTTAAAACATCGTTATTGAATGTATTGTGGTATTGGCGTCATTGAACAATGCGAAGAATGCTAAACACCGACGCAGGCTGACCAACCGAAGACGCCGACGATCACCGGTTCTGAGAATTTAGCTTTGATTGAGAAAGTTATAACCAGTAATTTATTGTTTTGTTTTGAAAAATACTTTGGGAATGTTCTTTTAGTTTTTTGTCTTCTTTTCTTCGTCGTTTATGTGTTTTTTGTAACTGTTTCTGGGTTTTTGTACCTTTTTGTAATGAAACAGGATGTATTTATGTTTTGATGAAATATTCAATTCTCTTTAGTATCAATGTTGCAAAGCGCATGCCCAGTTCGTTCGTTGACATTCCAAATGGTTTTATCAATAACTCATAATTTCAATTTTTTAGAGTACAAACTTGGTTGTGTTTACGGGAGAATTTACGTGGTTAAAGATTAATTTGTGGCAAAAGAAACTCGCTTGTATATACTCGTACGCTAGGTGGATTAATAAGTCTTTATTGTCGTCGGCTCGCGATGTCGAAAAGAGGAACATTAGGACGTAAAGGAAGACATTGGTCGCAAAATTTAGGGAGGTTGTCGTAGCCAAATCATCTAATGGTAGTTTCAACGTGTGTATCGAAGGCGGAGCGGAAAATGGCGAGTTTGCTCGCATCGGCAGCTTTAAACAGGATAAAGTTAAATACAAGCATGGCAAACTTCAAGTCAACGACATCATTTTAGAAGTAAGCGAAGTTGCGATCGCTGGATACACACTGCCAGATGTTGTTAGCTTAATCAAAAAGACTGGAGATCTTTTGGAGATGAAAGTTGTCAAGCCAGGTGAGTCTTTGTTTAAAATATATACCAGGATCATTTCATTACAATCTTGTGTCGACGAATGTTGTAAATTTTGTTTTGCTATTTGAATAATTTTCTGTCAGAATTAGTCAATTTCAGACACGATCATTGTGTTTGTTTACGTATGTTGTATATTTTACAAGTGTGTATTATACATGCAGACGAACGAATTTGTTTGAAAGGTGTTTTAAAAAATAATCCCAAAAAGTTCTAGCCCAAGTCTTTCCCACTGGTGATCGTTTCTCTTTCAATAACTGAAACTATTTGGATTTTCTTATGTATAATGTCGGATGTCTCCAATTCCTTCCCAAGGATTTCGTTACATAATTAAAGAAATTTATTTGGTAAAATTAATCGAGTTTTCGATGGGTATTTTTACGAGTTTGAATGTCCTTTTTAAGGTTATGGCATTACTAGCAACCTAAAGGAATATCTGGCCGGAAGATTTGAGGAAAACAGCGTCGATTCTCATCTTCAAAAGACAATTCGGGATAATCTATACGAGCGCACCGTTCCATGTAAGTGCTTGTGCTTTATTTGAATTTAATAGTACATTAAGAGGGTGTAGGCCGTCACGGTTTCTGTAATATGGCCTTAAACAAAATCTGTGTGGGAATTTAACACCCATTTGCTGCATTACAAAGCAGGAATCTGCGTGAAATAAGAAGATTAAAATATCTTTTCGAAACCATGCGTATTTTACGCCTATCTAGTTGTCGGCGTCACATTACATTGGTTAGCTCAAATTTCCATCTCAAAAGAATTCCATTCGTAATACAAATTTATCTTCTCTGTTTCGTTTTGACGCTTACGAGAAGATTCCTTAAACAAAAACAATGTGCTGTTCCTGCTGATTGAGATTTATGACTTTAAAATTTTTCCCCAGCGTGTGGTTCGTTGCTTCTAAGGATAGATGTATGCGCTGAAAGGACAATAATAAAATTAAATGCAGCTTGACATCTTAGCAGCAAATTTGCTATTTTTAAGGTTTATGTTGGATTAACTTTTCTATCAGTCAGAAATAGTTTGCTGTCGCACTGTGTGTTTTAATAAACAACATTGCAAATGTTCATCAAAAGGCGCGTTATGCAAGGATTGGTTTAGATAATAAATCGATAACATTGGAATTTGGTTTATTGCCTTGGTTTATTGACCTGCTTTTTTTTTAACACTCCACAAAAGAAAGACCTTCTGTTCAAGACTTGTTACTACGTAATGACTACTGTTATTTCATACTATTAATGTTGAACAAGTTAACCTTTTCGTATATATTATGCATGACTGGATAAGATACATCGCAGTTTAACAAGCGTGTTTAATTTTGCAAAGTTTTGCAGGTAAAAGCATTGACATATTGTGATAGCTAAATTTACTTTGACCACAAGAGTGTAAGAGAGGTCAAATTCTTAATACTTATATTTTATGATACAATAAAGCATGTTTGGTATGTTGAATTTTGCCTGCATTGGACGATCTAAAAGATAAAAAGTGGATGAGCGTCAAACTAGTGTTAAACTAAAAGATTATTATGCTTTTGGAGCTAGAATATTTACCAATGCAAGAAGTGGCAGATTGTTGATGTTCAAATATTCATTACATATTATGTTTGGTGACAAGTATTGCAGCTCAGTTGAATCAAACATGTTGAATATTAATTTTAAGTATAACAACTCTTCTTGTCATTTATGTTCATCTTGTCTTGATCAACTCTATAAACTGTAGTAATTTTTGTGTAAGAAATGTCTACAATGTTTTTTTTCAACATATCAATAATCATAATAACAATATCAGATCACAACAGTGATAGCACTTCAAGAATGTATATTAAAGAGTACACTTGTCCAATCAGCAATCAATGTTGTTATAACATACTATAGAGTCTCAAAATATTGGCCTCAAGGGGCATCTACTTTGGGAGGGGTGCTCAGTTGCAAGTTTTTGTTAAGCATAGTTGACTTTTAATGGCTGACTCTTAGTTGACGCTGTGTTAAAAGTATTTTTTAAGGGCATTTAAAGTTGTATAAGGTTGTGGTAGTTGTCACAAATGTACATAAAATGTTCTGATTGGATTAAAGTGTCGATGTATTAAAGCTCCATAAGATTTATATAGAGGGTGATTTCTTTGTTACTTTTGCATTCCTTTAGTAAATGTCAAAAAGCAGCTACTTTTCAGGGGGTTGCTTTCAAGGGAGGTTCATTTTGGACTTTACAGTAATAAAGTATGTAAAACACTAAATTAAAACATTTCAAGGGAAGATTCACTAAATACTCAACGTGATACCAAATATTTTACACTACTATCATTTTATTCTAAGAGGGTAGAATACCTATTTTACATGTATAATGATATTCAAAAAGTCTGTTTGGCTATGTTTTCTAAAGGTACGACTAGGTACGTGGAAATGAAAAACATGGAAAAGACTACATATTTGTCACAATTGAACAGTTCAGGGAAATGGAAGAAAATGGGGAGCTGCTTGAAAGTGGTGTTTTTGAGGACAATTATTATGGCACACCAAAGCCTTCCAAAGATCCAAGCAAACCAAGATTTCCACCAAATAATCAACGGGTGATCAAGGATCTGATACTTCCTCTCGTGGGCCATCTCGGTCAAACAGCATAGAAAGTGCTGGCAACATGTCAAAGATAAATAAGCAAAGTAAACTTAGCAAATCATACCATACTGCCTTGCATATGGGTCATATGGATAATCTTGGACCATTGCCTGCCAACTGGGAGATAGCATACACTGAAGATAATGAGATGTATTTTATAGAGTGAGTACATACATTCAAAGAACTCTTCTCTGTCAATTGTTGCTTGTTGAAGGCATTGGAAAAGTCAATCTGTTTTACCAAACAAAATTCCAAATTTTAACGATTAGTCATTAAATTTACTACATTCCCAGTTGCATGTTTACCAAACCACTCAAAAAGCTTTTGCCACATTACTATTAAAGGAATTCTTATCATGGTTATCAATATTTGAGTACATTCGACTGCATCATGATCACTATAGTTCAAAAAGTAGGTATACACAAGGCTTCATCCAGAGAGAGATGCAGAGAATGCACCCTCTTTCCAAGCTCAGATTTGTTAATAATTATAGCAAATGTTGTGTTATTGCAACATTTTTCAATTGTTGCCCCCAGCCTGGAGAAAATCCCGGATCTACCTCTGATACAAACATTAACTGTTTTAAGAAATCTCTCAGAAAAAAAAATAAAAATTTTACTTTGATAATTTTAAGTGTACATACACAGTGCATATTGGGAAAACTTGTGTTTCATTGTGTTTCATATTTTCAGTCACAACACTGGAACAACACACTGGCATGATCCACGGCTTGCTGATGATCAAAATGATGATCATAATGACTATGATGATGAAGGTCAGTTGAATCTGCTTGAAGAAACATTTTTATACTCGATTTGCTTTGACAAACATGAGCAGCTGAGATGTATAAGGTGATGCACAGATGCAGTTGAGGAATTTAATCAGAAACTGTGTAGGAATGTTTGAGAAAACGAGGTTCTACATGTTTTGTGGGCATGCACGTTATTTACAACCTACTCAGAGTTTTTCAAATGAGTTTGAATTGGTGAATCAAAGCAAGAAATTTGGTAGCTTTGAATGGGAGTTTTGGAAATGTTTTTCTTTACTTGATTGAAGACAAACAGCCGGCTCTAGAACGTGATGTAGCCGTCGGAAATTTTTCTGCTTGCAGCTTATTTTAAAAACCCCTACCTTCTTAGGAATGCAAATGTAAATTTTTTTCCCTCTGTTACTATCTTTCCTCCGTCATTCGAAATTGAATTGATTATGTGAGGCAGGCGTCGTTGAACTTCGCTGAACGTTATTTAAAAGTTTTTATTTCATTAAACGTTTGCCTTAACTGAGTCTCACTTGTATTTATTCAACTGGTAATTTTATATTTCCCGCAAACAATTTCTCGCCAACTTTGGAGTCACTCTTATGCCTATTTTCCATAAATACATTTTCTGCATTTTATTCACACAACTCTAATTTTCCATCATCCATTTCTCACAAGTACCACTCAGATCTAACTTACAATCTGCTCCACCGTCATCTGTTCTACTTACATTTCATCATCCATTTCTCACAAGTACCACTCAGATCTAACTTACAATCTGCTCCACCGTCATCTGCTCTACTTACTTTCATTCTTGTCTTCTCGTTTTTGCTTGAACAACTGTTGTCCAACTCTGAGTCTTGTCTTTACACCAAACTCATCACTGGCACTGGCATATTTCTCGCCGATAACTTTCTCGTTCTGTCTAATACCATCTCTTATACAACAGCTTCTTTATACACTCCATGATACGCTACTGATAATGAACACAAAGTCCACAGCATTTGTAATTAGCTGATCTCCTACTATTCAAGGCGGTCTCTGATTAACTTCCTATTTTCCTCCCACGAGTTTATACTCAGTCTCCGGTTCATTTCCATCCACGCTATCCATCACTTTTCCTTACATCTTCACATCCATAAGTCATGTGCTCTTTGTCCTCTTCATCTCACATCTTACAAGCAGCACACATCCTCTGTACTTTTCAGATCATATTTCCTACATTCCAAGACCTCACGCCAAGACCTCTACCTTACCCCTAATCGTTCATGAGACATCCCGTCATTTTGCAGGCAGTGTGTTACCAGTGTTGGGTATTGCACCCTCCTGTTTGTCTTTGTGCCCGCCCCAGTTTTTGGCTCGCCGTGCTTTTATTTCCAAGTTTGAGGAATTCCGCCTTTGTCATCTATACGACTGTACTTTGCCGTATATACCGCTTACTTTGCATTGAAAGCATTTTGTGTGGGTGCTGTTACGTAACAATTACTTGGAACTAAATGTGTTGTCGCTCGTCTCATCTATTGTGTAACCAATAGAGGAAGATGTAGACTCGGTTAGTTTTGGAATGTTGCCTTAGATGTGAATGTTTTTTCTTATAAACAATCACTGAAAGCTTCGGCTCCAGGCTCCTAAAACTGAAAGTATGCGTGCATGTTTAATTGTTTATGCAAATATGCATGTGACCTTTATCTTGCATGCTAATTTATTAATAATTAGCACTCATATTTTGTATACATAATATTGTACATAAAAGCTCTCCTTTACGAAGTACCGTATCACAAAGTGTTTTCACTCTTATTGCTCGGTCATGAACGTGTTATGTATTAAACGCTTCTTTTTCGACATTTAGAACTGCCGCGTGGTTGGGAAAAGGTTGAAGATCCTAAATTTGGTACCTACTATATCGAGTAAGTTTTTCGCTTTCTTTGTTACTTCATTGTAGATCTGTGATCGACGCAAGGTATTTGCTATTGGCTCGTCATTATGTTAATTCCTAACTTTTTACTAAACGATCGACTGTTTTATCTATCTTAAGTTGAATGCACAATTACTTTTTGAATGGATCGTGTGGTTTTCACTCTTTAAATCTACAGCTCGCCACAGTGAAGTTGATGATGTTTGATTGGAATACCACATTTTTAATGTTTGATTGTAGACAATTAATAACTTTTATTGTTTGTTGATTAACCCCATCGACTTATTTTGAATATTTTTTTATGAACAGTATCTCTATAATGTACTGATTTCACTTTGTATACATGTTTATTTCGCACATTTCCATGTCCTTTATTACGCGGGAATCGTTTGCGGGTATGTTCAAAGCAATGTTGTTTACTGGGATTAAGTTGAAAATGCATCATTTGGTAAAATAATTTATAGCAAGCCCTATTTAAGATTGGAAACACTTTCATAACAATCCTGTTGCTTTTGAGTTTCCGAAATTTAAAATCATATCGATTGAACGTTTTTTCCGAGCTATCGAAATGTTCTTCAATCTTTTTCTCAACATTTGCTGCTTTTGTTGTGTGAGTGAATATTGTCCACTCCTCTTTTCAAGTTTACAATTGTAAGTCACATATAAAACGTTGCCAAGTGAGTAATAAGTTTGTCGAATATTTCTTCTTTTTTTTTGTCGAATATTGTTAAGTTTTATATCTCGGAGTAATCACGAGTCAAATTTCTAACATATTTGATATTTGACGCACGGTTGATGAGGGCGGACAACTCAGTGAAATTCTCGTTAACACGATGAATAACGTGCTGAGCAAATATGTTAACAACAATAAATTTTTACATCAGTGGGTAGCTATTGTGTTCAACAGTCTCTTGTAGCGAAGTAATTAAAATCAATATATTGTAACGTTCAACATCGTTTGTGCAAAAACTCTTTTAGTTCTTATTGATATGTTCTTTTAAGTTTTAAACTTATGGGCGGAGCGATATGCATTCACTTGCCTGAAAGAAAAACACTATGTAACTGATTACATAAATTTTTTTACGCTTACCTTAATTCCCGTCGACGCGTCGTGTGATTCCGTGCGGCGTATTTAGCTGAACCATGCAATTCAGCATGATCTTGTTACCAGATTATATAAGCATTTTTAGAATAACTTACAGCGGTTGAAACTTGCTCTTCTTCTATAGGCACAGCATTTGCTTTATTTGTACCACGAATTCAACGTAGAGAACCTACTAATATGTTTTTGTGATGCATGTGACGTGTCATTACAGTTTTTTTACTTTTGCGTTACCTAAAGAAATGTAAAAGGGGAGAAACAAGTTGAAATCAATTTTCTATTCAGTTCTGTAAACAGATCAAATGCAGTTAGTTATGGTAAAAACTACTGTTGATTACGGGTGTACATAAATCAGCTTTTTTCTCATGAATATTTTTCTGCTATGACTACGTCAATAACGTAGACAAAGGGGGAGGGTCTTGGCTTCTCTATTGGCTGAAAGGTCATGAATATTTTTTGCTATGTCTACGACAGTAACGTAGCAAAGGAAGGGACTCTGCTATGGTTACCCCTGTGACTTAAGCAAAGGGGGGTCCCAGAAGGACTCGTAGAAATAAGAAAGAGGCGATTGTGAATGTTATTACCATTTTTACAAAATCTAACCCTATGAACAAAGCTAATCGCTATTAAGGTTTTATGAAGAAGTTTCACGTTATAACACCCTCCCCTCCCTTGTATGAAATGCTACCCCCTAACTTACGCCACTGATCTATATACGTATGTCATGTGTAAATATTAGTAATCTATTTTAGGGTTATTCCTTTGTTTAATCGATATGTATTCATCTTCATCGTTTTCTAGTCACGTGAATCGTACGACACAATTTGAAAACCCTTTATTGTCCAATAAACGAGGTGATAAGAAAATAAACAGCATGAATCAGGAACCACCATCCATGTTGCCATCCAGGGTAAAGAATGATGACGTTGAACCTTCAGCAAGGTATGAGAACTCTTCATCAAATTTTGAAGTGTTCTTCATTGTCCCTCGCACTATAATCCTTGTTTTTCGCTATTTACCATCTACTGTAGCGATGTCTGTTTGGTCAAAATGTCTTTACGTCATGTTGACTTTGAACTGTTTTGTCGTATCGGTTTCTAGATGGCAAAATGCTGGGTTTGGTACGGATGACCTGGGACCAAACTACTACAACTATCATGTAAAAGAACAGAGAATTACAACTGTGTTGCAGAAGGGTCTTAGGGATTTGGGTTCACCATTGTTGGTGGTGATCACCCTGATGAACCCTCAAGTAAAAGTATTGTACCTGGAGGTCCCGCAAGTGTTGATGGTAAAATAAGGATTGGCGATACACTTACTAAAGTCAATGGTATGTTATTGACTCTTATGTCTGGACTACCATGCAATTTTGTGTCGCTTATTTGCATATATATTTTATGTTAAGTTTTGGGAATTTTCATCTTTGATTTCATCAATGAAAAGTATTTTTTCGGTTGATTTTTTAAACGTTTAGGAATGTCCTTAGCGGGTCATAATCACAGATATGTGGTGGGTATGTTTCAGTCGATGTCACAAGGTGATGAGGTGGAGCTGGACTTGATACGAGGTCATCCTCTATCATTTGACTCAGACGATGCAAGCGTCCACAGTAACGGTGTACCAAAATATCACCATGATGATATGAGACCACCTCCATCCATTGATGATGGATACACAAATGGTAAATTTGGAAATGGTCAATACAAAGATACTTTACAGATAAATAAATACAACAAGGTCAATTCGTTTGTTCCAAGTGGGAATTCTGCGTTTAATGAACCAAAGCGCGAATGGTCCAACCAATCAAGCAATGGTAGGTTATGAAAATGTTTATTATTTGTAAATTACAAATTAAATTATCGTTGCAAACCCTTCAATTCTGAGTTAGCACTGATTTTGCTTCGAAGTACAATGAAATACAGCAAATAAATCTAAAGAGTATAATATTTTAATATTCATTATTATTATGTGATCAAAATCCCGCTCGTTTAAGTATTTTTGGAGATTTTTAAGAGTTTCATAAGCATGTGCAAACTCCGAAAAGCATGTTTCATTTCTGAAGTGGTTTTGATGCAAATGTTTACTGTGTACATGACATGTACTGTACTTTTTTTTAGATAAATACTATGATCAAGTTGATAACGTTCCACTTCAATCGTCAACTCTCCCCAGGACATCAACTCAGCGCGTGTCATCGTCTCAAGCTCCTCGAGTTGCGAGGGAGACGTTAAATGTCCACGTAGTCAAAGGCTCGAACGGATTTGGGTTCACGATCGCAGACAGCCACCAAGGACAACGCATTAAGCAGATCATGGATGCCGGTCGTTGTCAGGATTTGCAAGAAGGCGATTTGTTAATCGAGATCAACGGATTTAATGTACAAAGATATTCCCACAATGAGGTTGTGAATATGTTGAAGTCATGTCCACGTGACACGGAAGCTGCGATCATTGTTCAACGAGGAGGTATGTCACGTGTAAATAAATTGCAACTTCGCGATTGTCATTTCAAACTTCACGTTCAAAAGCGTTTTATTTTTTTGATGCGTAAGGCATTTGTGCGTTTAATTGTTCATCTCATATTCTTTAGTGGTAAAGCCCAGCATAAAATGCGTAAAACAGCCATAAAAAGAAAAAGAAAATAATATATATTTATTACAAAATGTTGACAGCTGACGTTTGGTCTTTATCATAAGGCATTCTCAAAGCAATTTGCGAAGTGAGTTAAATCGTTATATATAATTAATATATAATTAATTCATATTAACTCACATCGCAAATTGCTTTGAGAATGGCTTATGATAAAGACCAAACGTCAGCTGTTAACATTTTGTAATAAATATATATTATTTTCGTTTTCTTTTTATGGCTGTTCTACACATTTTATGCTGGGCTTTACTATTTATATTTAGAATACGATTCCAGCCTGGTTTATGATCGCATCTTCTTTTGTAATATTTTGTCTATGTTCTCTTCCTCGCTTAGTCTAATCAAATTCATAATTTCGATGTTTAGTGCCTGAGGAATCAAGTCCAATTCCTAATAGACGATCTTTGGTAAGCTTGCCTAGAGGAATTTGCCTTTTTTCTCCACCGATATAAATTTAGAAGTATTTCCTTTTGTAATATAAAAATTTAGGAGCCTACAAAAGCGCGAGCACCTCGTGCCCAGTCCACTCCGCCAATGAAATCGTCGCAGTACAATACGAACGTGACCATGGCAACGGAAGGACAGCCTACGAAGAATTATGAAACAGGTTCTCTCCAGCGTCCATCTCGACAGGCAAGAGTTTCAAGTTCTGGTGATTCGACCAGTTATCAATCATTGAAACGTGCTGTCGCCTCGCAATTAAGGTATGTAACTTAATGATCGATTGGAAAATGCGCAGTAAGTTTTCTGCTATTTTTTTAAGGTGTTTTACTCGACAAAGACCATCTTTGTAAAATCACATGAAAAATTTATGGCGTTGCTTAAATACAACCGGCGTTGTAATATAGTCATATATTCGGTTATATAGTAACATAGCAATATATACTTTAATTAGCAATATAGTAATATAAGTTTAATTTATAACTTCAGTTTTGCTGCCGCCTAATTATTGAAATATGCAGTCAATATTACAATGTATGACAAAACGTATAAAAACAGCCTAATATATAATTAATAATGCAATATATAGCATCTCTTTTATTATAATATTTTAGTAATTTTGCATAATATAATACCGTTCATTTGCTTAAGTAATAATACTAACGACGAAAGTGTTCGTCTTAAAAAATTCTGATTTCTGACACGGTAATACGCACGTGAAGAACATGTGTCTTTCAAGTGATTTGAAGTATGTGTGTGCGGGTGTCGTGAAGACTGCTATCGCGGTGAGAATATTTTTCCAACTTGATGTTCATCGCCTCCAATTGTTTATTTGATTGCTTTACACGTTGACTTGTCCCGAAGATGCGAGTTCATGTCTCGCCTAAGCTGTATGATTATCATGTGTGTATAATAATAATCCTTTCATGAGATATCAATTTCTGATTCTCTGATAATGGCTTTGGATAAAGTGTTAAGTTGGGAATTTTCCATATGAAAATTGCACCATATTTTGCTAATAGACCTGTGCGAAATCTCAAATCTCATTCTATTTATGTTCTTTCAGGGCGAATGGTGCAGACAATATTAGTATTGGCGGAGGATCAATGGGGACTGGTGATGATTATCTGGAAATGACGTTGTTGCTGAAGCGTGGTGAGAGTGGTTTTGGATTTCGTGTGATCGGAGGAGATGAAGAAGGATCACAGGTTAGGGCTTGTTTTTGATGTGCAGTTTGATTGAATATCATTTGGGTACTGCTGTACATAATGTGACAATGAGGGGTATTGCTTTACATGTGATAATGGGGTGTTTTAGAATTTCCTTCAAATTTGTATTTTGTGTATCGCTTACTGTACAATACATATCAGACGCCATTTTTGCTTTTATCAATGTTAAGTATAACCTAGACATTTAAGCCAAAATAAAGATTACTTGCATACACTGGAAACATCCACACACTTGCAACATGCATACACTGTGAAATTTATGACAGCCAATCAACGTCTGAAGCTGTTTACTGTTCAGTTGAATAACCAGCCCACTAACGTTGTCGTTCTTCACTTCATTAGAAACATTTTGTTTTTGCGGAGAAAGCTTGACTATATGAATGAATTGACTAAGTCTTGGATATGTTATTGTAGATCTCTGTGGGAAGATTGTCCCAAAGAGTTCAGCTCACAAGGACGGTCGATTACGTCGTGGTGATGAAATATTGTCCATAAATGATACAAGTGTGGTTGGATCGACACATCGTCAAGCTATAAGCCTGTTGAGTTCAGCTGCTGCAAATAATAAAGTGAAACTAACAATACGAAGATGGAAAACTGGCGTCCAATCAGGAAGTAAGATGGACGATCTTGTGTATTCATTCATGTTTTGAAATACGTTTTCCGGTCATGTCGCGAGATTGCACAAATACATGCGCCATGCACGAAGTTCTTGAACCAATCAAAATCTTTCTTGTGTCTTTTCACGCGCGAGTGTCACGAATGACACATAAAATGAAGCGTGGTCGGCATAATATAAAGATAAATATACGATTTCATTGCCACGAATATTTTGCTATTCGCTTAAGTAAACGCTTGATAGACATCTTGTTCTATTTAATTTGTGCACAGTGTTTAATTGACGATAAATAAGTCATATTCGAACGGTTGAACGGGTAAATTATGATACTAAATTAGCATGGTCTACTTATGAATATGGTTCAAAGTAACCACTTCGGTTTACTTGATGTCATCTTTTCATCATTTATATTCCCTAGGATCCACTCCAGTCGGTTCTTTGCGTCGCAGTGTGTCCCAGGCCTCTCAACTCTCTGAGATTAGTCAGAATTCAATGCGTTTTCAAGATCTGCAGGGAACCTTGCCGGCGGGTACATCAGTGACGGTCTATCCTCAGCCCGTAGTGCACCGGCTGTCAACAAACCCCGGTATTATGACGTCAGCCACCACAATAGTGAAGGACAGTTGTCACAGCGTGTGGATGACAACATCGACATGACAAACCAAAAAGATGTCCTGGTAGAAAGGCGCGAAGAGGAAGGCTTTGGTTTTGTGATCTTGTCTACCGAGAATAGCATTGGATCAACTATTGGTCGTATTATAGATGGCAGTCCAGCTTATCGTTGCGGTCAGTTGCGTGTCGGTGATCGTATTGTGGCAGTGAATGGGCTTAAAATTATTGGCATGAATCATAGTGATATTGTGAGCATGATAAAGACGTCTGGAACTAGTCTCACTTTGAAAATTATTTCCCAAACTGGTAAGTCGCAGATCCGTTCTCGGAACTACTATTCATCTTTAAAGGAAATGTTAATATAATTTTACCGATTTATGAAGACAATTGTAGGTGTGTTCACTGTATTTTTAAAAATAAGCTAGAACTGGGATGTTTTATTTACTTAAATGTACTCAAAACTTCTTTAAGCGATGACGAGCTAAATATTACATCAATGCCAAAAGCAAAATATCTGTTTTTGTTTTATTTGTTTTCGTTGAAGTCAACGACAACTGAAGCACATTTTCTTTTTAGATAAAGAGCCTGACAATCCTCGGGATCGTCCCACCAGAAAGGTGAGGTGGAAATTGAGTTTAAATCTATTCCTACTTAAATTTGTCGAATAAAGACGGGGGGAGTAGACAAATGAAAGTAGCCATGACTATTGTGTTGGATAGAGGCAAAAAGTCATCCATGATTTAAAACTTGGAATAGAAATTACTTCTATCAATGGAAATGAATTTTCCTCATATTTTATAATTATGTTGATTGTGCTCAAAAGGAGGGAAAGCTGATGTTTCTGTTTTACACTAAAACTGTTATTTATAAAACATCTTCAATTTGGAATCACCTACAGTACATATCTATTCCTTTGACTTTGATTGTGATGCTGGTTTCTTCGACTGCCATGTTGTTGTTTTTTTATTCTTAATTTTATCAATAATGTTTTTTCTGTTTGATTAGAGTACCGGAGATGTGTACGGGTACGACGAACCCGATAGCGGCCGTAACTATCGTAGTGGAAGTATGGGCGTATTGCAAGACAAAGGATCTCAAAACAAATTTGGTGAATTCAAACCCCTTGCTCAGGTAAAATACAAAACAATTTCTTACACATTGTGTTGTACGATTACAAAAGACAAATATGCATGTGTAATAGTTCAGTGAATCTGGAGTGATGTATTTCCACCCTTTTTTTCTAGAATGGCTACGATTATGGTAGTGGAGACAGGAAAAACAGAGGAGAAAAGCCTCCTATTATGCCAAAGCCAAAACGCCCTAACTCGGAGATGAATGTGAACCAAATTAAAGTATTGTCTATTACTCTCTTATATTATCTTCAGGCGTGTATTGACTTTATTTTTTCTATGTAGTCGGTTGCCCAGCAACAACCCAACTACAAGCCAGTTCCAGCTCCCCGACGTAGCTTTAGTACAAACGGTACAATGGATCGCGTTAACAGTCGCGGCGAAGATGAGACGATATCGGTCCAGTTGAAACGAGGTCAACAGGGCTATGGATTCAGCTTACGCGGTGGTCTGGATTTGGGAATTCCTTTATTTGTGTTGCGAATGGCTGATGGTGGAACAGCACATAGAGATGGCCGATTGATGGTAAGTTGTTTTGTTATTTGACGTTCTCTCATCATTATTACAAAATCAGCATTTATTCTTTGTGCTTTGGTAACATGGGGTGAAATCACACATGCACACATTTATTCAAAACATGATGATTTGAATTTGCACTTTTTAAACTTGAATTCATTTGCAAACGATATGGTTAAATACAAAGGTTCTAAGAGATAAACGCGAAATAACTAACTACATGTATATTCTTATACAAATATAATTACATTGTAATTGTTACTTTGATTATGTTGCTATTGATTTCATTTGTCACTTGAATTGTTTCAGGTTGGAGATGAACTTATTGAGATCAATGGCCAGCCTACGTTCAATATGAATCATAGTGACGCCATTGATGCCATCAAACATGGTGGAAACACGCTCGAAGTTGTTGTGAGGCGTTCTGGAAAACAAAGCTACATGAGTACGTATCGAGTATTGGCATAGCCTAACAAAAATCTTGTTTGCCCTTACAGAATTGCATTCGGGGGGGTGGGGTGGGGGGAAGGAAGGTAATTTTGTAAAAGAAGAACCGTATTTTATGTTTGTTTGTTTACACACGGCGATGTTTCATAAATGTGAAAAGCGTTGGAGACTTCATTCCATTGAGTAAATATGCTAAACTGCTTTTGCTTTAGACTAACAATGTGTTATTTGATGTGAATTGGTTGGCTGGGAGATATTTTTAAATTGCTCTTTTGATATCGAAGTGTTTCTTGTTTCAGGTAATACATTACCAAACGGTGGATCCAGCAATACCGGAGTCCGTCGACAGCAAAGATTCTACTATTAAGAGAGCCCCTTCATATTGCTGGCACAAGTAAGCTGAAATTTTATTGAAACATCAACAAATTGGATTGTCAACAGCTTGATAAATCATCCAATTTCAATATTCTTATACATGGATTATTGAGTTTTGGCAATTTTAAACTCGACGCTAGATTTCGTGAAAGATCGTGTTTAATTTCTTTAAAAAATTTTATGTGAAGTGTATTGCATTCTTCGATTCATGATGTAGGGATAACTAGGGATGATTAATATCAATGAGAGTTTTTCTCGGACAATACGTCGGATATAAAAATGAAAATTGTTGCACGCATGTATGTTATATGAAGATATATATATTAACGGAGTATTGTTTTAATCATTATACAATTTTAATTCATATATTTTTTGGATTGATCCTTGTGGTATCTCTTGTTTCGATGGTTTGAATAATCGCCAATTGATGGCCACTGGGCTTTTACTTTAAATAGTGATTTCAGCCTTCGTTTTTTAGCTATTAAATTTCTGTAATAACAAATATTATGCAGTAAATATAGTTGAAAAAATTTCGTCTTTGATTGTTTTTTTGAAGAGCTATTTCGTAATCCCTGTCAGAAAATATATTGCCCTTGCCTCTGGTAGTCAACGCCATTGTGCATTGGCGCCTGAATCGGGGCCTAACTTTTTATAAACAAAAAGTTGAGCCATAGCAAAAGTATTTCCAATTTTGTTAATATTTTCAGTTACTACTTACGGTAGCAAAGGAGAAAACGTCTCTAGGCTTTTGATGTAAGTGTATCTTAAAGTTGAAGATATGGTTTTTGTAGCTTAAAATTTTGATTGAGGTTGAAGAGTGAGAAGATTAAAGTTTTATTGTGTTGTTTCTGAAAGGCGAAAGAGGTTTTTGGGTCCCTGGAGCATTGCAATATTATGCAGTTGGAATTCTCTGATACCTGTATTTATATTTCGAGTGTGTTAAGACCGTGCATTTTTAACTGTTTGATGGGAAACACTCTAACGGTCACGCCATCCTTGAGGCTGTTTGTGCATTCGAACCATTCGAACCCATCTACACTAACTTAATTGACATTAAAGTCTTCTATAAACTGCTTAAATTTAAAACACGTAAAAATGTTGGTGGAAATTTTAATAAACTGTTAGAAACCAGACTAACGGGCCGAGGTATGAAAAAACACGAGCAAGTACAGCTTAATACAATAAAATTTCTCTCAACCGATGTTCATATTCTCAATTAATTCCATTTAATTTTCACATAATCGATAATCGATCATTTTCTAAATATTTTATTTACACATCCTCTAATTACAATCGCTCAAGAATCCATCATACTTTTGAGCGATCCAATTTGAGTTCGGGCAGGAAAAGCATGTTGAAAGTTGAAAGACACGTGGAGACTAATTTTTTGGTCCGACTTCATGTACGGCGGCTACCTATTACAAGAAAGGGAATTGGATTTTCAAGACTTATACTACTATGGTAAGAGTTTATTTTGCGTTTGAGCGAGTTAATACTGCTTTTCAGAAGATCTAGTTGTACTGCTGTTGTACGTAAATTTGAAGTTTTGTACCTTACACTATTCACTGTTTTCGCGAAATTTGTGAGGTGTTTTATGTGATTGCTAACCGCGATATGCCTCGCAGTATTAAAAGCAATATTGCATTTGTTGTTTCATGAAATGAGTCGAGTCTGGACTTGTCTGGTGTTCAAACTAACTGGTGCTGTGTAGTTTTGGTTGCCTTTTATGCTATGTCACCCTTTTTTTTGTGCATTAAAAGCACTTAGATGAAAACGAAATTAATCATTTTTTTATTCTGCCGAACCAGTAGCATTTTACTGTTGATAGTTTCTGCCTAATGTCTAGCAAAGATTATTGAAGCAATAAATCTACCATTGTCTGAACAAGGCCAAATCAACGTTGGAAAATGTCTGAAACTCTGTTCTCATATTCATCAGTTTTCATCACGAGTGTTGTGATGGGAAAGTCAAATTCTTATGTACTCCTGTGTGATGTGATCTTATGTTAGACTTTTTAATCTATAAGAATGTCGCATTAGATTAGGGAATCATAATCATTAAAATTGGAATCATAAATGTTAATTCCCCTATTAATGTAGTTGTGTGAAAAGAATTGTTTATTTTGATTACCAAGTGGTATATCCACACATGTTCTTCTCAAACATACTGCAAACACATCAGATTTCAAGCATTCTCGATGGCTGTCACAGGCACGTCCAAGCTTTGATAGTGACTTTTTCTCCATTTCTAAAAATGCACCACCATGAAGCACATTGTTTGCGAAAGTTAAGGCGTATTTTTGCACTCCTGACTGAAAACATTACATACTAACCAATCATTACTGTGCATGTACCAAGTCCTGTTGATGGTTTTATAAGGCATGTTTCAAATATTGATTGGCAGTCCGAGTTTGTCAAACATTCATTTCCTCCAAATATGTGTCGTTTCTCAAAATCTAAAGTATATCAGTTTTGTCAGTGGTTATTCCTAAGAGATGTAAAGGAGTTGTCCATTTGGTGCAAACTCAAAATTCTCTCATTTTAACCCCGCCCTTCATTTTGTACACAAATGTGCAATATTTGGCTACTTTGCACTACCCCCTTGCTGAGTGCACCTCCAACCTGGGGAAATATTCATCTTTTATGTTTGAAAACAATTTTCAATTGATTATGATTGCTTAATGATTTCTTTTAGCCCCCTCTTTCTGTATACACACCCTCTCTCTTTTTCTACATACTTGCGAAGTGGGTACCCTAAATGTTCCCTACACTGCCTTAAGTATTTCTTTATTATTGCAAGATGGATTAGGGATGAAAAAAAGAAATTTTCTTTAAAATAGCCGTGGTCCTTCTTTTAATTTTGTGTCTAGCTGCTTAAATTTCCATGTTTGCTTCTAATTAGAAATACTATTCTAATTGTATTTCTTAAGGCCTCTCACACTCAGTACTCTAGCCAGCCTGCAGATTTGGTCTTGCCTTACTATTGTATTTTATAAAGCACGGGGGGGGGAGGGGGGTATCACATCCGGTAGCATAGCCTGCATGCAGGTTTAGTCTTATGCAAATATTGAACATTAGCATTATTCATTTCTTTAGAAATCAATTGTTTTTACCATCAGTGAACAGCAAGACAAGTAAAAGGTCGTCCTTGCTCGTCTTGTGGCCCCCACTTGTCCTGCATTTTATGTTTACCTTTGCTAATATCTTTGTCGTTTTCTTTAACGTAAAATCCATGAATTCCAGCTAAACACACGAGCAACAAAAGCGTTGCACTTTTTCCTATCATCTTGTTTTCTGTTTAAAGATGAAATAATTAATATGTTACATTTTGCGTTATAAATTAAATGGTTTGAACCCGGGTGTATCGTTACATGTTTGTAGATGTAGATCGTCCAGGTTAGTATAGTCCTGAGAAGGACTGTTTTTGTTGTTGTTGACTGACGTTTCGACAACCTTAGCGGGAGTCATTTTCAGAGTCACGTGACTACTGCTAAGGTTGTCAAAATGAACACTATGTGAACAATAGTGAACACTATTTTCTGTTTCGACAATCCTTGGTTTTTATCACTAAGGCTTAGTTCAAACGTCGAACTTTACATGCACCGTACGTATTTAAAACAAAAGATAATGTGGAATTTTATCTTTTGTTTTAAATTTTATAAATCATATTTTTGAAATATTTTTCATGTCTCTCCATTTAATTATGTACTATTGTTTCTTAAATTAACACCTTATGTGTCAAACCTTGTATTGAATTTGAGTCGGGGTGTTTTGTGGCCAAAGTAATTTTAGTTCATTGGAAATGTATCTCACAGCTACATCCCCTTACTGACTTTCATTTTATTTGCCGCGAGACTTGAATCTTTATTTACTTTAAATATAGATTTTCTTTCATTGAGAAAGTTCTAATTTTGAATTTAGTTATAAATGATGCAGTGAGCTGTATAATATAAACTGGAACGCTTGCTGTTTTCGATGTATTAAAATCTGAGTTTTTCTGTTTATTATCAAATGTCATGTGGTAACAGTTATCATGGCAATTTGCTATATGCTATGTTTTATTTTATATATCGTTGTTGATTTTTCAAAATAACATCATAAAATTTCTGAAAACTTTAAAACTAGTTTTATTTTCGGCTTTTGCACCAAAAACTCAACACGGTTAAAAACTATTTCACACAACAAACACCACGCGCCGTTCTTCTTTATCATTTCTTGTCGTTTTCGCTCAACTTTTTTCGTGTCTTCTAATTTTAAAATTTTATATCAACATCTTTTTATAGTTTGAGACAACATAGTTGGAAAATACAAACATTGATGGAAGCAAGAATATGAAAATGGACAACAAAGACGAAACGTAATAAATGGTAGGAACTTTGCTGAGAATTTTTTGTGTAAAACCTATTGATAACCAGGTTTTTTATCTGTTAGGATCTCGAGTTGAGTTGGTTTTTTTTTTCATGATACAAGTGGCGAAAAAATATAATTTATTATTGTACTAAATAACGGTCTTACCTTGAGATCTTACGAATATGAATCTATTTGAGCTTGAGTGAATTTGCGCTGTAAATATTTTCCTCTTCGTCCTCCGTGATTCAAAGTTAATAAACTAGTGAAAGATGCTCAATCTGCACTCCTATTTTATACATCGCTGCTGGGATGAATTGAATATAATTGTCAATTGAAACAACATGTTAGCCGCATGCCGCCTACATTTGCTTTAATTACAAACAACGGACCGTGCTATTGTTGGCGGCCAACGCATTTCGAACTGCCTTTGAAATGTCTTGAATCAATTGGACTCAAACCCGTTAATTGCACGGTATGTGGCGATCAAAAGATAAATATATTAAATTCTGACGTAAATTCTTTAAAATCTTAATTTATTAATGTATAATCAGTGCACGCTTGTGCAATGGAAAGTGCACCTTTCAAAGGAAATTTTTTTCTGCTTTTCGCGAGAATTTCTGCATAATTCTTGGGATTAGGTTTAGAAGACTATTTTCGTATTACCATTGAATAGAACGTTGTGTACGTTGGGGGATTGAGACGAACTTGTGTAGCAGCTGTCCTACGTCATCGCATACGTGTTTGTGTTCCATCAACGGCGAAAAATCTTTTGAATTTGATGAATTGTTGCTCTTCAACAATGTTGCGTAGAACTCCAAAAGTTCTAAACAGCAATCATAGGAAGTAATCCAGAAGCGTGGAGTTTTGTTATTCTTTGAAAATCCTAACCCTAAATTTCACACCACGTTTTCAATATATTTTCGCTTTTTTTACACAGATTATAAATTCATTATGTTTTGCAGTTATATCGACTTTTCAACTTTGCCTTAGTAATTATTTATGTTATTCCAAAACTTGCATTCTCGCGATGAAAAGGCTTTAATAACGTTTTAATGAAGTACTTTATTTTAACCGCAAGTTCTGTTTCCTTTGTGTCACTTCGAAAAACAGCAATCTCATGCCGCTTTCGTCTTCACTATTATTTAAACCTCGATTTACACTTAGGCGTTTTCGCAAAATTTTATCATGGAGAAATTTTGCTGTTGAGAAATTAAGACTTTAAAGAACTATTTTCATATTGAATTAGTAATACCAGTATTATATATGTAGATTTTACCTATTCGTGTATAAATATGAAACATAAAGCCAAGTTTCGTTTGAATTCGAAAAAATGTATTGTGATTATGTGATATCGAACTATTAGTGGATTCGATATTTTTTAACTAAACGTTTTCACTTAAATAAATGTCTCCCACATTGGATTGCTGTATGTCATTACAGTTGACTCTAGGCACTAATTTAAGTTTTGAGGAAAAGTTATTAATAGAAATTTTCTTAAACACTCGACAAATGTTTACCTACTCTCTATTCAGGCAGTGCTCAAAGTTATTTTAAGTTACAGAAACAGTTTGATAATTTACATGAAGTTTAAATTTAACCTCAATCTAGTTCAAAAATATTTTTATGTGAAAGTTAATGAAGTCTGTCGATGTCTCTAGCTCTTAGTTAGACTACCTGATTAACGTATCACAGGGATTTAGGTGACTCCGTTTGATAATTCTTGATAGTTTACAGATTCAAATTTACTGTTATACTAATAGAGCCATAACTCCCAATATACATAATGATATTCTATCAATTTGTTGACCTTGTGAAGTAAACGTCAGCACAATGTTCTGTCTATTATGATACATGCTAAGCCAAAATAAACACTGGACGGTTTATTGACGATAGGGGAACTGTCAGTGATAAACCCTCGGGGATTGACCTCTATCGGTTCAGGTCTTTTCAAAAATTCAGGTAAATACGACTTAACTATTGCAGATCAATGCCATTGTCGACTTTTCGGATTTTTTAGGCAGTCAAGGAATGGGTCGTTTGATCTTCTTCTTTGTATTGTAAATTATATCTTGCAAACTTTAGCCCTCTCGTAAAATATGTCATGGCTTCAAATGTTTTCTATAATCAAAGCAATCCGTTGATTTGGACACAACTTTGTCGTTGTCTGCGACTGATTAATTATTAAAATTACACGTAATGTCTTGCGCAATAAATCTGAACTTTCGAAATCAAAGATAGACAAAATTAATCGCTTAAATCGACATGTCGGAAAATCAAAAATACTGGAATTTAAAACCATTAAAATAGCTACGTGTAAACTATTTTGAAGGTCAATTATTGGTGAATTGTTCCTCAGTCGACTGCGAGAGATACCAAGGCTTGTGTTTTTTTTGGATAAGTATGCCGTTTTCGTACCTCTAGTGTTGTTCAAATTATTATAGTTTATTTAAAAATAGGTGCACTCCGTACACCTATTGTGCTCATTCGTCTATGCATTAGCTGATAGGGAAGCCTTTTCTCCAGATTTCAATCGAATTAAGATCTAGCTGATAGTTACAATTGAAGAACAAGCGCTGCCTTTCAACAAAAAAATACATTGGCATTGTCATCAACACAGAAAATACTCGACCCTCAGATATCGAGAGATTTCGAATGGAATACTCGTAATATCGAAATATATCGTAAAGATATATATATCGTTGCCAGAAATATACCAGGCCGAATTTTCATTACGAATATAATAGCCCAAGACAAGAATTTCAATATAGCCATTACAAAAAAATAATAGAGATGAAGGTTTTTCTTTTTCAATAACTTAAAACATAACACAGATACTTTGAAAGATATTTATGCGAGCATTCAAATGTAAGCTCAATTTGTATTCTATTCGTGTTCTTTATACAATTGTATTTGTAGTTCTAATCGATGTATATAATTATCTGCTTTTATAATTATATTTGAAGCTTCGTGTAAATATCTTTCATAGTATCTGAACTTAAGTTAAAAATGAGACATCGTCTCATTAAAAAATCTTCTACACATTTTTTTTGTAATGGCTTTATTAAGAATTAAGTCTTATGCTGGGCTATCATATTCATAATGTAAATAAATATCTAGTAAAGTTTTTTATCATTCCAGACATGTGCTCACTTGTCTTGTGACGAGTGTGTCATATTTCAGTAATTTTTATTCGTTAAACCCTAATCCAATTCGCAATGAAAAATTTTTCATTGGAAGTTTTGTTGAATCGTCGGAAAGATATAATTAGAACTGCGTTCATTATATAAATGAAGCTGTGACACTTTCCATTTTCAGCGTAAATGTAATTTTTAGATTTTTGTCATATTGATTTTCAACAATGTTGTTACACTATTAGTTCGCGCCTTTGAGCATTTTGCGAATTATTTCATGCATCATCTTCAGCTTCTCGAAATAATTTTAGACGTAAGTCGAGGAATCCATTCACTCAGTTCACTGATTTGTTTTCAGATATTTTTCAACAATGCAGTAATTTCACTTGCACAAAATCATCGATCATTCTGTTTATTGTTTCGATAAAGTGTTAAAGCTAAATTCATAGATACATAATTTTGATATCACCTAATAAAATTTAGTCATTTTAAAAGTTGAACTCGTAGTATGATGATGAAACAAAACACGAAACTTAATAAAACATAACAAAATATGAACTTAACTTAACTTCCATCATAAGATTTATTTTGATAAAGCGACGTAATGTCTTGAGTATTATTTTGCAACAATAAATGTCAATCATCATTTTTAGTGATAACATGCCAGATATAGTCAATGCTACGATCATATACATGTCCTATTTGTCACGGCTATAGATTTCGTTTTTTTTATTTTCAGTTGTTGCTAAATTTGGTTACAATTTGAAACTGTTAAAGTTTTTAGGGATGATCAAACTTACATTTGCATGTGTCCATAATTAATTTACTCTGTAGAGAAGCTCATTTACGCACAAGACTCGCAGACAATGAATGAAACAGGTGAATCTATGAAGCCTCCCGTCACATGAATATGCGTCTTGCTAGAAAATTAGAGCCACTTTGTTAACGCCGGATGGCAGAAACAAAAAAATTCTCATTAGGATGTTGTATTTCACAGTTTGAAGTAGATTGATTCCGCTCTTAGATACGAGATACGCTTCATTATTCATATGACTTCGTTTCACCTGTTGAATTTTGTTACGTTAAAAATAGATTAATAAATGCAAGCATGACTACATTCTCTCTTCGAATGTATTTGAACACGACGCATGAATAATGTCCGGAAAGGTGTGTTTTGTTTTGAAAAAACACGTCAATAAAATGACTGGAGTTTTTTCCTGTGAGCATCGACAGAGATTAATATGCTTTTCTAAAATTTCTCACTTTAACTAAAATCAAAACGTCCCATGCACTTCATGTCAAGTGATTCCAACACTTATCTCTAGAGTGACAGTGTTTGCCACAATGTCCTTTTTGAAATACACCGACTAACGAGATAGTTAGCATCTGAATGTTTGGTTCGAATGCCTTTCATGAAGAGAGGGGGGAAGGCATTTCATTATGGAGGGGCAGGACAGTGGGTCCGAAGTGTTTTAATGTTATATTTTACCGTAAGAAGTAAGCGTAAGTGTGGGGGTGAAGTATTGGACGTTATAAATTACCTTCAAATTTTGAGGGTTCTTATAATCACGACGTTTGTATACAGTGTGCGACTATTTGTATTGAACTGATATTTTTGTAGTGATGCTATATTGTTTTCATTAAATTAATGTAGTGCCTCTTTCATTCACGTTTTTGCTTGCGGATGTTATTATTTTTAAAATCGACTGCACGTGCTGTTAGCTTTATTTTGTTATTGCTTAAAGAATAAAATAGATAATAAGATTGCTCTGCAACCGTTGATAAAAAGTATGATCGTTTTGAAAATCAGCTGAATTCTTTCATAGCAAATTTTTCCGATTTTTTCCGAATTCATACTGTTTTTCTTTGAATCTTCGATTTTTTCCTCTTTTTTACACTGCTGCAGGCTGAAACTATTTTGTATTGTGCTATGAGGGGTCCAATCGTGGGCCTGTATATTAAATGACTTATTTGCATGTAAACCAGCACAGATTGTGGACATTTTCAGGAAATCATTTGATTTTTGGTGTCTTGTTTGATGCTTTAATGAAGGGTCATCAGGATATTATAGGAAATAATGCACTTTATTTCCCCATCCTCCGTAATTGTTTCCTGTGCTTCAGTGCATGGTTCTTAAATTCCCATGGAAATTTGAGCCAATAATAATAAATAGATTTGTTCTTTGCATTGCTATACGTGCAATAGCGTTTTCTTGATGGTGTATTAATTGAATATATATCACGAGTCATTGACAGCTTAAAGCGACGATGTGGATGGAGGATTGGAGATTATAGATTTTATGCTAGGTCGTAGATATTACATAGAGTTTTATCCTTTGGTCAATGTGACCAATCAGTTACTTCCCATGTTGACTGCAAATTCGTTTCCCCCAAGAAAAATCTCGTCTTTCGTGAAAAAATGTTTTTTGTTTCAAAAACTTAAGTAAACATCCTTGTGAAATTGTCAAATTAGATGGCGAAGCTAAATTGCTTTAGCTCGATATTATCGTATTACGACTCAAAGAATTCAAATCAACTCGCTAATAAAACAACAAACACACGATCAATGAAAGTAAATAACTCCATATTTTGCGTAATGGAGACATTACCTAAAGGAATTATACCCCACGGCTTTGCCCAAGAATGTAGCAAAATAAGGTTCAGATGTCACAATCTCCAGCTATGAGATATACTTAAAGAGCTGGTGTTTGTCGTCAAGAATCATTTTGAAAGTCCGTTGGCATTCAGCTGTTCGTTAGAAAAAAATATTTTTTGAAAGCATTTATTTTCACGCTGTAAGCTCAACTCCATGATGTATTCCAAAAAGAGTGGTTTAAGTTTATTGATCTTATCCTGGCTGTACGTGGTACTTGAAGTGAGCTCGATGCCACTTCGTGAATTGCTGAGGCTTGATTCGACCCGTATTCAGGTGTGCCATTGAATATTCTTTATTATGATATGATGTTATTGTGACAATGATTTTTTTAAAATTGGTCATCCTTGCATGGTTGGCAGTGCAGCCAGCCACGTATTTATTCGTGTTATGTACATTTAACTGTGTGAAAATACAATTGATTTCGTTTTAGTTATTTTTTTTGTATTGAGTGGTATCCAAATATTTGCACATACTAGGCTATATCACTATTCATTACTGTCGCGGCCACTTTTTGTGCAATTTCTTCATTTTTTTTTCACAATACATGTGAAACCGTCTGGAGTATAATCCAAAAGGAATTTTTCAGTGAATAGACCTTTCTTGAAAATCGTTTTCATATGATAAAAGTACGTTTTCTGTTGTATGAATGATCGAAATTCAAATGCAGATTTACAAGAAAGTTAAAACAAGAATTTTTATGTTTATCCGCACTTAAGAAAACAGAATTTGTTGTTGTTGAACTTAGAGTGTAGTGAGGATGATTAATCTATAAAAAATGTTGTGATTCATACGGTATGATTATTTTCTTAACGACTTTGATTAGGGGTTCTACATTTACTCAATCGTTTCACTATTCTCTAGAGTGAAGGGCGTAAATGTCATTCGTTACAAGATTGTCCCGTTGGTTACTGCTGCACAGGATTGCTAAAGGCAGCGAACGAACCAAATTTACAAAATGTAACCGGAACATGTAAAATGTACAAAGGAATCGGTGAGCGATGCTCACCCAAAATTTTTGTAAGTTATGAAGCCTTTGCCTTTCTTTTGAGGTGATTAATTTTTGTATCGTGTTACTCGTCTTTTGAATTTCAATAATTCATTTTTTTAGCCTGGAGATTATACCTGTCCTTGTTCTCGAGGGCTTACGTGCACAACTGATCTGTTTTCGGAGGAGAAAGGTTTCTTTTGTGAAACAGTTGGATGGTATTACGCATCCTGGGGAACGTTTGGGGAGAGACTGTAATCCTGTCTTTACGTATAATCTCTCTCTTATTTATAAGGTATGTCTTTATTGGTCAGCATTCCAGTTATTCGCACTAACGTGTGTGCGCTCAGCGTGTAACCTGAAACAATATAAAATTTATGTTTTGGCTTAAATAACAATCTTTTCAAGCGTAAATCATAATAAAGGTCAAAAATTTTTAGACAAGGTGCAGTGCTTTATTGTACCTTCTAAAGAATTCAATTGCTTTAGATTCGCTCTAAGTATTTTATTGTAATTTTATTGTACAAACATTCATTCCATTAATTCTAATTATAAATATTTTTCTAATTTTGATTAGGAAAACTGTTCTTGAAGCTGATGAAATTGGAATATGTAAGACAGTCAAGTGAAAGAAAATAGATCTGTTTTGTAATGGTTTTCATCATTATGCGATGTCAATATGAGTTAATTTGGTTCACTTTATACAAGAATGCATCAAGCTTTAAATGTTTTTCAATAAATTTTGTAAATAGCACGTGTATATAGCCAGTATTTCATGCGAAAATTTCATTATTGCCTGGAAACAAGAAATTTCGTGTGAACTACTCCAAGTTTCTCTATGAACTCGAGAAAACAAAGTAAACTTTCTATTTGCTAATTCTTCTTTCGCTGAACAGTAAAGCGAAATAAAAATATTTAAATACATCTCGTCTTTTGATTGATTTTTCTAAGCAATTTCTTGTCGGATAGATAATTTTCATGATAATTTTGATTGAAATTTTGACTTATGTTTCGGTGAATTATCATGTCCTATGAGAGAGAGAGCAAAGCGTTTATATCTTACTAAGGTATATATGTTCAATTTTCTGGATTGAATTTCCAAATTAATTACGTTCGACTTTTTGTAAAATTAGACAAAATATACCAGCGCCTTTTTCATAAAGTAGCCAGTGTTTTGACATTTGGCTGTATTCGGATCAAATAGTCATTGATGCTAGAAGCAGTCCTTCTTATTGCTTAATGATTTCATATGATTTTATTAGAGGTCAGGTGTGAACAGTTTTTTAATAATACTGTATTTACTCTAAAGAATAGAGGCATTTTTCGGTGTGGGCGCTGTTATATATTAGAATGTAAGGAAAGTTGAAATTAGCATTCTTTTTTTCGTTCCAAGATTATCCATGTGCATAGCACATAACAAGTGAAAGGTTTATGAGAAAATATTGTTTAAAAATCATTTCAACTTTATTTTGAATGGCAAAATAGATGAGCACGCTCAACAACTTTATTTGATCTTGAGTTCGTGTAAACAGTTACGTCATAAGATACGTTAGAGTGAAATCATTGGGTGAAATACACCAATTAGAAACCTTGTACATTTTAAGCCATGGTTGGCAATAACAGCAATTTCAACGTTTGCTTCCTTTCGACAAGTAAAATCATCACATGAACGGAAGTAAAAAAACGTAGAAATTTCTAAAATATTTTTTTTTGTTTTCACTTTTCAATTGCGAAGCTACAGGTTTTAAATGTACTCTTTAAGTTACATATCGGCCATTTTTACCCGTGGGAGAAGGGGTGACAGAAGGGGTCCTGCACAAAAAATTTTTGGAGAATGGAAACCCTTGGATAGCTCGTCTCAGTCTCTCTTTATAATCTATATCACGGACGGTTTCATATCATACATTTGATGTTTCACATTTATATATTCAGTTGTGCAGCATATATATATTGTACACTATAACCTATTTTCTTTATCATAGCGTATATTTTCAACTAAATTTTCACTTTATATTTTTAGCCATGCTCTGTTTTGTCCTGTTTTGCGTCCCCATAATGAATTGTAAAATTGAAAATGAACTACTGACAAATATCCGGCCCATTTTTCCGACCATTGCCGATTGACAGCGATGATTTCCCGCCAAAATTACACAAACAAGACTTGTTTTATATTTTCGCATACCATTTCTGTACTGAAAAATATTTGAGCTTTGCTTTAAATAAAACTTCACTTGTAGAAGAAGTCCAATATTTAATGATTTCGTATCTGTGATAGAAGACGTTCCTTAAGGTTAGTATTGTCCATTCCTGTTTTTATCGTCTGTCGAAAGTTGAGTATTCTCGATAAGACTCGTTGACTTTTTCACAGAAAAACTGTATTAACTGTAGTCTTTATTTTGAGTTGGAAACACCATGTATAAATGGTAATATGTCTATTTTTGAAAGAAGAACGCATCTTTGTCTTGTGGTCGTCGGTTTGACAGAAAACGGTATGTTTGGAAAATGTCTCGCGGACTAAATTGAGTTTTTTGAGTCGTTTGTTTACGTGTTTATATGGCTTGCACTGAAACAATGTCCCCCCCCCCCTCCCCACTTCGTTGGTTCTTTTGGCGTTTTTTTTTGTAAGTGCTATTTCAAATATTTCATTGTGGATAGTATATTTCTCATTTGAAGTAAGAATATCAGTTCTTAAAACCTCACTGGAAGGGTATTTCAGGATTTTCCAGTGTCACTTGGCTTGTGGTCCTTTTGAGTTTAATGGCCTTCCAGTGTTAAATCCTTAAACCTTTTCCATACATCTTGTTTTCGGACCATTTTTGCTTTCTCTGTTTTGAACTCTTATATAGTTATAATAGTCTATACTCTTATATAGTTTGAATAGTTACACTGTATTTTGTATAGAAATTTAGGTTTATCAAAATTAATGAAAATACTTATGATAATTAATGATAATACTATGGAAAACGTGCGTGCGCAAACAATGGAGGCGTGTCTTCATTTGTGTATGCGTAGAAAAGAGTGAGGAATCCCAAAGGTGCTTGGCTTTATTCAGCTTTATTTAAAATTCATATTTTGCTTGGCGTTTTCAAGCTAGCTTTGCTTCTATGCACTTGTGTTTTATTCGAGCTTTGTTGTTTTTTGTTGCGATATCTGAGAAATAATGATTGGACACGAAAACTTCAAACATTTCTGGACACGATTGAGGCTTTAATGAAGCGCTCACAACCTAAGATATTGATGCAAATGTAAAGCAAGCTTAAACCTTTCACCGTTAGGTATGAAATTTAAATTCTAGAGCTTAAAGTCGCTTTGGGATCTTTTTCCACGGCGCTATTAAATGCGATGGTGTTTCTATTCGGCAAGTTTGCTTTTCGGAGTGGACAAGAGCACAGAAATCTAAAGTAAATGGTTTGAGCCCGGGAGTATCGTTACATGTTTGTCATCCAGTCAGTTGACATTAAAACTGGCATTTGACGAGCAGCCTGATAAGCTGGTGGGGCGTGTGAAATACTTTGTCGTGGAACTGAGGAATGATGATTGTAATTGAAACGTGAGTGAAATATGAATGTAAACTAGGTACATGTTTAAAGCGTGATCTACAATTTAAAATGGTCCTTATGAACTGCGTCCATATACTGCCATGACAATAAAGGTTGTATCTGAATACAGCTCGTGACTTCATGAAGTTTAATGCAGCCTGCAGAACATAAAAGAACAGCGACTCAATCATACAAAAAAAAATACATTACACGAACACACAAACATGCAATATTTTGATATACACCTGTTTTAAGATTTCAATATAATTGTAATATGCACAAACAAGTTTATCATCATTTAAACGTATACTGCAATCCTATTTTTAAAATGAACTTTGCCTGTATTATAAGTTCTACCTAGTCATTGCACTTGGAAAATTTTGTGAACACCTAGTGAGCATATGGAACAACCAAAACTTTTAAAAGCTTCCAAAGTATGTTGTAAAATATCTAACTTTGTCTCCTATACACATATTTATCAACATGCACGTATTTATTAAACCATTTTGTTTTGTACATGTGCAAACCAGGGTGCATTCCGTGTAAACACCACGCCGAACGTTTTAAAATAACTTTTTTTTACGCCGAAATGTTGAAGTTTCACGCCAACCCAATATAAGCCGAATTAAGAAATAATATAAACTCAAGTATTCATGTTTAGTTTAACCATTACAACAAATGTGAATAATCAATAGTAATAACTAATTTCGCCCTTTACGCCAAGACGATAATTTCTCCACGTCGGAGATCTCGGAATTTTTGTGCAAAGAATGTTTTCATGATGTCACAGTGACGTTATTTGCTAAACGAACAAAGTCTAATATCTCTGTTACGATGTTAACCACTATGTTGTGCTGCAAAAAAAGTGGAAAAGTACTGACCGGTTTCTATTCATATTATTGATCTCTATGTTTGGACTGAATGTAGAAGTAAAGAATGAACTTACATAATTTAGCTACTTTTAACCCTTTCAACAAAGATGTACTAAGGAAACTTACCTAGTTACGATAATTTTAATGCCATGACTAAAGGAATTGTAAAGAAATCGTACAATTGTAAGCTTCGCAAGGGATTGAAAACGTCAGCTACGTCTCGTTGTCAATTACGCTCTGCGTATCTATTTCTATATACTTTATACGCATGTTTAGCTTGACAGAGAGAAGTTGACAGAAGGATTTACGTTGAATTTTTCATTGCCTAAAAATGTCTTTAATTTTATAACGATGATGATGGGAACTTTATTCAAATATTTTTTAAAAATAACAATAATGATAAATTTGTTCGATTAGTATGCCAGTAAAACATTTCAAACAGTCATGAAATCCTAGAACATCGAGAAAAAGAGATTTCAGGAAGGTAACTTGATGAATAATGGAATTATTCTTGTAAGAAAACGGTGGTTAACGGAGCGCTAATTTTAGGAATCGGATAGTGACCGGTAGTCACGTGGTCTTAGTTGAATACTTAAGGTTATCAAGAGCACATAACATCAAGACAATTGCCAGAAGTTTAGCGTTAATGCGGCTTTTGAAACTTCGATAATGGAGTTTTCACAAACGCGTCAAATTTTGGCCAACTTAAACAAGGACGTAAAGCACAAAAGTAGCGTTTTTTCTCCCAATGTGACGAATTGTGTTGAGAAAACTTGCCGCGACATGCTGAAGCAACGAAATTGCTCATGTAGTATAAATACAACTGACACTCCAGTCTGCATTCATGGCTTGGATGTAACCATTCCCAGAGTCTTATGGAGTATTTCTGCTGCGATATTGTTTATTTTCTTTTTGGAATTGTTCTTGATCATGTAAGTGTTCATGGTTATGTCAATTTATTAGCAGTATATTCAGAATACGTTATGACCATTGCAATATTTACTCGTGAACATTCGAGTTTCTAATATAAATTTATATTCGCTAGCAGGTCATTGTGTGTGACTATACGGTTTTTGTTGTATATATTGTTATTATAGGGTTATCTTTGCACTATGGAGCCGTCATTCCAGGCTGGCTGTCCAATGTTGGGCTTTATGAAAGCGAAACATTCAGATACGATTACTTAGTAAAATATATGTTTACATTGTGCGACTAACGAATCGAATCTGACGTGTCCAATTATAGATGCCGGAAGCCATTGCTGGACAATATTCTTGGAAGGGTAATGTTCACCATGGCCATCGTCAGCAGCGTTGTGTCGGAGTTGTGCACCATGCAATATTTACGCAATAATAGTGATGACATCACTCTATGGTATAACGTTGTGATGACCTTTGTCGCAACGATCTTCATGCTGGTTGGCTTTTGCTACCTGTTTGAAAGAAGATTAAGCGCCAACATTGGCACGCATGACCGTGGCATGGGCTTGGTCGTCTTTGTTATATTGATTATTCTCTTATGCTTTGAGTCCGTTTTAGTTGGGATGATATTCAAACGACTGACTGTTTCCGTTGCATTCCAAATATACCTTATAATCTGGCCCATTCAAAAGATCTTCCAATTTGTTTTCTACCTTATGCTGCGTCGTTGCGTCCCTCGCCCCAACTTCAAAACTGGAGCTATTTATTATTTGAAGTTTCTGTCTTATTTGAATTTCACGTATTGGGTTTCCAGCGTTCCTTTCACTAACATTCGACTTTACGAAGAAGTCGCCAACTCTCTTAGTTTGCAATTGGTGAAAGAGGCGTTTAATGCTATGCTCATTGATTATAGATTACTCTGTGCTTTTCTGTATTTTGAGCACGCCATATCAATTGAGAATAGCGATCTTGCAGAACCCGCCGTGAAGAAGACCAGCAATTTGATTTGCCTCGCCATCGATACAAAGTTACCATTGGTGGCTTGGTGCTTGGTTGTGTTTTTTTTGCGTTTGAGATCGTTAACGGTTTACAGTTTATCAATAAAAACCACCCCTTGCCCGACTTTGTGAAATTATTTCCAATTCTTGTTGATTTCATTGTAGTATGCCTCGTCATAGCCTTAGCAGTAAATGTAAAAAGCAAGCTGATGCATAATCAGAGCGGAAATCTTGTTGTTGTTATGGTAACGTCCATGGGTGTTGCGAGTATCCTGTACTTGTTAACATTCTCCATACTTTCCTTCGTCTCCTTCAAAGACAGTCCAAAATCTTACGTTACATGGTCTGCATTTGTATGTCTGTCAAGAGGCTTCAGTCTTTTCGTTCTTCTTCTTGTTTATTCTGGTGTTTCCATCAACAAGATGAAGATGAAGGAGAATTTACTTTTGAAGAATTACTTCATTGTTGCGGCGCTGTTCAGCGGTTTGATTGCACGGTTTGTCGGTTGTGTCTTGGATGAAAGTATTGGGAAAATGCACGAAATTGCTCATCATCACATGGAATCGAAAGAACTTCGACCGCTTAGCGATCTCTTTGCATTGGGGCCTCTATTTCAGCTCGCTGCAACACTACATATTTGCCTGCATTTTCTGTTGATGCTTGTTCGCTCACACGAGAAACCTTTTCTTGTTGACGAAGACAAGGACGATCGTTCCAGTCATATAAGCCATGACGGAGATTCATCGATTCAAGAGCCTAGTTTTGTTAGATTGAAGGAACCAGTTGAAGAAATACGTGGAAATGATTCAGGAATTACATCGTCCGCTGATCATCTTATTGATGAGAATTATGCTGATGACAAGGCTCCGCTGTTGAAAGACCCTCGCGCAAAACAAAATGGTGTCTAGAAAATTTTGAACACTATTAATTAATTGGATGTTTTGAAAATAGAAATTCGAGTCTATCGATCTATTTTTATTAAATGTGCTCTGTAGGTATGTTGCAGGGTCCCTCCAAAAATTTGCATAAAATAATTCTGGTTGATTTAGTTACACCCTAGTTTGTACATATTCGTTGTAACTTGTTCAATGGAAAACATGATTACGTTTTTCTGCCTGTTATTTTACCTTGATTTTACAAAGCTTTAGCGTAATAAATTTATGATGAAAATCAGTGTATGACGGTATTAATAACTTGCTTCGCCTTAAATAATGTAGGCAAACCCTATAAAATCCCACTGGCATAGCAAACTTTTGTCAACAATTGCTTAGGTCACCTTGGGAGTGACGTTATCATTTGTTCTCGTTGCGTAGAATTTTAGCTAATATGATTGACAGTTTAAGAGGATCATTTCCTATATCAGTATGTTTTCGATGATGTTTTCTTTCTGTTGATTTCTTTAGAGAGTCGATATCTATTTTATCATATCTACTTCTAGGTAGAGCATTGAAAATTAGATGTACAAAATTCTTATGAATTACTTTATTGGCTACTACTTCTGTTTTTGAAATATTACATTTTACTGATTTGCAAAGCAAATTTCATCGTCTGTGTAAAGGGTAAGACATTATTACACATAGATAAATCATACACATAAATAAAACATTTTGTCAACTATTCTGACCTGATTGTGGGAATTAAATTCTGTTTAGTGCTTAATATACGATCTCTCAAGATGAGGAGCAATGGGAAATAGTGCTGAAATCACAAAGTGAAGTTGGTGTTTCCATTTCAAATAATGCTGTTGCTTTGGTGACCATCTACTTGTTCAACTATCATATAATATTTTTTTCTTTCAAAAATACTAAACTATCTTCAGATTCTTCAACATTACTATTGACTGGAGAATTATGTTTATTATTAGTGATTATAATTATGATTATTTGTTGTACAATTTTGAAATGCTAATTAAACTATGAATTTAGCCAAACATCTCACGGATTCGTGCTCGTATGAGTTCTTTAACATTTCCTGTTTAATCTAACAATAAAAATAAACAGGAAATTCAACCTTGAAAATGGAAGAGCGGTTTGCAGCAACCACATTTTGAAAGGTGCAAGCATAAATGCACGAGCTGTTAAAAATGTATTTTTATTTCATGGGATGAAAGTTTGGGTCTTGGTTTAATAAGTAGCAAAATTTCTGGAAATATGATGAAAAATGTCCCCCAGGTCGATGTCTAATCTTATGATGTTTTCTATTTTGACTCGAAGCTTGCATCTCAGCTTGCATGACTGATTTCATGCACAATTTTATTCTTTCGTTTACTTTTAAAAACGCTATTTTGATTTAATTACAGTTGGAACATAAGCAATCATCTACGCATGAAAACGTAAACATATGTTCATGCAAGATGTGATGCAAAATTGTCTACTTTTTTCTCATAAACGTATACGTCAGAAATTTTTTTGTGGAAATTGTAAGTTTTAGATAATTATAAACATAATTAAGATTCTGATCATAAATAATTATAAGCGACTAGACATTTACGTTCAAACAACTCAAAAATTCTTCCACTCTCATCGAGTGTCTATTTTTTACTTAAAGTGATGATGTTCTCAACGTATTAAATTAGCTAATTCTACTTATTTGACGCGTGTATAGGATAGGCTGTGCTCGTGATGTACAAGGTTCATGTTTTCACGAATTAAGCACCTAAGCATTATTCCTATAGCGAACATGCACTCAAGTCGTGACACACATTATCTTCTGGAGGAGAGAATAACACCATTTTGCATTCTTTTGTATTTATTTTACATGGTTTCTCTTCCTGAGTTACGTAAGAAATGACAGCAAAAATTTTTGTTGTAATTGATAAGTTTTTTAATCGCCCATGGTTTTAAAAATCTTACTGCAATCTGTTTCATCAAGATAAAATTTCAAAATGTTATGCCTCATGTAATTCATTGTGTAATACGTCACAATGGTAGAGAATGCGGAACGACAAGCAGGAATTCGTTCATCACATTTCAAAGCGTTTTGATGAAACATATTTTCCATATATTTTATCAAACATGATGGAAACGAGATATATGAAATGTTTTCGATCTAAAGTCATCCACGCCTATAAAAGTTATAATAATCTACGCGTGTTTTATCACATAATTGCGCACATGTTCTTATGTCAGTTACGCAACTATTGGTGATTGCAAAATAGTGCTATTAATTCGACTTTTTAAGTGCTACTAAGGCCACTAATGCTAAATATTCCCGATTTGTAGCATTTCAGGAAAGGATGTATTGAATCATACAAATTTATATTGGTTGATGAAAATATTTATATTGAATAATACATTATAAATTAATTGTTACAATGTAGCTATATTTATAGATACAACATATTGATTGACACTATATATAACGGAAGACATACAAATTTATACTGCCATTCATGTTTTAGAACACTATTACGATAAAACTCGATTATTAGTATATGCAGATATTAACATTTTATAATATAAGGGCGCTCCCTTTCCCCCCAAACTTTCTTTCGAACCTTAGTCTTATTAAAGGCTATCACCAATAGAGAGAAGAAAGTTCTCTAGCTCTACACTAAAATTTTATGTTGTAGAACTTTCTAATGGTTACAATTTGATGCTACACCCTGCCATTTACAACTTGTAATACACTTACAAAAAATATACTCATGTTTTTCATCGTTTCACTAACAACAAGTAAGAAAAGTATCCTAAAAGCAGGCTCCTTTCCGTGCTCTCTTCAGGAAAGATCGCAAAGCGACGCGGAAATCTTGCTTATAGTACGAATAAAGTATTGGATTAGTTAGTGGTGGAAGAAACACCAAAAGCTGTAGCATGTGGTTTGTATAGTTGGGATGCGTTTCGAAATATCCGAGAATTTCAAATAAAGAAAAATTCCGAGATACCAAACAAGCCAACACATTATGAATGATCCTAGCATCAGTTCAAATGCCTTCAAAACTCTGCGATTCTGAAAGATGGCTATCTTTAAATGGCCATCGTCTTGCGCTTTGTATGTGTTTGCTGGATTCGGAGTCCATGGATGTAAGATGAGCATTTTCATTGGTTGTTTGATTGGAACTTTGACTTAATCTTGCGTTGAACGAACTGCTAATCTCTTGATAGATGCGCACTTTGGCGTAGAAGATTGCCACCAACGGTGCTAGAAACAACACAACGAAGGAGATAAGAAAGTACAAGAAGTCTTTCTTGTCGATGTCAGGATCTTTGGGGTAGATGAAAGGCAGCCAGAGTAATGGTACCAGTGCGACTATAGTGTACTTCGACCAAATACACCCACTGGCGAAGCAAAGGCTTTTCTTTTCCAACAAGTAAAACGGATAGTGAGAATGCTCAAAAAAGTATACAACACCATTTGAAACTTGAATATCGTTATAAAACCGATAAAAGATAGTTAAGTTGACCTCAAATATCTTAAATATCTCTGAGGCTGTTTTGGTTGCCTAGTTAGTTAATTGGGTGTGCACTTGAATGAAAGATTGTCATATTCTACTGTCCTACTCTTACTTAGCACTTTGTGCGGAGGAAGAGGAAGGGCAATAATATTTCTTCCAATGGCCTGGGGGCGAATAAAAAACGTATATATTGAATAGTGTTCATTGTAATATATATGAAATGAACACTATTATTTGTTCTAACATTAAGTTCACGAATATTTTTTTCGCATAATTATTATTTGGAATTGCTTTTAAATCATATTTTCTATATGACAATCGCGAAAATGGAGGACATTTATCGTTGCAACAGCCGGTGACCTGTTTGAATTATATCGTCGATATCTGCATCTTTTAAAAATATTCTACTGAAAGCATTCGGTCTTTTACATCTTTGCCGACACTTCAATGATCGTGGAGACTGTTCAAAAGTGTGTGAAAAGGGGGTAGGGATGCGGAAAATGGTTCAAGAACATATTCAATATGTATAACACCATACTTTACCCAAATAAATTGCTTGTCCATGGAAAAAACGAGGACTATGACCCCCTTCCCCTTTGCTTTGCGCCTCCTCGCTCCGCTGTCCATGTACTTTAATGTGTGTTAGCATACTCGTATATTTTAATGAATGAAAAGTACACATAAAGAATAAAATAGCATACAATAATATTTTTGCTAATTTTTATCAGCTTTATACATTTCTATAATTAATTGGTTTGATTTTAATGGTGTGGTCTTCTTCACATTGTCTTCTCTTTATAATAGTACCAAGGGTTGTGTCCAATTCTAATTATGATTATTGGTGCCCAACACAAATCTTTAAGTAGAGCCATTAAAAAAAACAGAAACTTCACATTGCTATCAATTTTTACAACACTCCACTATTTAGTTTATTTTTATGCCTCTACTTAAAGATTTATGTTGGGTACTAATATTCACTATCAAAGTTCTTCTTTTATATTGTTTCTTACATATGTAGCAAACAAGTTCGATAGGAATTAACAAACTAACTGTGCTTGCTTTTGGCTTCTTGCAATACTTACTTAAAATTTCCTAATATTCGCAGCTGCATATTTTTGCAATTTTGCATATTTTGCGTTTATTATGGTTTTACCTAAACCTTATAAATATATTTAGACGTTTTCCCCAGTCAAGGGTGACTGAAGGCCAGACATCTCTGAAACATGACTTAAGTGAAAAATCTGAGGTAAAACGTGTGAAGTGCGAGCAGGAAGAGACTTCATGTAGTAATAGTGAATTTGAAAATTCCATGCTTGGTGAATCTCCGGATTCCTCGCAAGGGCAATTGCTTCAAGGAAAAGAAAATATGAAAAGTTTTCAAACATCTCAGCTTGCAAGTAGTTCGGAAGAACCTGAGCAGAAAAAGTCAAATAAAACTATAGAGAAGGGTATTAAGACTACGGATAAGTCAAAACATTTAATGATAAAGTTTAAACTGGACCGATCTAAAAATTCCTGGGTGATTGCTCATCCCGAAATCGAAAAAAGTAAACCTTCTGGATCACGTGCTCCACTTCAGCCTCGATTGTCCCTACATGAACGCCAGAACGCCAGAAAATTTTTTCTCAAACGAAAATTTTGGTGATATGCCTTATATTACTAAGGTATTTTCACTCTCGAGCAATTTCTATGAAGAAAATGTATGTCAGAAAAACATGGCCAAGCACGGAATCTTCCCAGAATGCAACATTCAACAATCAGGTGAAAATTGTTGTAAACCATTTTACCCCGGTAGTATTGATAATTTCAACGAGAAATACGATGGAATTGGGAAAATTGCAAAACACAGTGAAGAAGCACAATCAAAAAGTGATTATCAAATTACTGAAACATGGAGTCATTCAAATCACACAAAACCTTTGATGTTTTATAATAAGCCAAGTAACAGTGTTTCTCAAATGAGTACGAATGTGTTAACATGGGATGGGAACTGGCTTAATAAACAATCAAAACTGCCTGGAATAGATCCAATACTCTACTGGTTCTTCGTTAAATACTATGAATAATCCAGTCACATTACAAGGACTTGCGTATTCTCCGTTATTACTTATTTCTCATAATGTTGCTAAGGAGGGATTGATGGTGAACGGTCAATTAATAAATCAAACTGGATTTTCACATCTTGAGGCGTTGAAGAGCGTTGAAACCGGCAATTTTACAAGCAATGCCTCAGTAAATCCATATTTGTGCAAACCTTTATTGAGTGCTTCAATACTTCATAATATCAAGTTTAAGAAGACCGTGAGCAATGATGAAGATGTAAAAACAAAGTCTTTGAATAGTTTGGACGAAAGTAGATGATAAGTTGAATCCCTTTGAAGAATATGCACTGGGAAAATTTTGTGAACACCTAGTGAGCATATGGAACAACCAAAACTTTTAAAAGCTTCCAAAGTATGTTGTAAAATATCTAACTTTGTCTCCTATACACATATTTATCAACATGCACGTATTTATTAAAGGGGTAGTCTGACCTTAACACAACTTTCGCTCATATGAAAGTATATATTGTTCTTACCTCTCTCGCGAAATCCTAGGTTTCCAATTCAAATTTAACTCGAGAAATACTGCCTTAAATGTGTGTATTTTTCGATCGCCATTGTGTACATGCAAGCGAAGCTGCAGTCCAGCAGCGGTTTTTCGTCGTGACGTCACTGCGCGGTGATCGTTGTCAACATAAGACAAAATATACTAGCAAAAGTAGAAATTACGCATAAGCATATTCATCGTTGCATTTTATTTTCTAAGTTTTTAAATTATTTTGCGCAATGGATACGGATTACTCAAACGATTCCTCTAATAATTATTCTGGAAGCAGTGTTTCAAACTACGAAGAAATGATTAACGATCAAAACATGATTCAACCATATGCTTATGAGCCGATTGAAACAGACTCTAGCGACGAGCCTATGGACGACTCCGACGAAGTTCAGCTGTTGTAACAATAAATGAAGACTCAGCACAATTTGAGGGAATAGATACTCCGGACTGTATTACAGATAATCCTGTTTTTTCGAAATCTTTGTTTAAATTATTGGGTATTACGACTGGCATGGAGTGAGTACAAACAACACTATGGTTCAAGAGCTGAAGAAGGACCTGAACACAAAAGACAAAGACATGTGGCTTACAGGCAACTGGTTCGATGGTGTTGGAATGTATTGGGCAAGGAAATTAGAGTACCACTACCATCTTTTGCTGTTAGCTACATTCGAGCACATTTCCAACCACCAGGTCTAGAAGAGGACTTTGTCTAAGAGGGTTTTAAATTCGCTGATGAATAATGGTAAGGTAAGCTATTATAGCCATATTTATAAGTATCGTTAATGATGAATTATTAATAAATAAAAATATAAATTGGATTTAGTAAATGAACAATAAATACAAATTATAATGGCCAAGCCAAACCAATTCTTTATTTGTGCTATGCAAGGATTTTGGTGTACATAATTAAAAAGTGCCTTTGCTAATGAATTTGCATAGCAAAACAAAAAAATTTTGCTACTTTACTATTAGAGATTCTCTTATTATTAATTATAAATATTGGTATATATAACTATTTTTGGGGACTGTTTACCCATTCTTGATTTGTGTGCTTGTAAAACACTTTCTTTGTTTGGCTTTTCTATAGATGCAATATTTTTGGAATGTTTGCTGGTAAAGAAATCTTGTTATGTACATTTTACATTAAAACAGCAGACATCTTCCATCATACCTTGCACAAAAGAATGTGACTTACTCACCATAATTGGCTTGGCTACCCAATTTTTCTACTTTTGGGAACATGATAAGCACAAGAGGAAGGAGGAAAATACTTTATTAAAAGTGCTTTTAGTATAAAGGTATGCTTGCAAGAACCAAGTTGGCAGTGATAGACCACAATGTAAACACTGGCAGAAAACAAGCACAAGTTCAATGTGGAAAGCAGCAAGGGGAAAAGGGATATAATATCGTGTTCCCAAAAGTGAGAAAATTGGTAGCCAAGCCAATTATGGTGAGTAAGTCATATTCTTTTGTGCAAGGTATGATGGAAGATGTCTGCTGTTTTAATGTAAAATGTACATAACAAGATTTCTTTACCAGCAAACATTCCAAGAAATATTGCATCTATAGAAAAGCCAAACAAAGAAAGTGTTTTACAAGCACACAAATCAAGAATGGGTAAACAGTCCCCAAAAAATAGTTATGTATATACCAATATTTATAATTAATAATAAGAGAATCTCTAATAGTAAAGTAGCAAAATTTTTTGTTTTGCTATGCAAATTCATTAGCAAAGGCACTTTTTAATTATGTACACCAAAATCCTTGCATAGCACAAATAAAGAATTGGTTTGGCTTGGCCATTATAATTTGTATTTATTGTTCATTTACTAAATCCAATTTATATTTTTATTTATTAATAATTCATCATTAACGATACTTATAAATATGGCTATAATAGCTTACCTTACCATTATTCATCAGCGAATTTAAAACCCTCATAGACAAAGTCCTCTTCTAGACCTGGTGGTTGGAAATGTGCTCGAATGTAGCTAACAGCAAAAGATGGTAGTGGTACTCTAATTTCCTTGCCCAATACATTCCAACACCATCGAACCAGTTGCCTGTAAGCCACATGTCTTTGTCTTTTGTGTTCAGGTCCTTCTTCAGCTCTTGAACCATAGTGTTGTTTGTACTCACTCCATGCCAGTCGTAATACCCAATAATTTAAACAAAGATTTCGAAAAACAGGATTATCTGTAATACAGTCCGGAGTATCTATTCCCTCAAATTGTGCTGAGTCTTCATTTATTGTTACAACAGCTGAACTTCGTCGGAGTCGTCCATAGGCTCGTCGCTAGAGTCTGTTTCAATCGGCTCATAAGCATATGGTTGAATCATGTTTTGATCGTTAATCATTTCTTCGTAGTTTGAAACACTGCTTCCAGAATAATTATTAGAGGAATCGTTTGAGTAATCCGTATCCATTGCGCAAAATAATTTAAAAACTTAGAAAATAAAATGCAACGATGAATATGCTTATGCGTAATTTCTACTTTTGCTAGTATATTTTGTCTTATGTTGACAACGATTACCGCGCAGTGACGTCACGACGAAAAACCGCTGTTGGACTGCGGCTTCGCTTGCATGTACACAATGGCGATCGAACAAGAGGCAAAAATACACACATTTAAGGCATTATTTCTCGAGTTAAATTTGAATTGGAAACCTAGGATTTCGTGAGAGAGGTAAGAACAATATACACTTTCATATGAGCGAAAGTTGTGTTAAGGTCAGACTACCCCTTTAAACCATTTTGTTTTGTACATGTGCAAACCAGGGTGCATTCCGTGTAAACACCACGCCGAAGGTTTTAAAATAACTTTTTTTTACGCCGAAATGTTGAAGTTTCACGCCAACCCAATGTAAGCCGAATTAAGAAATAATATAAACTCAAGTATTCATGTTTAGTTTAACCATTACAACAAATGTGAATAATCAATAGTAATAACTAATTTCGCCCTTTACGCCAAGACGATAATTTCTCCACGCCGGAGATCTCTGAATTTTTGTACAAAGAATGTTTTCATGATGTCACAGTGTCACTGTGACGTTATTAGCTAAACGAACAAAGTCTAATATCTCTGTTACGATGTTAACCACTATGTTATGCTGCAAAATAAGTGGAAAAGTACTGACCGGTTTCTATTCATATTATTGATCATATTAAGATTAACCACTTTCAACAAAGATGTACTAACGAAAACTTACTTAGTTACGATAATTTTAATGCCATGACTAAAGGAATGCCACAAAACACATCTGTTTCACTGACAGTAGTCGAGATCAAACACGTCAAGATGTCGTACAATTGTGAGCTTCGCAAGGGATTGAAAACGTCAGCTACGTCTCGTTGTCGATTACGCTCTGCGTATTTATTTCTATATACTTTATACGCATGTTTAGCTTGACAGAGAGAAGTTGACAGCAGGATTTACGTTGAATTTTTCATTGCCTAAAAATGTCTTTAATTTTATAACGATGATGATGGGAACGTTATTCAAATATTTTTTAAAAATAACAATAATGATAAATTTGTTCGATTAGTATGCCAGTAAAACATTTCAAACAGTCATGAAATCCTAGAACATCGAGAAAAAGGGATTTCAGGAAAGTAACTTGATGAATAATGGAATTATTCTTCTAAGAAAACGATCTCTTTTTTCTGTGGTTCAAGGAACGCAATTTTAGGAATCGGATAGTGACCGGTAGTCACGTGGTCTTAGTTGAATACTAGAGGTTATCAAGAGCACATAACCTCAAGACAATTGCCAGAAGTCTAGCGTTAATGCGGCTTTTGAAACTTCGATAATGGAGTTTTCACAAACGCGTCAAATTTTGGCCAACTTAAACAAGGACGTAAAGCACAAAAGTAGCGTTTTTTCTCCCAATGTGACGAATTGTATTGAGAAAACTTGCCGCGACATGCTGAAGCAACGAAATTGCTCATGTGGTATAAATACAACTGACATTCCAGTCTGCATTCATGGCTTGGATGTAACCATTCCCAGAGTCTTATGGATTATTTCTGCTGCGATATTGTTTATTTTCTTTTTGGAATTGTTCTTGATCATGTAAGTGTTCATGGTTATGTCGATTTATTAGCAGTATATTCAGAATACGTTATGACCATTGCAATATTTACTCGTGAAAAGTCGAGTTTCTAATATAAATTTATATTCGCTAGCAGGTCATTGTGTGTGACTATACGGTTTTTGTTGTATATTTTGTTATTTTAAGGTTATCTTTGAACTATAGAGCCGTCATTCCAGGCTGGCTGTCCAATGTTGCGCTTTATGAAAGCGAAACATTCAGATACGATTACTTAGTGAAATATATGTTTACATTGCGCGACTAACGAATCGAATCTGACGTATCCAATTATAGATTCCGGAAGCCAGTGCTGGACAATATTCTTGGAAGGGTAATGTTCACCATGGCCATTGTCAGCAGCGTTGTGACGGAGTTGTGCACCATGCAATATTTACGCGATAATAGCGATGACATCACTATATGGTATAACGTTGTGATGACCTTTGTCACAACGATCTTCATGCTGGTTGGCTTTTGCTACCTGTTTGAAAGAAGATTAAGCGCCAACATTGGCACGCATGACCGTGGCATGGGCTTGGTCGTCTTTGTTACATCGATGACTCTCTCATGCTTAGAGATCGTTATACTTGTGATGATATACAAGCGACCGACTGTTTCCGTTGCATTCCGAATGTACCTTATATTCATGGCCTTTCAAAAGATCGTCCAACTTGTTGTCTACCTTGCGCTGCGTCGTTGTGTTCCTCACGCTGACTTCAAAAATGGAGCTATTTATTATTTGAAGTTTCTGTCTTATTTAAATTTCACGTATTGGGTTTCCAGCGTTCCTTTCACTAACATTCGACTTTACGAAGAAGTTGCCAACTCTCTTAGTTTGCAATTGGTGAAAGAGGTGTTTAATGCTATGCTCATTGATTATAGATTACTCTGTGCTTTTCTGTTTTTTGAGCACGCCATATCAATTGAGGATAGCGATCTTGCAGAACCCCACCGTGAAGAAGACCTGCAATTTGATTTGCCTCGCCATCGATGCAAAGCTACCATTCTTGGCTTGGTGATTGGTTGCGTTTTGTTGGCCCTTGAGATCGTTAACGGTTTACAGTTTTTCAATAAAAACTATCCCTTGCCCGACTTTGTGAATTTATTTCCAATTCTTGTTGATTTCATTGTAGTATGCCTCGCCATAGCCTTAGCAGTAAATGTAAAAAGCAAGCTGATGCATAATCAGAGCGGAAATCTCGTTGTTGTTATGGTAACGTCTATGGGTGTTGCGAGTATCCTGTACTTGTTTACATTCTCCATGCTTTCCTTCGTCTCCTTCAAAGACAGTCCAAAATCTTACGTTACATGGTCTGCATTTGTATGTCTGTCAAGAGGCTTCAGTCTTTTCGTTCTTCTTCTTGTTTATTCTGGTGTTTCCATCAACAAGATGAAGATGAAGGAGAATTTACTTTTGAAGAATTACTTCATTGTTGCGGCGCTGTTCAGCGGTTTGATTGCACGGTTTGTCGGTTGTGTCCTGGATGAAAGTATTGGGAAGATGCACGAAATTGCTCATCATCACATGGAATCGAAAGAACTTCGACCGCTTAACGATCTCTTTGCATTGGGGCCTCTATTTCAGCTCGCTGCAACTCTACATATTTGCCTGCATTTTCTGTTGATGCTCGTTCGCTCACACGAGAAACCTTTTCTTGTTAACGAAGACGAGGACGATCGTTCCAGTCATATAAGCCAAGGCGGAGATTCGTCGATTCAAGGGCCTAGTTCTGTTATATTGAAGGAAACAGTAGAAGAAATACGTAAAAATGATTCAGGAATTACATCGTCCGCTGTTTATCTTAATGATGAGAATCATGCTGATGACAAGGCTTCGCTGTTGAAAGACCCTCGCGCAAAGCAAAATGGTGTCTAGAAAATTTTGAATACTATTAATTAATTGGATGTTTTTGAATGCGAATCTATCGATCTATTTATATTAAATGTACTCTATAGGTATTGTGCAGGGGTCCCTCCAAAAAAAACAGAACCCGCAAAAATAATTATGTATACGTTAAAATGAAATTTGCATGAAATAATTCTGGTTGATTTAGTTACACGCTAGTTTGTACATGCTCGTTGTAACTTGTTCAATGGAAAACATGATTACGTTTTTCTGCCTGTTATTTTACCTTGATTTTACAAAGCTTTAGCGTAATAAATTTATGATGAAAATCAGTGTATGACGGTATTATTAACTTGCTTCGCCTTAAATAATGTAGGCAAACCCTATAAAATCCCACAGGCATAGCAAACTTTTGTCAACAATTGCTTAGCTCACTTTGGGAGTGACGTTATCATTTGTTCTCGTTGCGTAGAATTTTAGCTAATGTGATTGACAGTTTAAGAGGATCATTTCCTATATCAGTTTGTTTTCGATGATGTTTTCTTTCTGTTGATTTCTTTAGAGAGTCGATATCTATTTTATCATATCTACTTCTAGGTAGAGCATTGAAAATTAGATATACAAAATTCTTATGAATTACTTTATTGGCTACTACTTCTGTTTTTGAAATATTACATTTTACTGATTTGCAAAGCAAATTTCATCGTCTGTGTAAAGGGTAAGACATTATTACACATAGATAAATCATACACATAAATAAAACATTTTGTCAATTATTCTGACCTGATTGTGGGAATTAAATTCTGTTTAGTGCTTTGATATACGATCTCTCAAGATGAGGAGAAATGGGAAATAGTGCTGAAATCACAAAGTGAAGTTGGTGTTTCCATTTCAAATAATGCTGTTGCTTTGGTGACCATCTACTTGTCAAAATAAGGTATTATTTGTTTATCATAATATAATATTTTTTTCTTTCAAAAATACTAAACTATCTTCAGATTCTTTAACATTACTATTGACTGGAAAATTATTTTTATTATTGCTGATTATAATTATGATTATTTGTTATACAATTTTGAAATGCTAATTAAACTATGAATTTAGCCAAACATCTCACGGATTCGTGCTCGTATGAGTTCTTTAACATCTTCTGTTTAATCTAACAATACAAATAAATAGGAAATTAAACCTTGAAAATGGAAGAGCGGTTCAAATTTCTGGAAATATGATGAAAAAAAGTCCCCCAGGTCGATGTCTAATCTTATGATGTTTTCTATTTTGACTCGAAGCTTGCATCTCAGCTTGCATGACGGATTTCATGCACAATTTTATTCTTTCGTTTACTTTTAAAAACGCTATTTTGATTTAATTACAGTTGGAACATAAGCAATCATCTACGCATGAAAACGTAAACATATGGCCATGCAAGATGTGAGTTAGTTGAACTTGAAAGCTACAAATAAAAACACGAAATCTATGAGGTGTTTAGCCAAATTTATACCATTTCAAAATTGTCTACTTTTTTCTCATAAACGTATACGTCAGAAATTTTTTTGTGGAAATTGTAAATTTTAGATAATTATAAACATAATTACGATTCTGATCATAAATAATTATAAGCGACTAGACATTTACGTTCAAACAACTCAAAAATTCTTCCACTCTCATCGAGTGTCTATTTTTTACTTAAAGTGATGATGTTCTCAACGTATTAAATTAGCTAATTCTACTTATTTGACGCGTGTATAGGATAGGCTGTGCTCGTGATATACAAGGTTCATGTTTTCACGAATTAAGCACCTAAGCATTATTCCTATAGCGAACATTCACTCAAGTCGTGACACACATTATCTTCTGGAGGGGAGAATAACACCATTTATTTTGTATTCTTTTGTATTTATTTTACATGGTCTCTCTTCCTGAGTTACGTAAGAAATGACAGTAAAAAATTTTTGTTGTAGCTGATGGGGTTTTTAATCGCCCATGATTTTAAAAATCTTACTGCAATCTGTTTCATCAAGATAAAATTTCAAAATGTTATGCCTCATGTAATTCATTGTGTAATTACGTCACAATAGTAGAGAATGCGGAACGACAAGCAGGAATTCGTTCATCACATTTCAAAGCGTTTGATGAAACATATTTTCCATATATTTTATCAAAGATGATGAAATGTTTTCGATCTAAAGTCATCCACGCCTGTAAAAGTTAAAATAATCTAGGCGTGTTTTATCACATAACTGCGCACATGTTCTTATGTCAGTTACGCAACTATTGGTGATTGCAAATAGTGCTATTAATTCGACTTTTTATGTCCTACTAAGGCCACTAATGCCACTAATGCTAAATATTCCCGATTTGTGGCATTTAAGGAAAGGATGTATTGATTCATACAAATTTATATTGGTTGATGCAAGTATTTATATTGAATAATACATTATAAATTAATTGTTACAATGTAGCTATATTTATCGATACAACATATTGATTGACACTCTATATAACGGAAGACATACAAATTTATACTGCCATTCATGTTTTAGAACACTATTACGATAAAACTCGATTATTAGTATATGCAGATATTTACATTTTATAATATGAGGGCGCTCCCTTCCCCCTAAACTTTCTTTCGAACCTTAGTCTTATTAAAGGCTATCGCCAATAGAGAGAAGAAAGTTCTAGCTCTACACTAAAATTTTATGTTGTAGAACTTTCTAATGGTTACAATTTGACGCTACACCCTGCCATTTACAACTTGTAATACACTTACAAAAAATGTACTCGTGTTTTTCATCGTTTCACTAACAACAAGTAAGAAAAGTATCCTAAGAGCAGGCTCCTTTCCGTGCTCTCTTCAGGAAAGATCGCAAAGCGACGCGGAAATCTTGCTTATAGTACGAATAAAGTATTGGATTGGTTAATGGTGGAAGAAAAACCAAAAGCTGTAGCATGTGGTTTGTATCGTTGGAGATGCGTTTCGAAATATCCGGGAATTTCAAATGAAGAAAAATTCCGAGATACCAAACAAGCCAACACATTATGAATGATCCTAGCATCAGTGCAAATGCCTTCAAAACTCTGCGATTCTGAAAGATGGCCATCTTCACATGACCATCGTCTTGCGCTTTGTATGTGTTGCTTTTTTTGCTGGATTCGGAGTCTATGGATGTAAGATGAGCATTTTCGTTGGTTGTTTGATTGGAACTTTGACTTAATCTTGCGTTGAACGAACTGCTAATCTCTTGATACATGCGCACTTGGGCGTAGAAGATCGCCACCAACGGTGCTAGAAACAACACAACAAAGGCGATAAGAAAGTATAAGAAGTCTTTCTTGTCGATGTCAGGATCTTTGGGTGGGATGAAAGGCAGCCAAAGTAATGGTACCAGTGCGACTATAGTGGACGTCGACCAAATACACCCACTGGCGAAGCGAAGGCTTTTCTTTTCCAACAAGTAAAACGGATGTATTATGCTCATGTATTTCTCGTACATAATTCCCAATATGTGTAGAATCGTAGAGAAAGCCAACAGACGAAAAAGTACCCCAGATGCAGTACAAACATTCAAATCGCTCACTGCATAGCAGTTCATTGTCACTGGTATGACAACAATTCCTGCTAAAAGATCGGAAAATGCAAGACTTGCGAGAAAGATATTCCTTGTCGATTGCATTCTTGGGTTATTTTGGTACAACAATAACACGATGCCATTGTTCACCGTTATCCCTATTGACAGCAGGATGAACGCTGTTTTATAAATTATAGCGTGTTCCAGCGATACACTGGCTGTAAAATTGAAGTTACTTGCGTTACCATTTGATTCGGGCATTTTTCTTGTCTTGTTGACACCGTTTGATTTATTTCATCAATTATACCAGAGACGTTTACGATCCGTTCATTATCTCAATGATGAATTCAATTTGTTCATCGTGATTACTTTCTCCTGCGTAAATATGCAAAGAGCCGACTTCAAACATAGCAAGTTATGAAATTCATGGCGTGGGCAGCTGTTCTAAATGAGACGCTGCAAATGATTTAATATCATTTGATATACACGCTATGTTTATATCTGTCAGCAGTTACAGATATGCTTACGAAATTAAGACGTATCTATATGCGAATGTCTACTACCACGTCTTCGTATTTCTCAATAAAAAGCACTAGCGAATATTGAATGATAATTAATGACTAAAGAAATGTCTGGGTTTTTTTTTAAAAAAATTGTTTTTATTAGTAGAGCAATATTTATATTTTTAGTGTACACAAAGTTGGTATTTTACTTAGGAGTTCGCATTTATTGTCCTTTTTATATATACCCATTTGTTTTAAGCAAGTACTGTTCTTAGTTGTTTACGATCATATTTTTCATGCATACTCAGAAATACAGCTGTGCTTGCAAAGCGCTAGAACGTTACCTATAATTACGTTTCATCGTAACTGATTATTGCATAATTATGATTATTCAAACAATTTTTAATACACTCACGCGATGTTTTTTTAAATCATAATTACTTTCTGGCTCGTGCAAGCATTGTTTGATTTGTTGCATTTCAAAACAAGAAAAACTTTTCTCCTTTTGAGAAGGATTAAAGATGTTATCGCTTTCTTTTTATGTTTATATAAAAAAAGCCGGATAGCAATTGTCAAGTTTGAGTCTTGAATGTAATGATAACAAAATTATTTGATTTGCGATCTGCTTGTACGGTCCTTAAATGATTGCAAGCGCCTTTTAGGTTGAATAACTATGGATGTAGTGATTATCCTTTTCTTTCAAAAGCTTGACCATTTTTTAAAACTCAATTTATATTATTTTAAGCTTATCATTCATTATCAGTAAGGCAGACAGTTCATTCTAAATATGTATGAAAATGACTTTGCGATAACTAGAGAAATGAAAAAATCAATGTTTACTCTAGTTGTGATTGCATTTGCTGGAGGACCGATACCACCATGTATTGTTTCGTTGTTATTTTTCGTTCAAAACATTTTTTTAAAGTTTTTGACGCCACAATAGAAAACAATCTATCAATTGTATTAAATTTTACTTTTCAAATGCCATAATTTCACTCTCATGAAGAAAAATATAATCACCTTTTTGATAAACTTGTCTCTTGACTTCATGCAGCCTCCCGTAAGTTGTGTTTCGATTTTAGTCACCAGTCTTCTTGAATCAAAAATAAAAACGCAAAACATAGTGAAGAAAATATTCTCAAGTGTCTATTAAGATTTATGCTATACTAATAACTAAACATAAATGTTATATTTTATGATATATGAATAACATGTTTAAGTGCAGTTCAATGTGCCTCTCTATAGGACTATAATAGAAAATAATGCCAGATTTATACGCTTTCGACTTTTGATGTTTAACTAATTCACTTTTTTAGTGGTGTTTGATAATTAATAGCGTTTTAAAAGCGCAGGATATGCCTTTATCCATCAAAGAAATTGACGGAAACATATTTTTAGTGAAATTCACTAATTCGATAGGTCTGTTTTTCATCACTATTTAATCTAAAACAAACTTTACAGGAAGATAGCATCGTCTTACATACAGCTCTCGGCCTATGACAGAGGTCAACTTCTAACATCCTATAAAATACGGATTGCGGACAAAAAGAATAAAATGAGTATTGCCTGTTTCAAACGTCCTTTTCATTCGTTTAAAGGGGGTAGGTATAAAATGCGGAACGGAATGGCGCAAAAAGGAATAAAATGCAGAAAATGAGATACGTAAAACGTGAAAATGGAAAAAAAGAAGCAAAACATCTAAAATTAAAATTGAAATTGAAATATATTCACTTCATCCAATAATTCGTCATTTATATTTTCACCAACCTTCGCATATGGAATATGAAATCGCAAATAAGTTCGTCAGCGAAGACGTACTCATAGAATGCTTCTATATCGCCCAGACAAATTCTGTCCCTGCCAAGGAAATTACGATAAACATTGTTCACGACGCATCTCTAATAATATTATTTTCCTATCGAGAGTGAAGTGTTGATCGATATTATACACCACTTATCACCCTGATAAAGCTGCTTTATTCTCTTAGTTGACCTATTTACGTTTCTATTGTTGCGTTTTACAGGCCATTTGGAGTAAATGTACCAACTGTTCGTTCTGCTTATACCAGTGGCATAACTCATTAAGGTTGATGCAGACGTTAATTGATGTTTAAACAACAAACATTGCAAGCACATTTTTATATTTGTGTTATGTTTTTGGTTTTGTTTTGAAATGATTGAGTGTTATTTGCTGGTGATAACTCAATGAAGAATATTATTGATTAGAAAAATAGTTGCACTTCATTCAATGTCATTAAAAGGAAAAGAGTAAAAATATGCAATATAAATAATGATCACAAATGAGCTTTGCGCAGGAAATGATTATATGTTTGCAGTGTTACCATTTTAATAACATAAGTTGGAAATAATTTATTGTAGTTAGATTTTGTCAGTGTGTGTTTGTTGAAACATACATTCTCCAGAGTGCTATCGAACCAGCAACTTGAGAGAAGTTAGTCTTGTTTATCGGATGTTAAGTTCTGTATAATTGCTCTTCACTGGAAAATTATATTTTTTAGAGATGCTCACCATATACAGATAATACTATCATAGTAAAAAATTGTTTATAATATTTGTTTAATGGAGATAAAATCGCAAGAAAATAAAATTTTTGTTGCAATTACGTTGTTCAAACCTTTCAGGATGTACTTCGGTACAATTCGCGGTTTTAAAAACGTTTTCATTTCGCTATTCTTTCGCTTATTCAGACGGCGTTCTTGATGGAAAAACCGGACAAATGTTACTTTGACGGATGCAAACTGTATATTGCTAAGCGATGATCAAATGTCAATGTTAAGATACGCTTTCAAATTCTTCCTGTCATTAGTAGAAATTACTAACTCAAGTGTAAGTAGTTGAAGGACTATTTTTGAGAGATACTTATGTGTAATCATGACAATATTTTTTATGGCTCCTTGTAGTTTAGTTTCCGTTATTGTAAATAAACCATATTTCATAAAGGAACAAATACATCCTTATACGCAAAACACTGTATAAATAGAAGTGTAGCGCAGCCATTGTAAAATAGACGTTGAACATTAAATGTGATCGTATTCGTATTGATATCTCTACTTCTTGGTGTACGTCAAATTATACGAAAGGAAGTAGATGAGCTACATCACAAAACCTAGCATGTGCAACAGAAAAATTCCTGTGAAACGCGCCATGCAGTCTGCACTGATTAACAAAGGTGTTAAATCAACGAACATAAATCATTTCCTTTTTTGTTTGTGAAGTGAAAGTCTGCAATTTTTTACCATTTTACTTGTTGATTTGTTATGTTTGATCTGAATTTATAAGTGATTGTATTTGTTAGATGAGTAGCATGAAATATTCTGTAGTTGTTGAGAACAAGGTTTTCAAAATGAAAGGAGTTTTATAAGTCAAGGGAAGATTGTTGAGTGGCGTGAACTTCTTCTTGTAGAGTGGCTAGGAAATGGGCATTTTCACACTCAGAAAAAATTTGCCCGACCACACTTAAAGAAAGCGCAAATTTGCATGCTCTTTTCAATTAACATTGACACTCGCTCGACCAAGTCGAGACTGTCTCTCTTCTTGCACTTTTAATTAGAAATATAAACAAAGTTTTTCTGATCCACTACCCACAATTTTTTCTCATGACCCGCGAGCATCAGACAGAGTCTATATAATCCGGACAGTTTGATACACAAATCATAAACTTCTCTCAATTAGCTATTAGAAAAGATGGAAGAATCTTGATTAGTAAAATTGTAATACGCTAAGATATAAACGATATTATTGCCTGGAAAAGGTATGTTCGATTGTCCGCAATCCGCATTTCATTCTTTTTGTCCGTCCGTCCGCATGTCCGTCGGTGCGTCCGCATTTTATCCCAACCCTCTGTGATCTTCCCTCTCTTCCTGAAGGAACTTGAGCCACCAACCCCGCTGATAGGTTTTCGCCTTTTATGGACTTCCTTATCAAATTTTCTTAAAATTCGACTTATCTCTCATCGTTGTTGACACGAAGAATAAGAAATGTTTGCGTGTGCTGCGGCAGGCTAACACACAAAAGTTGTAAAAGTTTCACTGCTGTGAATGCAATTGCCTGCGTGCATGCTGTGAAAGGTGGGCAAATAACAGTTGCGATATTTATAGCAGAAAATCGACGAGGAAGATATTATTGAAAACCGTGTTATTAAAACAAACACGTCGTGCATAATTTTGATACGTTTGACTGTTAACTTTAAATTATTCATCGGTTTATCCTCTATTTTATCAAGCGCTCTTTTTTTATAACAAAGTGGGAGGAATTTTAGAATCCAGTGCAATGTATTTGAGTAGTTTTTCTGTAAGAAAATGCTGTATTAAAATTGTGTATGATTTCTGTTTTGTTTAGTTAAGTCAAGACTTGCGATTACATATATTTGGTGAAATGTAGTCTGGAATAAAACAGCGGACATGTTTTAAAGACAAGTTCACCCGTCTGTTTGAAATGAAACGCAAGCAGAAATTACCAAGGTTTGTGTATTTTCAAAGCATGTAATGTTAACTTCCTATTTTAACGCACGCGTTGTTTGTCGCACTTCGCGAAGGCGAGAATGCTCAAAAAAATATACAACACCATCTGAAACTTGAATATCGTTATAAAACCGATGAAAGATAGTTTAGTTGACCCGAAATATTTTAAATATCTCCGAGGCTGCTTTGGTTGCCTAGTAAGTTAATTGGCTGTGCACTTGAATGAAAGATTGTCATATTCTACTGTCCTACTCTTACTTGGGCACTTTGTGCGGAGAAAGAGGAAGGGCAACAATATTTCTTCCAATGGCCTGGGGGCGAATAAAAACGTATATTTTGAAAAGTGTTCATTGTAATATATATAAAATGAACACTATTATTTGTTCTAACATTAAGTTCACGGATATTTTTTTGCATAATTATTTTTTGGAATTACTTTTAAATCATATTTTCTATATGACAATCGTGAAAATGGAGGACATTTATCGTTGCAACAGCCGGTGACCTGTTTGAATTATATCGTCGATATCTGCATCTTTAAAAAATATTCTACTGAAAGCATTCGGTCTTTTACATCTTTGCCGACACTTCAATGACCGTGAAGACTGTTCAAAAGTGCGTGAAAAGGGGGTAGGGATGGGGAAAATAGTAGAAGAGCATACTCAATATGTATAACACCAAACTTTATCCAAATAAATTACTTGTCCATGGAAAAAGTGGGGACTATGACCCCCTTCCCCTTTGCGCCTCCTTGCTCCACTGTCCATGTTCTTTAATGTGTGTTAGCATACTCGTATATTTTAATGAATGAAAAGTACACATAAAGAATAAAATAACATACAATAATATTTTTGCTAATTTTTATCAGCTTTATACACTTCTATAATTAATTGGTTTGATTTTAATGGTGTGGTCTTCTTCACATTGTCTTCTCTTTATAATAGTACCAAGGGTTGTGTCCAATTCTGATTATGAATATTGGTGCCCAACACAAATCTTTAAGTAGAGCCATTAAAAAAACAGAAACTTCACATTGCTATCAATTTTTACAACACTCCACTATTTAGTTTATTTTCATGCCTCTACTTAAAGATTTATGTTCGGTACTAATATTCACAATCAAAGTTCTTCTTTTATATTGTTACTTACATATCGAGCAAACAAGTTCGATAGGAATTAACAAACTAACTGTGTTTGCTTTTGGCTTCTTGCAATACTTACTTAAAATTTCCTAATATTCGCAGCTGCATATTTTTGCAATTTTGCATATTTTTGCGTTTATTATGGTTTTACCTAAACCTTATAAATATATTTAGACGTTTTCCCCAGTCAAGGGTGACTGAAGGCCAGACATCTCTGAAACATGACTTAAGTGAAAAATCTGAGGTAAAACGTGTGAAGCGCGAACAGGAAAAGACTTCATGTTGTAATAGTGAACTTGAAAATTCCATGCTTGGTGAATCTCCGGATTCCTCGCAAGGGCAATTGCTTCAAGGAAAAGAAAATATGAGAAATTGTCAAACATCTCAGCCTGCAAGTAGTTCGGAAGAACCTGAGCAGAAAAAGTCAAATAAAACTATAGAGAAGGGAGTTAAGACTATGGATAAGCCAAAACATTTAATGATAAAGTTTAAACTGGACCGATCTAAAAATTCCTGGGTGATTGCTCATCCCGAAATCGAAAAAGGTAAATCTTCTGTATCAAGTGCTCCACTTCAGCCTCGATTGTCCTTACATGAACGCCAGACGTCGAGAAATCACGAAGATATCCGAGCTTTTGAAAGGCATGTGCCGTACGCTGGTGAAAATTTTTTCTCAAACGAAAATTTTGGTGATATGCCTTATATTACTAAGGTATTTTCACTCTCGAGCAATTTCTATGAAGAAAATGTAGGTCAGAAAAACATGGTAAAGCACGGATTCTTTCCAGAATGCAACATTCAACAATCAGGTGAAAATTGTTGTAAACCATTTTACCCCGGTAGTATTGATGATTTCAACGAGAAATACGATGGAATTGGAAAAATCGCAAAACACAGTGAAGAAGCACAATCACAAAGTGATTATCAAATTACTGAAACATGGAGTCATTCAAATCACACAAAACCTTTGATGTTTTATAATAAGCCAAATAACAGTGTTTCTCAAATGAGTACGAATGTGTTAACATGGGATGGGAACTGGCTTAATAAACAATCAAAACTGACTGGAATAGATCAACACTCTACTGGTTCTTCGTTAAATACCATGAATAATCCAGTCACTTTACAAGGACTTGCGTATTCTCCGTTATTACTTATTTCTCATAAGGTTGCTAAGGAGGGATTGATGGTGAACGGTCAATTAATAAATCAAACTGGATTTTCACATCTTGAGGCGTTAAAGAGCGTTGAAACCGGCAATTTTACAAGCAACGCCTCAGTAAGTCCATATTTATGTAAACCTTTATTGAGTGCTTCAATACTCCATAATATGAAGTTTAAGAAGACCGTGAGCAATGATGATGATGTAAAACAAAGTCTTTGAGTAGTTTGGACGAAAGTCGATCTGATGTTATTTTAGATGATTTTCTACCAGAGTTCTTCAAATCACAAAGCAAGTACAATGGACTCGTTTGCAATTCTTCATTGTCCACTGAAGCTAGAGTGAGTAGTTTGGATAAGAGTGTCTCTATCTCACGTCGTCCCAATAGAATTTACAATACTAGCTCCGCCATGTCAGAAAATTCGGGTTTTGTTCACGATGGAGGTTATGGCTCCAACGGAATTTTTTCAAACTGCAGCAGTTGCTTGATGGTAAATGATTCCTCGCAATCAGAACTTGGTGAAAAATGCTCCACAACGATTACCAAGAAACGTTTGGTTGTTTCCGACGACCAATTGTCCAAGAAACGTTTGGTTGTTTCCGACGACCAATTGTCCAAGAAACGTTTGGTTGTTTCCGACGACCAATTGTTGTTTTCTGAGAATAACTTGATATGTTCCGAAGATGATCCTGTATTTTACGATGATGAATTGAATCCCTTTGAAGAATCCTGCACAAATCCCAAAGATCACTCAGTTTGTTCCAACAATCAGTTGATGTCTCCCACTGTGCAGATAAATCGTCCAGAAGGAGAATTGTTTTGTCCATCGTCAGTCCATAACAGTGAATTTTCCAAGATGTCGCCACATGAAGATAATCTAAATTTTCAAAAATTTTCGTACCGTGATGCTAATGTTCAGCGGTTAAAGCAAAAACTGGCGCACTACGAGGCAACTATTGTGAAACTACGAGCAAACCATCGAATTGTTCCTCTCGTTTGACACACAAAGGAAGTATATCTTATCTCTTTGATCATCCAGTTTAACTTACTTGGTACGTGGTACGTGTTGAAGCGTCTACGCTGACATTTAAAACCGTATGCTCATTTTAAGGCTCCTTTCAATTAGTTTATCGAATTGAATGGTTTGATGTTTTTGTCAATGACGTTATGTGGTAGCTAATTAGCTGGGATTGTGCGCAATTTGACTGCCCCAACGTTTTCCTATTGACTCGCTTTCCGGATTATTTTCTGAGTGGAATGAAATCATGAAAGTTTATTTTGTCACTGACGTTTTTTGAAAAGTTTTTTTGTATTGTTTAGAAGCTAGAGTATCACCTATTTTGTTATCGACACTTGAACCAATTTGAGGTTCAAAAAAAACGTTTTTTATACATATTTTTAATATTATCGATAATTACGCAACATTTTAATGAGTCGTATATTTAAAACTGACTCTTATAATTGTATACATTTCACATTTAAGGAAGAAGAGGTTTTATATATTTTTTTATACACATTAAATGCTTATTAAATCCATGCACCATTAAACATCCGTCTGCAATATTCATTATCTGTGATTGTATCCCCTAAGACGTCTATTGATTTTCTTGACGATTATACGAACACCAGTGAGTTAATATTTAATAAAATTCAAAACGTGTCACCTGTTCCAATGTTAAATCTGTTATTATTAGAGAATGGATAGCTTTCCGCGAAACAAGCATTTGCTCTGTTATCTCTTTATTTTAAGTTCTTCTTACCTGCGATACTACTCTTCTCAGCATAGTTTAAAACATTCTCTGATTAATATATTCCCACCTCTAAGAGTGGAATGCAAAGGTGACAATAATTGAGAACATTGTTAGCTACATTTTGAAATCTTAAATTATTTAATGTATTTCTAAGGATTTTTGTCGGAGTCAGATTAGGAAAAGGTGTGTTGAAAATTGTTTTGAAAGCACATGCTTTTAATTTAAAGGACAGTATCAACAAACGACTAACATTCATGTTGAATATGTATTGTAGATCTTTGATATGTTGAATTTTGGTATTTTGGTAAAAGTAATTACACTCGACTAACTTTAAAATGTCTGTAAAACGATCTTCGTTTTCTATGACCTTGAAAGTGAAAGGTTTTCAAATGGTAATTGGGACAGCTGAATGTTGTCCACATCTTTCACAATATCGCCTTAAAGAGAGCGATTGCTACGGTAAATGGACTAAAACCAAATAAAAACAACGAAACCCAAGATGAAACCGAGAAAAAAATCAAGAGTTCTGAAAAGGACTGTTTTTAGCATAAGAGTTTGATTTTTTCTTTGTTTTCTCTGGTTAGTTTTTTCTCCGTTTTATCTTGGGTTTCGTGGTTTTTATTTAATTTCAATCCATTCACCATGGCAATTGCTCTCTTTAAGGCGATATTCAAATATGTCACCACGACAAAGACTCTATTTTATCTTTCACAATACTCTATCTTGTAATATCGGTAATGGTAGAGCTATGATAATTATCCCAAATAGACAGCTAAATGCACCCATGATTTTGCCAACAACCGTTACAGGTACCGTGTCACCATACCTATTGAAAGTAAATACGCATTTTTGCAATTTTGTATCAAATACATAAAGGGGAGGGTAGCATGTTCACGCTTGTATCAGTTAATTTTTTCTTATAGAGTTTTACATGGAAATGCATGTTTGATTTGTTAGATATTATTTGGCAATTGTTATCAATCAATAAATGCTTAAAATGAATAGCAGAAACTTTGCTAAGAGGAGACCTTGGGGGGGCACCGTTTAATAAAAAAGTTCGCTTTGCCTTTGCAAGTGTCCCTCCACCCAGTTGAATACATCAAAAAGACCGTTTTTAGAAAGCTCATTTTAGATTTCTAGCCTCGAAAAATCTGTTTGCGTCATTGGTCAATGGTGGAGCAGTTTGATATCTTATGATAAACTGCTTCATCCTTCAAATATTAATGTGATATTAGTAATATTATGGTGATCTATACCTATTTCCACTTACCCTAATGTCATCATAGTTACCACGGTGTACCACATGGTATCTGGTATACTTTTGTATGTTGGTTTTCCATGTAGCGTCTCAATAGTGTACAGACAACAGCCAAAGAAGATATTTGCCAACAAGAATGCGAAATACAAAAATCCCAAGTCAGTGAGCGCTTTCTTTAAACGCCTACCAAACTTTCTCATGAATGTCGAGTGTCTCGCGAGTTTAAAGATGCGAATCACGCGCAACACACGAAGCATTTCCCAAAAGTGATTGTTGCTCAACCCATCGATGGTGAATCTACGTATGATGAGATCGATGTAAAATGGTGATATGGCAGCAAGGTCGATGAGATTGAATTTATTTTTAAAAAATTCAACGTAGCGTGGTGTGGAAAATAATCTCAGTGCGCATTCAATTGTGAAGACCCACATAAATATCATATCTAATGTTTCAAATACGTTGCTGTAACACTGTTCCCATGTTTCTGTATTGCCATGGCAACGTAGGGTTGCTGCGACTGCGCAAATGATGCTCAGGAATATCATAAGACCAACAAAGTATTGGAATAATCTTTCGAAGAAGGTGTTATTTTTTCCTTCTAAGAAGCAAGCAATCTTTTTGCGAATTCTACGCACTGTATTATGTCTTGTTTTCCCCCATTCTATCTTCTCTACTTTCCTTTGTTTAGTGTTTTTAGACATTTCATAAGACATCTCATAGCAATCGCCCCAGCAACATTTGTGAAGAGAATGAGCGGAAATTTTGTAGAATTTCAACTCATCATAGAACAAGTCGCGGCAGTCCATGTGAGAAACATGTAGTTTACCCGCTTGGTAGTAATTAAGTATGTGACGAAACAGCTCAGGATCTCTATCAAAAAAATATTCGTTGTTCTTCTTGTCGTAGAAAGTTGTCAGTATTTTTTGATCGCCAAGCAAGGTGTTCGGATGTTTTTGTAATGTACTTCGTCGCGTCTGAAATCGTCGTCCGCTCACGTTGATTATTACTTTTTCGCTTTTCTTCATTCTCATGATGGCTTTTTCATCTGTGGTGTGCAAACAAGTCATCGAAATGATGACGAGTGCTTTTCAAACCTAAAATCCAAATAAAATATTTTGTCATTGTATTTTGTGAACGAATGCCTGGTTTGAAAAAGAAATGTGTAACTGTCTCTACAACTCAGAAAAGGAAAAGTCTTCGAATAAATTTTTTCGACCAGTAGCGTATCCAGCGTTCGCCAGAATAAATAACAGCTCCTTAATTTTAAATTCAAAGTACTTTCAGAAAAACGCTATTGGTTTTGAATTTCTAAAGCCACTGTTTTCGACAGTTGGTCAAGTTTGCTGCAAATGAATAGCAAGAATCCTGCGAACTGCATAAGTATACAATCAAGCAAACTTCATTTGTACAAGCCTTGTTGTGCTTAAGCATTGGACGAAATAAAGCGCCCAGTGAAAATTATCGATGCGAGAGATTGATTTGAGTTTGATATTTGCTATTGTTTCATAATTCTTTGAAATACTATTCACAGTATCGACTCATGAATGAGTAATATATTAACCATAGAATTGATCAAGTCAATGATTGATCGTCCATTTTAATCTTCTCTGTTTGTCTTGTGGACGGAAGATTTGTACGTCAATTATTGAACATATAATAGATTTTTATTCACTATATTGCTCTTTGAAATAAATGTGTCTAAGCATCGATGATAAAAGGGGGAAATTTTCATTTACGAATAAAAGAACTAAGCACAATATCTTGAACTTCGATAGCAATGCCAACTAATACAAAATGTTTTTGCTTGGAAAATCCGTACGTCCTATACATTGTGCATGTGCATGCGTATTACTCCCTATGTAGTCCTTGAACTCCGGAAAGTACTGCATATAGTTTGTTTCACGCAAGGTACTGCATGTAGTTTGTTTCACGCAACGTACTGCATATAGTTTGTTTCACCCAACGTACTGCGTATAGTTTGTTTCACGCAACGTACTGCGTATAGTTTGTTTCACGCAACGTACTGCATATAGTTTGTTTCACGCAACGTACTGTATATAGTTTGTTTCACGCAACGTACTGCATATATTTCACTATTAACAAGCAGGTGATATCAAAGAGCATCTGCGTAGTTTGAAACGATGAATTGTTCATTTTATTGAACGAAATATTGTTTTCCTTTGACAAGAATTCTTTCCTTCTCATTTCTGGTAGCAAACTTTCATTTCAATAAAACAGCCATCGGTTTAGTATGTTGAATAGTGGTGAAAGGTAGATCCAAATCATACACAATGTATCTTCGATATACCTGTTCAATATGCCTGTTGTGCTCATCTGCAACATCTTTTCTATTTATGCGATCTAAACTTTATGTTTCAATATAGATATACAAACCTTTGTTTTAATAGATTAGAGAAATAGCCACTGTTATCGTTTTGTCATAGTATATACTTGATATGAAAACCGAAGGTTTATGATAGTTTTACCTCCATACATATGTAATACAAATTAGCAACGTTCCATATGTTGTTAGTATTGTGGGACTAAGTTCTTTTAGTTTCTCCGGATAATCTATGACGCGTTTCCATTTTAGCATCATGTACGTCAGTGTCATTGAATGCTGTATGATTTTTAATTACCTACCTTTTCTAAAATGAACTCTTTACATTGATTAATACTGTTTGGATTATCATTGCAAAGTATGTCCTTTCTCGGTGCTTTTATTTTCATTGCCTTCGTGCTTACAAGTCTCTGTTAAATTTTCCTTTGAGTAAGGAAAGTTATTGTTTTCTTTAAAGACATTCCAAACAAACTTCCTACTGTTAATGCTCCGTAGTTATAACGTAAGGGCCATGAGCAATTAATATTATATGATAATATTGCTCTAATTTTCCACTTGTAATCTACTCTGCAGGTGTTGGCGTTATACGTCGGGCATATGTTAGTGTCCTATCCTATATATGATGAAGTCAAACAAGGAATGTCGATATTTTGATTCGTATACAGCATCTGCTTGCTGGAATATGCCCTATGGGCCTGTGAAAGTTTAGCTCACTTGTTTGTTAAATGGATTTTTCTATTCACTTTTTATATTTAAATGCAACCTGTCTTCCTTATATATGAATAGAAATATCGTATTATAATTTTGAAGAAATTTTTAAAAAACTGTATGTTTCTGTTACTGTTGGATGAAATTCATTTTTCAGTAAGTCGTAGAAAATGAATTCATTCATTGCGAAGTAAATAATCAAAACTGGCGAACCGATTTATAATTTAGCGCTTTTCTCCATTTCCTGTGTTTTTTTTGTCGAATGAAATGAGCATATGTTTTTACAATTATTTCTGAGTTTCACTACCTGCTTGTAAATTCTCTTTCAAATTAAAAGTTTTATTGATTGTAACCATAACATCAAATTTCATTGTCCTATATCAAAAGGTCTTGGAAAATCCTGGCGATAACTGCTGTTCGCTAGCATCGGTTCATATCTTGACGATAATCATTTTTATGTTTATTCAATTTTTTCGCATAGTTATGACAATGTAAGCAGCAACCGCCATTCTGATAATTACTGTTTTCATTACGTTTTTCCGTTCAATACGTCACGGCTATCAACGGAATATTTGTAACTAAAAGCAAGCCAGACCGACGATAGTCTTATCATTAAAGTCAATAAAATGAATGATGGAAGTAAAGCCCAGTTTACACGAACAGTTTTCATGTGACACTAGAATACATTTTTCGAAAAACTGGTCGCGTTTCTGCCAATTTTCAATTTTCCCCTACATATTTGTTGTGCCTTTAGCAAGATCATTGAAAATTGCCGTTTTAATATTGTTATATTAATATTGCTACTAAACGAGGCTTAAATGTCTTAAATATTTATTGTGAGGTTTTAAAACTTGTTTGCTATTAATTATTGGCTTCGCAATTTCATAGCTATATGCATGTTATAATCCCTATAAAAAACTGATTTCAAAACAATTTTATACAGCAAAACATGTTTATGTGAATATTACACTCTTCCCAATTATTTTTAAATAATAGTGTGTGTTTTAGTAATACGTAGTGTAAGACCACTTTTAAAAGATATACTAAAGAGTTTAAGTTCAATAGTAAATACAATAACCACTGAATAACACGTTATTTGAAAGATAAAATAGTTTTCTTGTTTCCAATGGACAGCGGTATGCGGGCTGCATGCAACTGACCATACACCTTGGTAGTACCGTCTGCATTAGTTCCATGGAAAAGGTGTTCATCATAAGAAGCCTTCGTATTCTCTGGTTTTCTTTTTTGAGTATTGAGTTCAATTTTTAGGCTTCTGGCTTTTTGGTTTCGATAAATGAACTTGTACGTTTCGACAAAGCTTTTCATTGACGTCACTTTTAACATATTTGCATAACGTCATTTCTGTCAATGTAACTTGCTGATTCAGTTTTTGACAATTTTTCGTAAATGCACCTCCGTTGTAAAACCATTAAACAAGTTCTTGAAGAGGATCATAGACGCTGCATTATCATTATTGTGTAGTTGTTCGTATATTCTAACATATTTATCATGGTCTTGTTTACCTACTGCTTTCCCATCGACAGAAATACGAATAGCATTCCGTTGTACTTTATCTCGTAGCAATACCCAAATACGTTTTTCCTGGCTTTGCATGTAGTATAGCTCTTCCTCTCTAGCGTCATGAGATGTTCTAAGTTTGCGCGTAGAATTGAAGTTCATTTGCGGAAAACTTATACCTATTGCAAGTCTAGTGTTTCCATATTCGACCATGAGTATGCATGGATCACCTACGCTCCGTAGAGGTCCTGGAAGAACTACGTTTGATTTGAAGATGGAGTAATAATAAGTAGTAAGCCCAACACGAGGCGAATTTAACAATTCAACAACATGTGCGCGATAATCTTGATTTAAGATTCTATAACGAGGTTGTCTACCTGTTCTTCGTTGCTTTTGTGCCATCCTTAAAACATTCCTGTAGGAGCAGTTCACTAATATTGCGTATTCATAATTTACACCCCGGGGGTTTGTACCGTGACGTATCACTGCAGTTGCGTAGTAAGCTTTCGCTTTCATATCGGGTGAAGTTTGATTGAGCAGCCACACGTTTAGATTTTGTTTGCCGGCATGCGGAATGTAATAACCATTCTGATTGATATCCATCAACATTCCTGGCGAATTTTACCCCAAGTTAACCACCTGGAAGGCTGATTCAGGCCCAGTGGAATGTTGTATCCATTTGCTTTGATAAACGTCATTTTATCTCCAGGAGTATTTTGAAACAGGGTTGTTTCAACATCATAAAGCTTCAGCCCTAAGCTTTTAGACCGTATGTTGCTTCCTAAACACAAAACCAGATTTTCGTAGAAAAATACGGACTTCTTGAACCAAAATCTTGCAACTTCATCTTCATACGTAGGCCTCTCAAAATCCATTGTAAAAGCTCCATTCCTGTAACGACTAGTCCCTTGAAAATTGATGCCTCCACAAAGGCTTTTGGGATTGTAGTATCGCGACTTTTTTGTTTTTAGTTGTCTTGCAGGCATGCGCAAACTGGTCGTACCTGGAAGTCTGTTCCAGTCCCAGCCGCGCTCAATATCATGTGCCTTTAATCCTTGATCAGTATTTACAATCAAAAGTTGTCCATAGCTTTGATAGCGGCCATATTTGTTTTGATCAACTGCTGATTCAGATCCCCACACGAAATTATTGAACCCTTTTACCGTTATGACCCAGGCCTCGCGACGGTGGATGGACAAAGCGGCAAAGTTCTTTGCCCAGTTTCCTTGTGGGGTGACTTCCGCCTGTATCCCGAGCTCCTTTGCACGCTTTTCAATTCATACAAAATTGAAAGTGAACCAAGGGTGTGCATATAAGATGTCTTCCAAGAGCAACCTCTACCACGACCTAAATATCGTTGAACGTTGTCATCGCTCTCGTTTAGCAAACGTAAAAATGCTCGAAGGCTTTCTTTATTTTGTGTATTTCTCAGAAATGGATTATCTTTGTGGTAGTCTAAAATCTGATGTGGATAGGCAACTACTTCACTGTATATTCTTGGCCTATTTGATAAGATCATATTCACTAAGTATGGCTTGTACATGTTTCTAGACGATAATCTAACGTTTCGTTCTTGTTCTTGCTTCAGACGTAAATCGTGAAGATCCTCGGGGATTTTCTCCCACAATGCAGCATAAGCGAAGGCTGGTATTAAACAAATCAATTCTGGTTTAGCTGTCGTAGGCGATGCATTGGTGACTGTGTTTGGAATGACGTATTTTTCAGATAAGAGTCGCATAAAATTGATTGCATTTCTTAAATTTTCACGACTTTGTGTTGATAGCTCGTATGTAGTTCCCCTTAGCAAATATACTACGTGTGCTGCCGTTAAAAGACCTGGCAATACGTAGTCGTTAGGATAAAAGGATTTGTGATGATATCCGGTAAAATCTGGTTTTATTGTGCCACCCAAAGCTGGATTTATCGTCAATGCGTTTTCGTACCAGGCTTTCAGCGCTTTCATGTCGTGCAACTTTTGCATTACTTCTTGGAGTGTCGTTTCTGGCATGACCAATACGCACATGAGACGATATAAAAACAACGTCCTTAATCGGTCAGCGGTCGTTCCAGTGAACTTAAAGGGCTTTTGGTACAATTCACCAAATTCCAGATACCATTTCATGATTTTTATAACGCGTGGTAGCAATCCAGCTTTGTACAGCGGTTTCCGTAGCAAGAATATAGACGTCACAAAACCTTTACTGCTTCGATTCATTTCATGATCTAGAGATCCCAAGGCACTTCCTTCGTCCCATCCTTGATCTACTATGTACTCAAAGATTCTCAATATTCGTGAAAGTCTTTTTTCATTCATTTTCTTTAAAGCTGTGCTTAGTTTGTTCTCACTGAGTAAATGACCGAACATTTCAACGAATTTATTCATAAACTCCTCGTCGTCATAAGTTAGCATTTTTAGTGTCGCTTTTTGTGTTTTTTGCTTCTTGTAAGTGGACATTGTTAATTTGATTGCTTTGTGAATTTCCTCTTTCCTTATGGCAAAAAAATACTCAAACGAAAGCGGCAACAAAATGTCTCGAAACACAAAACCAAACTTTATCTCTGTGGAGGATGCAGATAATTTACCAAAAGCTGAGTTGTGGGAGAATAATCCGGGACCTTTAATGAAACCACGTGCATCTTTCGTGATATTTAATGCTAGCAAGTTTTTTCGTGCTCGTTTTATGCTTTTGCGGATTCCTTCCAACGCTTCTTGTATTTTCCAGTCAATTCAAAGGTTGACTTTCCTGGAACTACATACCAGTCTCTTAGCCGTTTGCTTATCAAACGAATTTCCTTTAGGCGATATAATTGATCATCGCTCAATTCAAGGTCGTTGAATACTTCAGTTCTTGATTTTACCTGACTCCAGTAATAAGTTTGTTGCCAAACATTAGATGGCATCTGCGTGCTTCTGATTGGAGGAACGATACTGTCACGTGATTGCCGTATAAAGTTACTCCGTACAATGTGCAATAAGTCAAAATATAACACACCCACGTGTTGGTTGGGAGCTTGAAATTGAAGTCGGTATAATGGATGCAAGCGTTGCCCTCGCCGGCATTCTTGAAAGCTTACCCACACGGCACGCCAGCCTGTAAATTTCAAGGACATGGTAAAGGTGCATTCGGGCTTTATAAATTTATAAGTATAAACGTGCGGGTAAAACGATACGGTTATTTCTCCGGAAATAGTTTTCCGTTGATAAATCCAAACTTTCACTCCTCCTTTGGAAAGATGTCTTCCCTTGATAGGGTGATGAGATAAGTCCAGTGTAAGAATATCTCTTCGAGACCAAAACCATTTGAGTGCACGGTGATTATGCTTGTAAACGTCATCTGACGAAATCAATTTCGACGAAGGAGAAACTTTGAAGTAAGAAAGACTCCGTTCATCTGTTGATACAATGGGATAAGTATGGGTTACCCATGAGTTTGTTTATATGTTTTGTACGGATAAATTTCTTCAACATACCGTATATTTCACCAGCAATAAGAATAACGACAGTTGTCATCACAATGATGTGTTTCTGCTTCTTTCTGTACTTCATAACACACTGAAACAAATTCCAGTATAAATGAATGAATGTTAATATTTTTTCAATGAAGACTTTTGTTGATCTTCGCTATAGCAGTTACTCATTTTCCATCGATAAGATTTACTTCGACATGGTTGTCTTGTGATTATTTTTGTGATTCCAACGACGATATACTTATCACAAATTTACAGGTTTTCGTTCTAATGTTATTGAGATCATATCTTGTTATTTGATAACAGCCGTTTCCATTACTCTGCCGCCACTTGGCTGAAAAAAATTACTTCATGTTGAGATAAACTGTCGACAATTGAGTTTAAAGTGTGCACGTGGAAGCTATTACAGACAAAAAGTCTTTAATATCTATCCGATTGCTTGACTATATTCATGACTATCTTTTACCATCGTGATAGTTGAATATTTGTTGGTTGTTGGTTAAATTTGCCTGTTGCAAGTTATCGTTATTATTTTAAAATGTATCAATGCTAATTAACATAATCTGCGTTTGCGGGTGGTGTCTATTTCTAACTCAAGATGATTGATGAGCACTTTGTGCATTTGAAATTGTGTTCCGATAAACATTTGTTAAAACAGTTAGTTTGACGATACTTTTTTGTGTATCCACACCATTGAGCTCTATAAGACCTGGAGGGGCAAAGGGGCCTGGACCCCGTGGTCAAAAACATGGCGGTAATGGCGGATTTTGGTTGTCAAAACTTCCACTTTGAGAAAAGTTTTTAACATTCGCTCCCTCCCGAATCCGGAACTCTATTACTGCTTATATCAATGACAACCAGCGAAAACAACCACGATACCGTAAGCATAAAATATTGAAAATAATGCTTCAGATTTTTGTGAAATAGACACACACATTTAAATGAGGTAAATCTACTGTAAAATAGCGTATATGTTGTCAAGTAATGCTTTAGCTATGTTAGAAATAAATATCAAACGGCATTCTTTACACTGTCAATGTGTCGTTAAGCTTTAATGCATAATCCCATGCGCAATACTTGTGTTTTTGACTATTTTTAACAGCTTCGTGCAACTGTCTTTCTTGAATAGATGGGTAAATATTAGTTAAAATGTCCAAAAGGAGTTAGAAAAAGTTAGCTTACCCTACGACTTAAGTCGACTGGAAATATATTATAAGTAGGTATGTATTTTTTGAGTTTTTGGTAGGATTGATTCTGGGTGTCTTATAAGGTATTATGATATTCTGATAAATCTACTGAGAACTTATGAAGAAAATATCTCGAACTAGGAGAGCAAAAGAACGAAATTCAAAATTCTATAATCATGTTGCTGGTTCTGTTTTGAGCCAAGATATTAGTAACTGGATTGTCATTGACAACCATGGATCTACTATTGAACAGAACTACATTAATTTCCCATTGAAAATACGATTTTTTAAATTAAAGTGCATTGGTTTCTCTGACATAACACTTTTCTTATTGCTGCATGAAGGCAAACCTGTTTAAATAATTATAATGTAGGTGAAGATATTTAGCATGTTGTATAATTGTTATTATACAGACATTATTTATAATATTATGGCCTTGTGTAATGTATGTCAAGAACTTATTAATTCTCAAAATGCTAACCTTCTTGCACTACTTTTCTCTTGTGTCCTTACAAATTACAGTTACCTATACTAATTTTTTCTAGGTTCAAACAACTTGACAAATTTTTGAATTTTACATTATGCCTTGGAATTTTTCTTTTTGTCTTTTGGTAAAAATATCAGTAAATGACTTAAAAATCAAGTTTATCTAAAATAGTATTTTGTACAAAATAACTATACATAATTGGAAAAGTCTCATGTTGAAGGCCGATGTGGCTTCTTTTACTAGATTGCTACTCTTATTCTTTTAAATGATATCGTAATTCTTCAAAAGACATAAAAAGTTCTTTGTCATCAATTTTTGCTTCTTCCACATTCAACTTCATTGCAACCAATGCATCTTATGTGAATTTTTAATCACCTGGAATTGAAAAACATATGGACTTTGTCAGATGATGCAGTACTGTATTTAATGTTTCATGCATGTCATTATAAGCTTTGCTTGAGCAAATATTTCAAGGTAGGAGCAAAATTTGGCACATTATTGAACAAAGTAGTTTTTATCTTGATTTTGATGTACTAACCTGTTTACTACACTGTGTAACAAACAATTCATTTACAGAAACACCAGATGGCATTTATAAAACTTTTAGCATAAAGCAAACCATTACACACCATCATCATGATTGTCCATAATCTGTCAAATTGTCCAGGCTAGCTGTTTAATACAGGTATTTTTATTGTCGACATGTACCAAAGAGCTCATTAATTAATCTTGCACTGCATTTGATTTCAATACAGCTCTGTCCTTAATATTTGCTTCATATTTTCAGAAAAATATCATGAAAAAATCCTCCATTTCAACTCAGTTGAAACAAGGAGTTTTAAGATATGCATATCTCGATAAGAACTGGTTGCTTTGCCTCGTCTAGCAAGCGATTAAGTAAAGAACAAATAAGAATGGATAAACATAACTTAAATTATAACTTAGGAGTAAAAACATTCACAAAATATATACAATCACACTTCAAGTATTGACTTAAAACAAAACACTGAACACTTTAAATGGTAAACAATCTTACGTTGCTTACCGGTATCATGAAATGTTTCCTTTTCTGGCATTACTTCAGCATCCGTCTACCAAACAAGTTTGCAACAAGTTTTAAAGATAAAATTTCTAAAAGTTTTTGTGTTTGGCATTGATATTTTATATAATCGCTATTGTGGTTGTCAAATCCGGGTGGGCGAAAAAAATTTCATTTTATGAGCCCGCGTCTTTCCGCTGACTTTGACAACCAAAATCCGCCATGTTTTTGACCACGCGGCCGCGCGCTGATAATTTATAGTAATTTTGTTTACGTTTCCCCTCCAGGTCTTATAGAACTCAATGATCCACACGCATTCATGAAATCGACATCTATTCATTCATATAATATTTAACTTTGAAGTGCCGCAGTATTTTTATCTGGGGTTTTAAGTTACAACTTTTTTTCTTAAAGCTTTCGTTCCACAAATTTACTGTGTAAAACAATACCATTTGAAATCGTTTTTCTGTTTTCAGAGTCGCTCACATCTGGGATTATCTGCGTATGTGAAATGTCATTTTCAAGTTTTGTACGGCCAAGTCGTCATTCTATGTTAAAATGAGTCTGAAATAAATCCCTGTTGAGCACGAGGTGAGAAAGGTCAATCTATAAATACAACCTTGATAATTAATTAGTCGTCGTATCCTTATAATGGACAAATAATTTTATTGCTTATACTAGCAGGTAAGTTGCTCCATCAAATAGATAGCGCATTCATTTGAAGTGACATGCGCAGTAACTCGATTTCTGTTGTGTGATGATTGCTTACCTTAATCTCTATTTATATATATCTATTTATGATTCATGTTATGATCTTCAAGCCTATTGAGTTCTTTGCTTGGTTTTACACCAATTTGTAATGGTAGCACACTAAGATAAACTGCGGGTGTCTCTCGTGTCAGGCTGCAGTAACTAAATCTGATTAAAAAAAAGTTTCATTTTAAAAAATTTCTTTCGAAAATATTTCGGCTAGAAAACACTTTATTCTGAAAAATTTCGGCGGAAACAAAATAATTCATTTGCTGAAAATTTCTAGTCTAAAACTTTGCGCTGTAATAAATGATAGTAATGATTTTCATAAAATAATAAAAGTTTTTACTGTCCTTTTAAATAAATTATGGTTGGCATTGTGGCCCAAGTATTAGATTGTGCATGGTAAACAGCCAGATGTGGATAGTACCTGTTTTGGGTGTTATCATTTTAAGGGACTGGGATCTAGTTGCTTTAGTTCCAACAAAAAATACAAAGCAAAGATGGCTGTATGGCGATTTCAAATTTATTTTGAACACTATTGGGAATAGTAAGCTGTATATACAGAACAAAGAAAATTTAGAACAAAAAATGTTAAAATATTGCTGTAGCAGAGCAAAAATCAGTGAATAGCCTTTAATATTGAGTAATTTCATATTTTAGAAAATTTTGCCTATCAAACCAAAAAACTATATTTCAGCATTTGTTATTTTATTGAAGTAAACTACCCGTATCGTAACGGTTGACATATAATAAGTAAGAAAATATAGAATATTATTTGATACACTTGAGAAAGAATTGCCGCAGGGCAACTTTGTCTTATTGACATTAGAAGTAATTCTCTCCAAATGTTTGTACTCATATCAAGACATTCAACAGAATGAAGATATGATTCACCATCATGTCCACCAACCACAACAATAATATTTCCAATGATAACTGCTGAACATGAATACCTTCTATAATTAAGTGAAGGAAGCATTTTAGTTTCTCCTGTTTTTATATCATACATCAAAACTTCACGTAATCTTTCTTTTTTATTATTTAAACCTCCAATCAAGATTGCATTACCTTTATAACTTACTATACCCATATTTCGTATATGTTCTTCAATCTCGTTTTTATTGATGACTTCGTCACAACCTTCATTTCTACAAGGTGTAAGTGAATAACCACAGTTCTTCTCATGACTTTGGAGAAATTGAAGCTTCACTATTTCAGGACAACCACGGTTAACATTCACACAGCGAATATCACAGTCGTTTAAACTTTCCGTAATGAACCACGGTGTCTTCAATGTCTCTTTGGTGAGATGGAATCCACATTTGAGGCAGTTGTTTGATCAAGTATTTTTCGATAAAAGAGCGACAGAAATAATGTTCGTTTGTACATTGAACAGGATCTTTAAAACATATGGGCATTCAACTCTTGAATGAACTTTATCAACAAATCTTTCCTGTTCATATCCACCATATGAGTCATTAGTAGCCATAGTTGATGACTTTATTTACTTGCCAAGCTTACATTGTATGTACGTGTTTCTGTTTCAAGAAATAATGCTTTCATTTTCTTACATTAAAGAAATGGTTGTTTTGATTTAAGTTGTAATCAAATCACTTTCAGATTGCGATCTTTTGTACATTCAATGTATATTTTATTAATAAAACAGTTTTCCATAACTGTGCATAAAATGTTTTTTAATCATTACCGAGAACTGGTATTTAAAAAAATCAATTGTTACGGTTTTTAACGTTGGGTGCGATCATGACCTAGGTAGCTATATCTGTGTACATGTGTGACAGTTATTAAAAATAATTAACATGCTGTTACAAAATATGTTTTTAGAAACTTTCAGGTAATTGTTTACATTGCATTATAGGTTACGTACATGTTAACAGTTTATCAGTAATATAAATCTCATCATGAAAATTGACATTTCTTAAAATGGCTACGATAAAAGAGGTAGGCGGCCTATTCGAGCAAAAACGTTGTATTTTAAACTACAGACTTAAGTTTCTAAAATGATTGTTTCATATTACGACTGCCAAATTTATTTTTGTAAAACATAAAACATGTATGTTTTAGTAACGAAATTTTTAATAAATTGGAGAAACAATTGCGGCAGGAAAACTTCGTTTGGTCAACATAGGAGGTAGTTCTCTCCAAACGTTTGTACTCATATCAAGACATTCAATAGAATCAAGATACGATTCCTTGTCATACCCACCAACCACAACAATAATATTTCCAATGATAACTGCTGAACATCCACATCTTTTATGATTAAGTGAAGGAAGAATTTTAGTTTGTCCTGTTTTTACATCATACATCAAAACTTTATCTAAGTATTCACCTTTCTCATTTACACCTCCAATCAAAATTACATTACCTTTATAACTGACTATAGCCATGGCTCTTACAGGATATGGAAGTGGAGCCAAGGTTTTACATTCGTTTTTACTGAGACTGTATGAATAAACAGTGTTTTTAATATCTTTCCATTTTTCAGATGTTGCCCCACCAAATACCAAAACATCGTCTTCAATGATAATTGAGCCATGGTAACGTCTTAGCTCTGGTATTTGCGCCAATAATTTTGTCGTATGTGGAGGATTTAGTTGAATACTGTAGATTGTATCAAAGGTTTCGTTATTATCATGTCCACCAATCATAATCACATTATCATTATGATAAATCATACTATGTCCATGACACTTTCTTGGTAACATGACAGGAGATATTTTCCATTGCAATTTTCCATCCACGTTTAAACTTTCAATATTTCCAAACTGTTGTTTCCCATTCCAACCACCACAGACAAATATTTCTCGGCCATAAACAAATGCAGTTGCTGCAGATCGTTCTTCATTCATTTTAGGTTCCTGTTGCCAACAATTTGAATTCCAGTTGAAAGACTCGACAAAATTCAAACGATTCTCTCCATCTCTTCCTCCACAAACAAAAATCTTTACTTTTCCCGTAAGAAAATTATATCTTTCTGTCGTTTCTGTTGTAAGAAATGTCATTTCATTATGATTTAATGTCACTTGCTCTTCAACATGTTTCACCATTTCATCACGATTCAACTTCATTTGCTTTTCAAACATCTTTTGAAACATCTCCAATCTTCTGGTCAAATCGTCAATCTCTTTCTTCAAGAAACATGAATGAGATCGTCTGTATCTGAACACAAGCATCATTTTGCATTCTTCACAATCGATGAGACGGAACTCACATCGTTCTCTTTCATGTTCTTCAATTTCGTTTTATTAAGGACTTCGTTACAACCTTTATTTCTGCAAGGTGTAGGTGAATAACCACAGTTCTTCTCATGACGTTCGAGAAATTGAAGCTTCATAATTTCAGGACAACCACGGTTAACATTCTTACAGCGAATATCAAGATCTTCTAACATTTCGGTGACAATTCTAGGTACATCCTGTAATGTCTCCGACGTGATTTTACAATTACATTGAGGACATTTATTAGAAGAAAGTAAACATCTTTCGATGCAAGAACGACAGAAATGATGCTGATTTGGACATTGAACAGGATCCTTAAATATTTTAAAACATATAGGACATTCAAATCTTGGATGAACTTTATCGGCAAATCTCTCCTGTTCATATCCACCATACGAGTCATTTGTAGCCATTGTTGAAGACTTTTATAATTTACTGACCAAGTTTACATTGTATGTTCGTATTTCTATTTAATGAAATAATGTTTCCATTTTTTTATATATATCTTCCATCTGTTTATCGATTCTTGAATGTCTTTGACAAGATGACTTCCTCGGGTTTTTATTTTCTCAAAACATGTCTTGCTTTCTAAAACTATAGATGTCTACGATTTTATGTTCTGTTATGGAAAGAAAATGGGTGGATGATTCATCACAAAGTTGTTGCCAAAGTTGTTTTCAAGCTGTGATTTTTGTACAGCTTGATGCATGATTTCGGCTGGACAATAGTTCATTTTGATACATTCATGCATAAAATTACACTTAAAAGATAATAATTGTTTGTTTGACATCAGTTAAGAAGAGAAAATTGCTTCATATTTTATCATAAACTTGTCAAGTTATTATGGCTTTATGATATTTTTTATTTAAGATTATTGTTATTCAGTTATATTCATTTCTTTGTACAATCGTCGCCAAATTTTTAGTAAATCAGTTCAAACTGTGATCTTTTCAACCCTTTAATGTAATCAAAATCTATTTTATCGCTTCCGCTTAATCAAAACAAATCGAAAGTCAAGGAGGTTCTTGGGCTGATGAGCTCTGTTTTCTGTGCGCATAACATTGAAGAGTACTCTCTTTTTGGGTAAAAATTGGCAATGTGTGAAAGCACATGCCGATTTATTAAAATAGAAATAACAAGTATAACATAATATAAATTAATTATTTTACACAATTTAAACCAAAATCTTTACGAATAAAGTTTTTCTGTATAGCACAGAAAAGGTGGGGTGATAAAAACGCCACCTCTGAAACAAGTCTAAATAGTACATGCAAAATCACAGAGAGAAAGGGAGGGAGGGAAGGGTGGATTTTTCGATAAATTTCACCTGGAGATGGCCACCTACTGAATGATATGTGATTTGTTTGTGCATAACCTATAAGGCTAATACCTGTGCACGTGAATCACACTACGTGCATGTGAACAAAATGCAAATAACTGTAGCCAACATCCTGTTTGCTCTTGTAGCGTCCACAATGAACCTTGGACTCCATGACCTTAGCACGCGGAATTCTTTGAGTAAAAGTAACAAACTTTCCCAGTACTTTTTCTATGTTAGAGTGTGTCCCACCCTCTCTTTGTTTCCCTTTGATTAACATAACTCTTATTTACAATTTAAACTACAAAATAACCCGCGGAAGCAATAAAATTATTATTCGCTTATGCAAATAACTCCTAAAGTAATAAAAGTTTATTTTACAATAGTTGTATGGAGAATGTTTAATTATTACCAAGAATTCGTATTCAAAGAGTCTAATGTTTCGATAATTAAGTTGGGTGAAGACCGAGGGGTTGGGTCCAGTTGGGTCACACTTTCTCTGAATGTATAAAATAGGTACGTTGTGCGTACAAAAATTATTGATGATGTTACAAAACATGTTTTGGTTGTGGTAAGAATTTCTGAGAACTGAAGGATATTAGAAGTTTTTCGGTAAAAAAGTCAACGTGACGTCAATTTTTAACATCTCAAGAATTATAAAGACTTTATAAACTCACTTTACTTTTGTTGAAGAAACTAGTTGTTGGAAAAACATCGATTTCAATATTACTAGTTCAGAGAACGAATTCTTTAATATATACAAAAAATTAACCAACATTTGCCGTATAAGATATTAGCATATATTTAAAAAAGTATGAATTTGATTTTGTCTGGGATGGAGAACTGGGAGGAACACATCCAGTAATAAGCATACAGGTCAGTGATATCAATGTATCAATGTACACTCAACAAATTTTGTCATAGAAAGTTTGAACATTTTTAGAGAAAATGCACCGTAGAGTTATTGCACATCGTTTAAGTGCAAAACGTCGCACAGCAGACGTTTTAATCAATGAGAAAGTCGATTTCTCAGGGTTAATTTTATCCAAAGATGTCCTCAAAGGGTTGAAAAGTGCTGGATTTGAAAGACCATCACCAATTCAAATGAAAGCTATTCCTATTGGTCGTTGTGGTGTAGGTGAGTGGATTGTATATAATGCTTGTTTTTCTGTTGGATGTTTCTTTGTTGACAACAGTTCATACATTCAGCTAAATTTTGCCATGTGTCATGTGAACAGTGAGCATGCTACAAGCCTTAGCAACTTGGAAATGTCACTGCATTGATAGTTAGATTTTATTGATAATAGTCAACCTATTGTAAACTTTTCCTTATTGAGTTTTTCATCAAACAATCCATTAAGATAAACAGAGGTACTTTAGAGCATCATTTCACCATCATTCAGTTCACCAATGTACATGTTACAAAGGGTCACTACCAAGATTGGATGAAATTGCACACTTAGTAGTTTTGAATTGGATGGCTTCTTATAGCTTTTGGTGTTAAGGAAATGTAGTCTTAATGTAGGAAAAGCACTCACTACCAGAAAAGTAAAGGAACTCAAAATTTTTAGTTTGATAGTTCATGCAAAGGTTTTCATTTAAAATGACTTTGCATTTAAGTCTTGTAAAGTATGTTTTCTAAAAAATTACAAATTTTTGACTTTCTTTATAGATTTGATTGCACAAGCAAAATCTGGCACAGGGAAAACATGTGTCTTTAGTGTGATTGCTTTGGAAAGCATCATTCTTACAATGATGTCAATTCAAGTGTTGGTTCTTGTGCCGACTCGAGAGATAGCTGTTCAAATCAAGGATGTAATGAACTCTATTGGTCAACATATGCAAGGACTTCATGTAAATGTTTTTATTGGTGGTTTGTCTATTGAAGATGACAAGAACAAGTTGAAACTTTGTCAAATTGCTATTGGTACACCAGGTAGGTGGAGCAGTTAAATATTTAACAATTGCATATCATTTGGGAATGAATACGTATAGCTTTGGGCAGAAATATATATTATAATTTAGAATGTCAGTGCCAAGCAAAGTACTATACATAAGCAATCATACAAAAAAAATTACATTTAATATCATCAAGTAAGGTACAAGCTAGTGTTTCTTCTTAAACTCTTAGGATACTTATGTGAAATCAGTTTTTCAATCATTCTTTACGACGGGTCAAACATCTAATTGACAGCAAACTTTTGTCTACTTCTTCCATTCGATTGCTTATTCTTGATGAGGCTGATAAACTATTGGTGGAAAACTTTCAAGATCAGATCAAGTAAGATCATTAAATATATGGATAATTTAAATATCATTGATTTTTTTCTTTCATAATTTAAGGGTCGAGTTCAATTTTTGTACTTCTGGCTTTTTGGTTTCGATAAATGAACTTGTACGTTTCGACAAAGCTTTTCAATGACGTCACTTTTAACACATTTGCATAACGTCATTTCTGTCAATGTAACTTGCTGATTCAGTTTTTTACAATTTTTCGTAAATGCACCTCAGTTGTAAAACCATTAAACAAGTTCTTGAAGAGGATCATAGACGCTGCATTATCATTATCGTGTAGTTGTTCGTATATTCTAACATATTTATCATGGTCTTGTTTACCTACTGCTTTCCCATCGACAGAAATACGAATAGCATTCCGTTGTACTTTATCTCGTAGCAATACCCAAATACGTTTTTCCTGGCTTTGCATGTAGTATAGCTCTTCCTCTCTAGCGTCATGAGATGTTCTAAGTTTGCGCGTAGAATTGAAGTTCAATTGTGGAAAACTTATACCTATTGCAAGTCTAGTGTTTCCATATTCTACCATGAGTATGCATGGATCACCTACGCTCCGTAGAGGTCCTGGAAGAACTACGTTTGATTTGAAGATGGAGTAATAATAAGTAGTAAGCCCAACACGAGGCGAATTTAACAATTCAACAACATGTGCGCGATAATCTTGATTTAAGATTCTATAACGAGGTTGCCTACCTGTTCTTCGTTGCTTTTGTGCCATCCTTAAAACATTCCTGTAGGAGCAGTTCACTAATATTGCGTATTCATAATTTACACCCTTGGGGTTTGTACCGTGACATAACACTGCAGTTGCGTAGTAAGCTTTCGCTTTCGTATCGGGTGAAGTTTGATTGAGCAGCCACACGTTTAGATTTTGTTTGCCGGCATGCGGAATGTAATAACCATTCTGATTGATATCCATCAACATTCCTGGCGAATTTTTACCCCAAGTCAACCACCTGGAAGGCTGATTCAGGCCCAGTGGAATGTTGTATCCATTTGCTTTGATAAACATCATTTTATCCCCAGGAGTATTTTGAAACTGGGTTGTTTCAACATCATAAAGCTTCAGTCCTAAGCTTTTAGACCGTATGTCGCTTCCTAAACACACAACCAGATTTTCGTAGAAAAATACGGACTTCTTGAACCAAAATCTTGCAACTTCATCTTCATACGTAGGCCTCTCAAAATCCATTGTAAAAGCTCCATTCCTGTAACGACTAGTCCCTTGAAAATTGATGCCTCCACAAAGGCTTTTGGGACTGTAGTATCGCGACTTTTTTGTTTTTAGTTGTCTTGCAGACATGCGCAAACTGGTCGTACCTGGAAGTCTGTTCCAGTCCCAGCCGCGCTCAATATCATGTGTCTTTAATCCTTGATCAGTATTTACAATCAAAAGCTGTCCATAGCTTTGATAGCGGCCATATTTGTTTTGATCAACTGCTGATTCAGATCCCCACACGAAATTATTGAACCCTTTTACCGTTATGACCCAGGTCTCGCGACGGTGGACGGACAAAGCGGCAAAGTTCTTTGCCCAGTTTCCTTGTGGGGTGACTTCTGCCTGTATCCCGAGCTCTTTTGCACGCTTTTTCAATTCATACAAAATTGAAAGTGAACCAAGGGTGTGCATATAAGATGTCTTCCAAGAGCAACCTCTACCACGACCTAAATATCGTTGAACGTTGTCATCGCTCTCGTTTAGCAAACGTAAAAATGCTCGAAGGCTTTCTTTATTTTGTGTATTTCTCAAAAATGGATTATCTTTGTGGTGGTCTAAAATCTGATGTGGATAGGCAACTACTTCACTGTATATTCTTGGCCTATTTGATAAGATCATATTCACTAGGTATGGCTTGTACATATTGCTAAACGATAATCTAGCGTTTCGTTCTTGTTCTTGCTTCAGACGTAAATCGTGAAGATCCTTGGGGATTTTCTCCCACAATGCAGCATAAGCAAAGGCTGGTATTAGACAAATCAATTCTGGTTTAGCTGTCGTAGGCGATGCATTGGTGACTGTGTTTGGAATGACGTATTTTTCAGATAAAAGTCGCATAAAGTTGATTGCATTTCTTAAATTTTCACGACTTTGTGTTGATAACTCGTATGTAGTTCCCCTGAGCAAATATATTACGTGTGCTGCCGTTAAAAGACCGTAAAATCTGGTTTTATTGTGTCACCCAAAGCTGGATTTATCGTCAATGCGTTTTCGTACCAGGCTTTCAGCGCTTTCATGTCGTGCAACTTTTGCATTACTTCTTGGAGTGTCGTTTCTGCCATGACCAATACGCACATGAGACGATATAAAAACAACGTCCTTAATCGGTCAGCGGTCGTTCCAGGAAACTTAAAGGGCTTTTGGTACAATTCACCAAATTCCAGATACCATTTCATGATTTTTATAAGTCGTGGTAGCAATCCAGCTTTGTACAACGGTTTCAGCAGCAAGAATATAGACGTCACCAAACCTTTACTGCTTCGATTCATTTCATGATCTAGAGATCCCAAGGCACTTCCTTCGTCCCATCCTTGATCTACTATGTACTCAAAGATTCTCAATATTCGTGAAAGTCTTTTTTCATTCATTTTCTTTAAAGCTGTGCTTAGTTTGTTCTCACTGAGTAAATGACCGAACATTTCAACGAATTTATTCATAAACTCCTCGTCGTCATAAGTTATCATTTTCAGTGTCGCTTTTTGTGTTTTTTGCTTCTTGTAAGTGGAAATTGTTAATTTGATTGCTTTGTGAATTTCCTCTTTACTTATGGCAAAAAAATACTCAAACGAAAGCGGCAACAATATGTCTCGAAACACAAAACCAAACTTTATCTCTGTGGAGGATGCGGATAATTTACCAAACTCTGAGTTGTGGGAGAATAATCCGGGACATTTAATGAAACCACGTGCATCTTTCGTGATATTTAATGCTAGCAAGTTTTTTCGTGCTCGTTTTATGCTTTTACGGATTCCCTTCCAACGCTTCTTGTATTTTCCAGTCAATTCAAAGGTTGACTTTCCTGGAACTACGTACCAGTCTCTTAGCCGTTTACTTATCAAACGAATTTCTTTTAGGCGATATAATTGATCATCGTTCATTTGAAGGTCGTTGAATACTTCAGTTTTTGATTTTACCTGACTCCAGTAATAAGTTTGTTGCCAAACATTAAATGGCATCTGCTTGCTTATGATTGGAGGAACGATACTGTCACGTGATTGCCGCATAAAGTTACTCCGTACAATGTGCAATAAGTCAAAATATAACACACCCACGTGTAGATTGGGAGCTTGAAATTGAAGTCGGTATAATGGATGCAAGCGTTGCCCTCGCCGGCATTCTTGAAAGCTTACCCACACGGCACGCCAGCCTGTAAATTTCAAGGACATGGTAAATGTGCATTCGGGCTTTATAAATTTATAAGTATAAACGTGCGGGTAAAACGATACGTTTATTTCTCCGGAAATAGTTGTCCGTTGTTTTGTACGGCCAAGTCGTCATTCTATGTTAAAATAAGTCTGAAATAAATCCCTGTTGAGCACGAGGTGAGAAAGGTCAATAAATAAATACAACCTAGATAATTAATGAGTCTTCGTATCCTTATGATGTACACGGTAAACAGCACGATGCGAATAGTGCCTGTTTTGGATGTTATCATTTTAAGGGAATGGGATCTAGATGCTTTAGTTCTGACAAAAATACAAAGCAAAGATGGCTGTATGGCGATGTTAAATTTATTTTGAACACTATCGAGAATAGTAAGCTGTATATACTGAAAAAAGAAAATTTAGAAGAAAAAATGTTAAAATATTGCTGTTACAGAGCAAAAAATTACTGAAAAGCCTTGCATTGACTACTTTCATATTTTAGAAAATTTAGCCTATCAACCCAAAAAACTGTAATTTGGCATTTGTCCTTTTATTGAAGTAAACAACCTGTATCATGACGATTGACATATAATAAGGAAGAAAATGTAGAATATTATTTGATAACATATTAGTACACTGGAAAAACAATTGCCTCAGGGCAACTTCGCTAGATTGGCATAAGAAGAAATTCTCTACAGATGTTCGTACTCATATCAAGACATTCAACAGAATCAAAAAATGATTCACCATCATGGCCACGAACCAGAACAATAATATTTCCAATGATGATTGCTGAACATGCACATCTTTTAAGTGAAGAACGCATTTTGTTTTTTTAACATCGATTAAGTTGTTCTGTTTTTCACATTATTTTCTCTTAAATGCTTTTTTGAACTGAAGACAGTTTAAATTTAATGAAGAGAATTTACTAGAAACAAACCGTAAAACGATGGCTGTATAACAGAGTAAAAAGAAAATGAAAATATATTTCAGTAACATAGCGTTAATATATTGGTGAAACAACAGCAGCAGCAAAACTTCGTTTGGTCAACATAGGAGGTAGTTATATGTTTGTAAATGATGATCGTCCAGGTTAATAAAGTCCTGAGAAGGACTGTTTTTGATGTTGTTGACTGACGTTTCGACAACCTTAGCGGTAGTCATCTTCAGAGTCAAATGAGGAGTAAACGTCAGGTTAGCCGTATTTATTGTCTGGTTCTTACGTCATTGTATTGTGTGTACAGGAAATGTGCAGGAAATGTTTATTGTCATTGTGGATTAGTGTGAAGTGAAATATTTTATTTTTAGTTGTGATGTGTGATTTAGGTGTGACGTTTTTAGTTGTAATGTGTGGTGTCAATTGTGTATTGTCATTGTGAATTAGTTTGAAGTGTAATGTTTTTAGTTGATCGTTTGTTTGTATTGTGAATAAGTCGTTTGTAAGGTGCCGGTAATTGCTGTGATCTGTTCAGGGGGGTTTGTTCCAAGTTGGTATACCAACTTTCTAATGTAAGCCGTTGTCTATAGTCAGTACTGTAAGTGATGCATTTTGCCGAGTCCCAGTCAATGTTGTGCTTTGTGATTCGGTGATGTTCGGCAATGTGATTAGTTTTGTCTTGTTTCTTAGTAGCTCGTTTGTGCTCAGTAAGTCTTATGTTTAAGTTCCTGCCAGTTTCCCCGATATAGAGGCGTGGCAGTCGGAGCAATTTATTTTGTAAACTGCACCTTGTCGTTCGTTGGGTTGTTCTTTGTCCTTTATGTTCGTTAGTACTTGTCGTAATGTTGTGATTGGTTTATGTGCGACACGTATGTTGTATGGTCGTAAGATACGCGAGATAGTCTCAGACGTACCTTTGATGTAAGGTATCGTTGCTGTTGTCACTGAGTTGTTCGTTTCGTTGGGTTCGTTGGGTTTGTAAGTGTTGCGTTTGATAAAGTCAGAGTTATAGTTGTTTTTGTCAAAAACACGTTTGAGATAGTTGTTTTCGTTTTGTAGAGCGTCCGGTGAATCACATATGATTTGTGCACGTCTTGTTAATGTTCTGATTGTGGTGGCTTTGTGTGATGTAGGTTGTAAGATGATTGGTCTAGTAGTCGGTCAGTATGTGTTGGCTTGCGATAAACTGTTGTTCCCAGTTTTTGATTGTCATGTTTTACCAAACAGTCGAGAAAAGGAAGAGTTCCGTTTTCTTCGACATCTTTGGTAAATTGTATGTGGCTGTTCTGTTTGTTGATGTGAGTATGGAAGTCATCAATCTCGTCTGCATGTAGTGCTGTAATTGTGTCATCTACGTAGCGAAACCAAAAAGGTAGTGCATGTTTGTAAGTCATGAGTGCCCGTTCCTCTATAGATTGCATTACAATTTCAGCCTACAACAGAAACGGCAGCCCATTGCTGTCCCATGTAATTGTTTGTAGTGTGTTCCTTTGTATTGGAAGTAAGTCGAGGTGAGCAGAGCTGTAACTCCATAATGTCTTCTGTCGGTAATGGCAGTACGTCCGTGGTGTTTGTAATGAGGGTTTTGTCGTATGTGGAGATTTAGTTGAATACTGGTGAACAGTGATTTCATCAAAACACTAATATATATAGTTGTCTGGTATTTGATAGTCACAGTTTTTAATGAAACTTTCTTGTAACTTGACATTTGATTTGTTTGTGAGTTTCCATATGTTAAACTCAATACTTTCAAAGTTGTAAGTATTCCAACCACCACTGACAAATAATTCTCGACCATGAACATATGCAGCTGCTCCAGATCGTTCTTCATTCATTTCAGGTTCTTGTTGCCAACAATTTAAAACCCAGTTGAAAGACTCAACAGAATTCAAACGATGCATTCTATCTCTTCCTCCGCCAACAAAAATCTTTATTTTTCCCGTGAGAAAATTATATCTTTCTGTCGTTTCTGTTGTAAGAAACGTCATTTCATTATGACTTAATCTCATTTGCTCTTCTACATGACTAGCCATTTCAATACGAGCCATTTTCACTTGCTCTTCAACATGAGTCACCATTTCATTACGATTCAACTTCATTTGCTCTTCAACTTGAGTCACCATTTCATTACGATTCAACCTCACTTGCTCTTCAACATGCTTTGACCTATCATTTTGACTTTTTTCAAACATGTCCAATCTTTTGGTCAACTCGTCAATCTCTTTCCTCAAGAAACATGAATGAGATCGTCTGTATCTGAACACAAGCATCATTTTGCATTCTTCACAATCGATGAGTCGGAACTCACATCGTTCTCTTTCATGTTCTTCAATCTCGTTTTCATTAAGGACTTCGTCACAACCTTTATTTCTACAAAGTGTAGGTGAATAACCACAGTTCTTCTCATGACGTTCTAGAAATTGAAGCTTCATAATTTCAGGACAACCACGGTTAACATTCTTACAGCGAATATCATGATCTTCTAACATTTCGGTGACAATTCTAGGTACATCCTGCAATGTCTCCGACGTGATTGGACAATTACATTGAGGACATTTGTTAGAAGAAAGTAAACATTTTTCGATGCAAGAACGGCAGAAATGATGCTGATTTGGACATTGAAGAGGATCCTTAATTATTTTGAAACATATGGGGCATTCAAATCTTGGATGAACTTTATCGAGAAATCTCTCTTGTTCATATCCACCATAAGAGTCATTTGTAGCCATTGTCGAAGACTTTTATAATTTACTGACCAAGTTTCATTGTATGTTCGTATTTCTATTTAATGAAATAATGTTTTCATTTTCTTGATGTATATCTTCCATCTTTTTATCGATTCTTTAATGTCTTTGACAAGATGACCTCCTCGGGTTTTTATTTTCTCAAAACATGTCTTGCTTTCTAAAACGATAGATGTCTACGATTTTATGTTATGCTATGGAAAGAAAATGGGTGGATGATTCAACACAAAGTTGTTGCCCCAAATTGTTTTCAAGCTGTGATCTTTTGTAAAGTTTGATGCATGATTTCGGCTGGACAATAGTTCATTATGATTCATTCCTGCATAAAGTGTTTGTTTGTAATCAGTTGAGAAGAGAAAATTGTTTCATATATTATCATAAACTTGTCAAGTTATTATGGCTTTATGATATTTTTTATTTAAGATTATTGTTATTCAGTTATATTCATTTCTTTGTACAATCGTCGCCAAATTTTTAGTAAATCAGTTTAAACTGTGATCTTTTCAACCCTTTAATGTATTCAACATTTTATCAAAGTAATAAAAGTTTCTTTTACAATAATTGTATCGAGAATGTTTAATTATTACCAAGAATTCGTATTCAAAGAGTCTAATGTTTCGATGTTTTAAGTTGGGTGAAGACCGTGGGGCTGGGTCCAGTTGGGTCACACTTTCTCTGACTGTGTAAAATAGGTACGTTGCGTACAAAAATTATTGATGATGTTACAAAACATGTTTTGGTTGTGGTAAAAATTTCCGTCCACGTATTTTATCCAAAACATGCCTGAGAACTGAAGGATATTAGAAATTTTTCGGTAAAAAAAGTCAACGGGACGTCAATTTTTAATATCTCAAGAATTATGAAGACTGTATATAGTCACTTTACTGTTGTTAAAAAAAATAGTCGGTTGAAAAAACATACATTCCAATATTACTAGTTCAGAGAATGAAATCTTTAATAAATACAAAAAATTAACCAGCATTTCCCGTATAAGATATTAACATATGTTTAAAAAAGTATGAATTTAATTTTGTTTGCGGTGGAGGGACCCATCCAGCTAATTGTATACAGGTCAGTGGTCAATGTATCAATGTTCACTCAACAAATTTTCTAATAGAAACTTTGAACATTATTAGGGAAAATGCACCGTAGAGTTATAGCACATCGTTTAAATGCAAAACGTCGCACAGCTGACGTTTTAATCAATGAGAAAGTCGATTTCTCTGGGTTAATTTTATCCAAAGATGTCCTCAAAGGGTTGAAAAGTGCTGGATTTGAAAGACCATCACCAATTCAAATGAAAGCTATTCCTATTGGTCGTTGTGGTGTAGGTGAGTGGATTGTATATAATGCTTGTTTTTCTGTAGGATGTTTCTTTGTTTACAACACTTTCATACATTCAGCTAAATTTTGCCATGTGTCATGCGGGCAGTGAGTTTGCTACAAGCCTTAGCAACTTCGAAATGTCACTGCATTGATAGTTAGATTTCATTGATAATAGTCAACCTATTATAAACTTTTCCTTATTGAGTTTTTCATCAAACAATCCATTAAGATAAACAGAGGTACTTTAAAACATCATTTCACTATCATTCAGTTCACCAATGTACATGTTACAAAGGGTCACTACCAAGCTTGGATGAAATTGCACACTTAGTAGTTTTGAATTGGATGGCTTCTTATAGCTTTTGGTGTTAAGGAAATGTAGTCTTAATGTAGGAAAAGCACTCACTATCAGAAAAGTAAAGGAACTCAAAATTTTTAGTTTGATAGTTCATGCAAAGGTTTTCATTTAAAATGACTTTGCATTTAAGTCTTGTAAAGTATGTTTTCTAAAAAATTACAAATTTGTAACTTTCTTTATAGATTTGATTGCACAAGCAAAATCTGGCACAGGGAAAACATGTGTCTTTAGTGTGATTGCTTTGGAAAGCATCATTCTTACAATGATGTCAATACAAGTGTTGGTTCTTGTGCCGACTCGAGAGATAGCTGTTCAAATCAAGGATGTAACGAACTCTATTGGTCAACATATGCAAGGACTTCATGTAAATGTTTTTATTGGTGGTTTGTCTATTGAAGATGACAAAAACAAGTTGAAACTTTGTCAAATTGCTATTGGTACACCAGGTAGGTGGAGCAGTTAAATATTTATCAATTGCATATCATTTGGGAATGTATACGTATAGCTTTGGGCAGAAATATATTTTCTAATTTGGAATGTCAGCGCCAAGCAAAGTACTATAGATAAGCAATCATACAAAAAAATACATTTAATATCATCAAGTAAGGTACAAGCTAGTGTTTCTTCTTAACCTCGTCAGATACATTTGCGAAATCAATTTTTCAATCATCATTTAGGACGGGTCAAACATCTAATTGACAGCAAACTTTTGTCTACTTCTTCCATTCGATTGCTTATTCTTGATGAGGCTGATAAACTTTTGGAGGAAAACTTTCAAGATCAGATCAAGTAAGACCATTAAATATATGGATAATTTGATTTTCCATATATGATCATTGATTTTTTCTTTCATAATATGATGGTTGAAACTTGTTTTATAATTTGTAGTTGGATATTTTCAACACTTCCTGAAAGCAAGCAAGTGTTGGCTTTGTCTGCAACCTATCCAAACTATCTTAGCAAGCATTTACAGAAATATATGAGAAATCCAACTTTTGTTTGTTTAAATGCCATGGACCCTGCACTAGAAGGTGAGTGTTGTAAGTCATATGTATAGTTTAAGTTTAGTGAAAATGAACATTTATATTGTATGTACTGATTTTTAAAAGTACATGAATATGTTTTAAGGGATTCATCATTATTTTTGCACAATACCAAGTCATTCTCTCCCACATAAAACATTTGATGAAAAGGTTGGTAGTATTGGTCATACCTAGTTGGCTATAGGCCTACACATACATGCAAACACTGGACTGTTGGTCTAGACATATTATCTAAATATTTATTCTGTATGTTACCACTCAATGTATGTTACTCATTCTATTAACTTGTGAAACTGCTGTCCAGTGTGTTGCATGTTTGCAGGCTTATTTGATATGTCATTTATAATTTACCTTAATCTGTGCATTTGTTAAATTGTTGAATATTCTACTGTAGGTTAATCATTTACTGGTTATGTTGTCACAGATATCTTTCCATCAATGCCTTATCTTTTCTAACTATCAAATAAGGTATGTATCTAACAAAAAACTACATTGTGTTCATTGCTGTCACAATTTGTATGGTGGTTCTTAATTTTTATGTATAAATTTATTTCATAGAGCAAAGAATTTGAGTGAAACTTTGGCTAAAAATGGATTTCCTTCTACACATATTTCAGGTAGTGTTTGCTATGTAATTTATAGATCTTGGTCAATTATCTTAGCTCAATTTGTCATTTAAAGTAATTTTCCTTATTTTGTTTTTGTATTCATGAACACCTAGATGCTTTCTGGGTATTTTCTAATAAAAATATTTATCAAAGTAAATAACAAAGTAGAGAGGTCATGCCACTGTGTTTTAGAAACATGATGTTTTGTCATACTTTGTTTAGTGTTAGTTTATAAAACAAGTTTCTCTGCTTTTGTACTGGCTGGTCTGTTAATTGTCATCACTATGTTAATTTTGTTCTCTGTCATTGGATAAAACAAGATTGAAATACAGTCATGTTTATTTTTTTATGTTTATTTTTTTGAGAAAGGTGGTCAAGGCCAAAATGAACGTCTTGATGCAATGAGGAAGTTGAAGGAGTTCAAATGTCGTATTTTGATATCAACAGATCTTGTAAGTGACGTTAACTGATTTCTATATTTTCTTGCTTGGATACTTGGACGTCAGTTAAAGTAGAAATATTCTTAATTTTAAAGAAATCATCTGTATTCCATCTAGGGTAACTTTTCAATGTTGTGATTACATTAGTATTAAAGCTAGCATCTTGTATTACTAACAAGGGTAACTTGTCAATACTGTGATACGGAAGCATTATGTATAACAACCAAGGGGTAACTCGTTAATATTTTGATTTATGTTAAAGATAGCATCTTGTATTATTTCTAAGAGTAACTCGTCAATGTTGTGATAAATTTTATTAATGATAACATTCAGTATACCGCGTTACAACGTCACTCGTTAATGTTATGATTAATATTAGAGATAACATCCCGAGAGATTGCATCTTGAATTATAGTGTAGTGTGAATCTCCCATTGAATCTTTTCTACCATTATAAATAATTATAAGTAGTACTGGTATTATTAGAATGATTTGTTTGATTTTAAATTATCTTTAAACAGGAGCATTAACATTCAAAAATTTATGTGGAAATTCATTTATACTGAGACGATCCCTTCGTTGCACCATCTCTCCCCTCGTTGCACCATCTCTCCCCTCATCACATCACAACATTTATTCCTTGATCAAAACATCTATCCATACTTTATCTTCTGTATCTATAGATGTCTCGTGGCATCGATGCTGAACGTGTGAACCTTGTGATTAACATGGATCTTCCACGTGACTCTGAGACATATTTACATAGAGTTGGGAGGGCTGGACGTTACGGTAGGTCACCATTTAAATTTTTTATAGATAGCCAATTGCAACAGTTGTCCATTATTTTTTTTGGCGAGGATGGCGTTGCTGAAAATGGCGATTTTACATACTGCTAAAATATTTGCGGATAGTAGATCTCAAGGTAGAAAGGTTTAAACCTGGTTGGCTATTTTTACTTGCACATAGTCATGTTTCGATGTTTGACAATGATATTATTTTTTTGTGCACGACGTAACACGTTTTTACACAACAAGAAAAAAGACAAATTTTGATCAATACGTATAAAATGACGTCGATAAAATGATAAATAAGCTTATGCTTGTACCCTATGTACCCTTATATCAACCCATGCCACCAATCCATTCTACTTACATTCCTATAAAATCCATCGTTACCTACCTAACCCATCCGTCTGTTAAAGAATAATTTGGTATCATGATGGCTCATCAGAAATACATTTGCCATTATCAAAGCCACGTATCGTATGATAATAAGTCATCGATTATGGGAACCAACTTCGCATCTATTTTTTCATAATTTTTAATGCGTACGCCAAACATCTTCCCAACGGAGGAAAAATTTCATTCATTAATGGGGATTATGTTTAGTTTTGAACGTTAAACAGGATCGTATGGCGTGGCCATAAATTTCGTGGCCGCAGGAAAAGAAGAATCAAGTTTGAAAGACATCGAAATTAAATGTGCAATAAACTTCGATCCTTTGCCAGGTAATGTTTATGTTTTAAAGAATAATATCATAGCATGATAGCATGATATGAATTTTTTATAATAATCTAAAATATATTTGCTTTCATATTTAGTATTTATATTATTAGTATTTAGAATTATTACTATCATTGTCATTATCATAATTATTATTAATATTTAGAAGATTTATCTGAGCTCATATGTAAAGATGCGTTTGCCGAATGTAGTTTGATGAAGTCAAAAGGCGAGATACTTTCATTTACTTCTACGGCTGTTACAACCATAGTTGGAGAAGGGAAGGTGAAAGAAGATGATGTCCTTTGCTGTGAAACTACAAACCTTGTTCATAATGGCGAAACTAGTTCCACAATGACGAAAGAAAATTTAGTTGAAGGTTTGAATGAAGGAGCGAAGAATAAAATTCACGAGATTGTAGCTTTCACTGACATTGTTGTTGATAAAAGTTTTAAATGTGGTAACAATAATGAACAAAAGAAAAATAAAGAAAGGTTAACGCGAGTAATTGAAAATAATTCAGACAATAGCGAAAGTTCCACAACGGAAATCATGAACTATGGCATTATTAAAGATGATGAGTTGGCTGAAAACAACAACATTTACACATCTCAAGCTTCTGTCGTTGCTGACGTTTGTCGTCAAGGAAACGGACAGACTGTCGAGGATCCAGGAATTATGGGTAATGTAAAAAACGAATTTATTGACGTTAAGAGTGAAAATGTTGCTGTTAAAAATCAGGAAGCTACGACATCCAAAGTGAACAGTGTAGAAGGAAAAGAAATCAAAAGTCAACACAACATTGAAACAATATACGATACAGAAAACAAACTAAATAACTTTAAAAGTGCTATGATTTATCCTTCAACGTCACAAGTCATCTTTCATAAACAATGGGGTAATGGATTTTTTACTGAGAAAAACAAATTGGATGAATGTAAGATGTCGGAATCCTCTGTTTGTGATGATTGCGAATTGTCAAGCGAAAATTGCGTCGGGCGTGAAGAGTCACGTGATTCCCTTGAAGAGTCATGTGATTCTACTGAAGAGTCATGTGATTCTACTGAAGAGTCTTGTGATTTAAGTGAAGAGTCAAGTAGTGCGTGTGAAGAGTCTTATGAATCGTATGAAAATTTGCGTGGTTCGTTTAAAGACTCGCGTGATTCGTGTGAAGTAGCACACGATTTGTGTGTAAAGCTGCGCGATTTGTGTGAAAAATCGAGCGATTTGCACGCGCCTATCTCATGCAGGTATTTTGATGATATGTTTGTAAAACATTTAAACGATCATGCAAACACAGGCCTTCATAAAGATTTCGAAAATGAAAAACCATTATCCTGTTTGGCAAAGAGAACAAGCTTGCTCAACGAGGTTAATGAATTTGGCTCAACAGAATTCGTCTCTGGTTATGAGAGAGAAGTTGTAGAAATGAGAACTTCTGCTCCACAAGAATGTGTTGGTGCACAATCCTGCAATTTAGAAACTAATAAAACAAATACGACAGTCAATTCCACCGATTCCCGCAACGTATGGAACCATGGCAACGAAGTCATGTTTTATGGTGCCACCACTGATGACGTCACAGCTTACATGGCGAGGTTGCCCGTTGATTGGACAAACATGTGGTATAGAGCCTACGATAAACAAACCAATCACATAATGAAATACACGAAGTTTTATCATGAAAGTTATTGATGAGCTAAAATATTTAGCTCATCATGAGCTAAAATATTTAGCTCATCATGAGCTAAAATATTTAGCTCATCATGAGCTAATATTTTAATCGGCTAAAATACCTACTCTGTTCTTAGTAGATTCCGTGAAGATTTTGTAAGGATGAAGATGGAAAAATTAAATTTATATTTATGTTTCTTAAATATAACATGAATGTCAAATGAACTTGCTTGCCATTACGTCATTGACGAAGTGAAAACTTTGCGACGTCAGTAATGTTGTGTCCCCCCCCTGTTGCTGTGTGTGATGCAGGCTGTGACAAGTCACAAGATGTTGTTTTCCTTTTATTGAAAGATTTTCAAAAAAAGTCATATTTGCGTATTGTTGTTTGTGTCACAATTTTAGAAAATAATTATAAGATAGCTAAACAAAAGAATATATTCATTATGTACATCAATTTATACTTATATATCGACAAACTACAAAAAAGAATCAAATGACGATTTTATTTTAAATGAAATCGGAATCAACTCCAGTAAACAGTATACAAAATATTTGAGAATAATATTGAACTTCTAAGCAGGATTGTTTTAAAGTAATACTTTTGAGCATTAAAAAGAACCTGTCTTTTTTCTTCAATAATCTTGTTTTAGCTTTATCTACATCTTAGTATAAAAGTCTTCATTTTACATTACATTGTATCCTTTTAAAGATAAAGTTCTTTCATTTGACTTATTTCGCACGATAGAATTGATTTCGCACCATTCTTAATTTATTTTGAAATTCAAATACCACGAAGGTTCAACTGACGATTGCACTTTAGCACATGTCTTTGTAATTTACCTTGTCTCATTTTTCCTAATTTTTTATGATTACATATCGTATTATGTCCTTATTGTCGTGTTTCTTGGTATTATCAGATTCAACAGTATAGGAGTTACAATATAAATGAGACAAGACATATAAAGAAATTTCTAAGAACTACGCTCGATACTCAAATACGAAATCAGGGTCCATGATAAGTAATTCGACCAAACGAATCAACCAAATCATTTTCTGTTCATTTGCAACAGCTGCTGATCTTACATAGTCTGGAATACGAACGCTTTTTCTTAGTAAGTGTTACATCGATATTGTACCTAAGTTAGGCATTTATTAGTGCGACGATGATTATGTGTAGTTCTTTCTTACTCTGTATATTGAACGAGTTTCTAATAAACATTCGTTCTCGCTTGTCAATTTTCTATGAAAATGTCTGTCAAACAGATTCAAGCCAATACAAGAATAACAACTTTTAGCAAAAAGAATAAGTCCTTTTTTGCGTTGTCGTCTGTGGAGTTTTTGGTAATGCAGTGCTTCATAACCGTATTTTAATAACACAGAATTAAATCTCGCCATTAAATAGTGAGTCAATTTAACTTTGAAGAAAATTCCACGAAATCCACTATGTCCGGATAATGCGATGCTAACTTACTCTCCTGTTCTTCGGGAACTTCTCGCCTGTTCTTCGGTAACTTCTCGTTGTCCCACGGCGACGTCATTTATAACATTTTATCGTAAAATAAAAAAAACTTGTCATGCTACTTGGGGCCACATGAAACAAATGGTTGTTTTCATTTAAGTTGTAATCAAATCACTTTCAGATTGCCATCTTTTGTACATTTAATGTATATTTTATTAATAATACAGTTTTCCATAACTGTGCATAAAATGTTTTTAATCATTACCGAGAACTGATATTCAAAGAAATCAATTGTTACGGTTTTTAACGTTGGGTGCGATCATGACCTAGGTAGCTATGTCTGTGTACTTGTGTAACGATCATGACCTAGGTAGCTATATCTATGTACATGTGTGACGATCATGACCTAGGTAGCTATATCTATGTACTTGTGTGACGATTATGACCTAGGTAGCTATATCTGTGTACATGTGTGACGATCATGACCTAGGTAGCTATGTCTGTGTACATGTGTGACGATCATGACCTAGGTAGCTATGTCTGTGTACATGTGTGACGATCATGACCTAGGTAGCTATATCTGTGTACTTGTGTGACGATCATGACCTAGGTAGCTATATCTGTGTACTTGTGTGACGATCATAACCTAAGTAGCTCTATCTGTGTACATGTGTGACGATCATGACCTAGGTAGCTATATCTGTGTACATGTGTGACGATCATGATCTAGGTAGCTATATCTCTGTAGATGTGTGACGATCATGACCTAGGTAGCTATATCTGTGTACATGTGTGAGGATCATGACCTAGGTAGCTATATCTGTGTACATGTGTGACGATCATGACCTAGGTAGCTATATCTGTGTACTTGTGTGACGATCATGACCTAGGTAGCTATATCTGTGTACATGTGTGACGTTCATGACCTAGGTAGCTATATCTGTGTACATGTGTGACGATCATGACCTAGGTAGCTATATCTGTGTACATGTGTGACGATCATGACCTAGGTAGCTATATCTATGTACATGTGTGACGATCATAACCTAGATAGCTATATCTGTGTACATGTGTGACGATCATGACCTAGGTAGCTATATCTGTGTACATGTTTGACGATCATGACCTAGGTAGCTATATCTGTGTACATGTGTGAGGATCATGACCTAGGTAGCTATATCTGTGTACATGTGTGACGATCATGACCTGGGTAGCTATATCTGTGTACATGTGTGACGATCATGACCTAGGTAGCTATATCTCTGTAGATGTGTGACGATCATGACCTAGGTAGCTATATCTGTGTACATGTGTGAGGATCATGACCTAGGTAGCTATATCTGTGTACATGTGTGACGATCATGACCTAGGTAGCTATATCTGTGTACTTGTGTGACGATCATGACCTAGGTAGCTATATCTGTGTACATGTGTGACGATCGTGATCTAGGTAGCTATATCTGTGTACATGTGTGACGATCATGACCTAGGTAGCTAAATCTGTGTACTTGTGTGACGATCATGACCTAGGTAGCTATATCTGTGTACATGTGTGACGATCATGATCTAGGTAGCTATATCTGTGTACATGTGGGACGATCATGACCTAGGTAGCTAAATCTGTGTACTTGTGTGACAATCATGACCTAGGTAGCTATGTCTGTGTACATGTGTGACAATCATGACCTAGGTAGCTATATCTGTGTACTTGTGTGACGATCATGACCTAGGTAGCTAAATCTTTGTACTTGTGTGACAATCATGACCTAGGTAGCTATGTCTGTGTACATGTGTGACAATCATGACCTAGGTAGCTATGTCTGTGTACTTGTGTGACAATCATGACCTAGGTAGCTATGTCTGTGTACATGTGTGACGATCATGACCTAGGTAGCTATATCTGTGTACATGTGTGACGATCATGACCTAGGTAGCTATATCTGTGTACATGTGTGACAATCATGACCTAGGTAGCTATATCTGTGTACATGTGTGACAATCATGACCTAGGTAGCTATATCTGTGTACATGTGTGACGATCATGACCTAGGTAGCTATATCTGTGTACATGTGTGACGATCATGACCTAGGTAGCTATATCTGTGTACATGTGTGACAATCATGACCTAGGTAGCTATATCTGTGTACTTGTGTGACAGTTATTAAGAATAATTAACATGCTGTTGCAAAATATGTTTTTAGAAACTTTCAGGTAATTATTTACATTGCATTATAGGTTACGTACATGTTAACAGTTTATCAGTAATATAAATCTCATCATGAAAATTGACATTTCTTAAAATGGCTACGATAAAAGAGGTAGGCGCCCTATTCGAGCAAAAACGTTGTACTTTAAACTACAGACTTAAGTTTCTAAAATGGTTGTTTCATTTTACGACTGCCAAAAATTATTTTAGTAAAACATAAAACATGTATGTTTTAGTAATGAAATTTTTAATAAATTGGTGAAACAGCTGCAACAGGAGCGCTTCGTTTGGTCAACATAGGAGGTAGCTCTCTCCAAACGTTTGTACTCATATCAAGACATTCAACTGAATCAAGATACGATTCAACGTTACACCCACCAACCACAAGAATAATATTTCCAATGATAACTGCTGAACATGAAAGTCTTTTATGATTAAGTGAAGGAAGCATTTTAGTTTGTCCTGTTTTCACATCATACATCAAAACTTTATCCAATATTTCACCTTTACCATTTAAACCCCCAATCAAAATTGCATTACTTTTATAGCTGACAATACCCATTTCACTTACAGAATATGGAAGTGGAGCCAAGGTTTTACATTCCTTTTTACTGAGACTGTATGAATAAACAGTGTTTTTTATGTCTTCCAATTCTTCAGATATTTCCCCACCAAATACTAAAACATCGTCGTCAATGATAATTGAGCCATGGCTATGTCTTGGCTCTGGCATTCGCGCCAATAACTTTGTCGTATGTGGAGGATTTAATTGAATACTGTAGATTGTATCAAATGCTGCGTTTTCATTATATCCACCAATCATAATCACATTATTATTATGATAAATCATACTATGTCCATTACACTTTCTTGGTAACATGAGATGAGATATTTTCCATTGCAATTTTCCATCCACATTTAAACTTTCAATATTTCCTAAGAATTGTTTTCCATTCCAACCACCACTGACGTATATTTCTCTACCATGAACAAATGCAGCTGCTGCAGATCGGTTTTGTTTCATTTTTGGTTCCTGTTGCCAACAATTTGAATTCCATTTGAAAGACTCCACAGAATTCAAACGATGCATGCCATCATAACCTCCGCAAACAAAAATCTTTATTTTTCCCGTAAGAAAATTATATCTTTCTGTCGTTTCTGTTGTAAGAAACGTCATTTCATTACGACTTAACCTCACTTGCTCTTCAACATGCTTCGCCATTTCATCACGATTCATCTTCATTTGCTTTTCAACATGATTCACCCTGTCATATTGAGTCTTTTGAAGCCTTTCCAATCTTTTGGTCAACTCGTCAATCTCCTTCCTCAAGAAACATGAATGAGAACGCCTATGCTTGAATACGAGAATCTTTTTGCATTCTTTACAATCGATGAGACGGAACTCACATCGTTCTCTTTCATGTTCTTCAATCTCGTTTTTATTAAGGATTTCGTCACAACCTTTATTTCTACAAGGTGTAGGTGAATAACCACAGTTCTTCTCATGACGTTGAAGAAATTGAAGCTTCATAATTTGAGGACAACCACGGTTGGCATTCACACAGCGAATATCAAGATCTTCCAACATTTCCCTAATGAACCTCGCTGTCTTTAATGTCTCCTTAGTGAGATGACATCGACATTCAGGACATTTATCAGAAGTTAACAAGTATCTTTCGATACAAGTGCGACAGAAATAATGTTCATTTGGACATTGAACAGGATCTTTAAATATTTTAAAACATATAGGACATTCAAATCTTGGATGAACTTTATCGGCAAATCTCTCTTGTTCATATCCACCATACGAGTCATTTGTAGCCATTGTCGAAGACTTTTATAATTTACTGACCAAGTTTACATTGTATGTTCGTATTTCTATTTCATGAAATAATGTTTCCATTTCTTTATGCATATCTTCCATCTTTTTATCGATTCTTGAATGTCTTTGACAAGATGACCTCCTCGGGTTTTTATTTTCTCAAAACATGTCTTGCTTTCTAAAACGATAGATGTCTACGATTTTATGTTCTGATATGGAAAGAAAATAGGTGGATGATTCAACACAAAGTTGTTGCCCCAAGTTGTTTTCAAGCTGTGATCTTTTGTAAAGTTTGATGCATGATTTCGGCTGGACAATAGTTCATTATGATAAGTTCCTGCATAAAATTATACTTAAAGGATAATAATTGTTTGTTTATAATCAGTTGAGAGAAAATTCTTTCATATTTTATCATAAACTTGTCAAGTTATTATGGCTTTATGATATTTTTTATTTAAGATTATTGTTATTCAGTTATATTCAATTCTTTACACAATCGTCGCCAAATTTTTAGTAAATCAGTTGAAACTGTGATCTTTTCAACCCTTTAATGTATTCAACATTTTATCAAAGTAATAAAAGTTTCTTTTACAATAATTGTATCGAGAATGTTTAATTATTACCAAGAATTCGTATGCAAAGAGTCAAATGTTTTGGGTGAAGACCGTGGGGCTGGGTCCAGTTGGGTCACACTTTTTCTGACTGTGTAAAATAGGTACGTGTGCGTACAAAAATTATTGATGATGTCACAAAACATGTTTTGGTTGTGGTAAAAATTTCCGTCCACGTATTTTATCCAAAACATGCCTGAAACCTGAAGGATATTAGAAATTTTTCGGTAAAAAAAGTCAACGGGACGTCAATTTTTAATATCTCAAGAATTATGAAGACTGTATATAGTCACTTTACTGTTGTTAAAAAAAATAGTCGGTTGAAAAAACATACATTCCAATATTACTAGTTCAGAGAATGAAATCTTTAATAAATACAAAAAATTAACCAGCATTTCCCGTATAAGATATTAACATATGTTTAAAAAAGTATGAATTTAATTTTGTTTGCGGTGGAGGACCCATCCAGCTAATTGTATACAGGTCAGTGGTCAATGTATCAATGTTCACTCAACAAATTTTGTAATAGAAACTTTGAACATTTTAGGAAAATGCACCGTAGAGTTATTGCACATCGTTTAAATGCAAAACGTCGCACAGCAGACGTCTTAATCAATGAGAAAGTCGATTTCTCAGGGTTAATTTTATCCAAAGATGTCCTCAAAGGGTTGAAAAGTGCTGGATTTGAAAGACCATCACCAATTCAAATGAAAGCTATTCCTATTGGTCGTTGTGGTGTAGGTGAGTGGATTGTATATAATGCTTGTTTTTCTGTAGGATGTTTCTTTGTTGACAACAGTTTCATACATTCAGCTAAATTTTGCCATGTGTCATGTGGGCAGTGAGTGTGCTACAAGTCTTAGCAACTTGGAAATGGCACTGCATTGATAGTTAGATTTCATTGATAATCATTGATAATAGTCAACCTATTGGAAACTTTTCCTTATCGAGTTTTTCATCAAACAATCCATTAAGATAACAGAAGTACTTTTAAACATCATTTCACCATCAATCAATTCACCAATGTACATGTTACAAAGGGTCACTACCAAGCTTGGATGAAATTGCATGCTTAGTAGTTTTAAATTGGATGGCTTCTTATAGCTTTTGATGTTAAGGATATGTAGTTTTAATGTAGGAAAACCACTCAATATCAGAAAAGTAAAGTGAACTCAAAATTTCTAGTTTGATAGTTCATGCAAAGGGTTTCAAATAAAATGACTTTGCATTTAAGCCTTGTAAAGTCTGTTTTCTAAAAAATTACAAATTTTTGACTTTCTTTATAGATTTGATTGCACAAGCAAAATCTGGCACAGGGAAAACATGTGTCTTTAGTGTGATTGCTTTGGAAAACATCATTCTTACAAAGATGTCTCAACAAGTGTTGGTTCTTGTACCGACTCGAGAGATAGCTGTTCAAATCAAGGATGTAATGAACTCTATTGGTCAACATATGCAAGGACTTCATGTAAATGTTTTTATTGGTGGTTTGTCTATTTAAGATGACAAGAACAAGTTGAAACTTTGTCAAATTGCTATTGGTACACCAGGTAGGTGGAGCAGTTAAATATTGATCAATTGCATATCATTTGGGAATGAATATGTATAGCTTTGGGCAGAAATATATATTATAATTTGGAATGTCAGTGCCAAGCAAAGTACTATACATAGGCAATCATACAAAAAAAAATACATTTAAAATCATCAAGTAAGGTACAAGCTAGTGTTTTTTCTTAAACTTGTAGGATACATTTGTGAAATCAGTTTTTCAATCATTCTTTAGGACGGGTCAAACATCTAATTGACAGCAAACTTTTGTCTACTTCTTCCATTCGATTGCTTATTCTTGATGAGGCTGATAAACTATTGGAGGAAAACTTTCAAGATCAGATCAAGTAAGACCATTAAATATATGGATAATTTGAATATCATTGATTTTTTTCTTTCATAATATGAGGATTGAAACTTGTTTTATACTTTGTAGTTGGATATTTTCAACACTTCCTGAAAGCAAGCAAGTGTTGGCTTTGTCTGCAACCTATCCAAACTATCTTAGCAAGCATTTACAGAAATATATGAGAAATCCAACTTTTGTTTGTTTAAATGCCATGGACCCTGCACTAGAAGGTGAGTGTTGTAAGTCATATGTATAGTTTAAGTTTAGTGAAAATGAACATTTATATGGTATGTACTTGTTTTTAAAAGTACATGAATATGTTTTTAGGGATTCATCATTATTTTGTACAATACCAAGTCATTCTCTCCCACATAAAACATTTGATGAAAAGGTTGGTAGTATTGGTCATACCTAGTTGGCTATAGGCTCACACATGCATGCAAACACTGGACTGTTGGTCTAGACATATTATCTAAATCTTTATTCTGTATGTTACCACTCAATGTATGTTACTCATTCTATCAACTTGTGAAACTGCTGTCCAGTCTGTTGCATGTTTGCAGGCTTATTTGATATGACATTTATAATTAACTTTATCTGTGCATTTGTTGAAGTGTTGAATATTTTACTGTAGGTTAATAATTTACTGGTTATGTTGTCACAGATATCTTTCCATCAATGCCTTATCTTTTCTAACTATCAAATAAGGTACGTATCTAACAAAAAACTACATGGTGTTCATTGCCGTCACAATTTGTATGGTGG